TNTTGACTTTCTTCTTTTCGATCCTACCGACATCGAGGACGATGTTATCTTCAACCATTTGGTCGAATTCTAGAGGCTGTGGTTGGTCATTTTGCTCGGTCAGAACATTGAGAGTTCTCTCGTAGACACCGTCTTTGCGTTTCTTTTTCGTTTCGACAGTCGTTGTCTTCCTCAGAGGCTCGATTTCCGTGGTCGTATGCTCTTCTACAATATCACGGATCGGGCGATCGTACAGGTCCTTGGACACTGGCATTGTCTCAGTCACCGCCATCTCCGGATGTCCAACGTCAGCGGGCGATACAACGGCAAAGAATTTCGGTTCGGGCTTGAATTCCCAGATTTCTGTGATCTCGGTGGAGTGAACGTTATCCGGTTTGAGGACTTTCTTAGTTTTCCTCCTTTTTGTTATCTTTCCGGAATCAAACTCGATATCTTCACTTTGTTCCACTGGTTGGAGATCGAAAGTGTGCGGGAGGACTTCCCACTCATCGGGAGTGAAGAGAGAGGTTTCCTCCGTCTTACAGACGGTACCATCCGGTTTCTTGGACTTTCTGACGGTTTTCTGTCGCTTTCTGCCGTCAGCATCGATCTGCGAGATGACTCGCCGCTCCGTGATTTCTTCTGACGGTCTTCCGAGCGAATCGACGTTGATCGGAATCGTTTGCAAGACATCCAGCTCCGGATAACCGATGGATTCCAGGCTGATGTCCTGATGATCGTCGTGTTTACGGAGAGTCACGATCTCGATTAGCGAGAGTTCTTCCGCTCGCAGCGGACTCTTTGACGGTTTTTTACGCAGCAGTTTTTGTTCTTTAACCTCTGCCACGCCCAGCTCGATGTCAGACTCACTGAGTTCAACGAACTGATCATCAGGTGCTCGATCTTCGGAGACCCTGCTAGGCTTCCGGCAGGGTTTCAATTTCTTGGTGAGGAATTCTGGAGTGTCCGGGACGGTTTCAACGACTCGGGCCCCTCGATTAGCGTCAGCAGATCCGACCGAAGTTGGTTCGGTCTCCTCTGGGACACCCTCGATGATTTCCTTCGATACAATAACTTCGATCGTTCCGTCTGGTTTTTTCTTCTTCGCCGTCGTCGTTTTCTGCTTGAGCGCTTTCCCGTCTACGGTGAGATGCTTCAACTGTACTTCGCGCTCCTCGACTTCCTGTTGGAGAACTTCGACAGGCACCTTCGATCTGAGCTCGAGATCAGGGAAGCCGATGGACGAGACGTCTACGTATCTATGTTCTGGCTTAGGCTCGTATATCGTGACTTCCACAGTTACTGGTCGGTGAACTCCATCTTCTTCAGACTCAGATGGAGTGATGAGCTTTTTGGTGATCTTTCCAGTCTTAAGCTCTATTTGTTCCTCAGTCGTAGTCGATGGTGGACAGTCTTCCGGAACGAGCTGTGAACGAGTTCCGGGAAGCGGGGTTTCTCGGCGGGGACTTCCCTCCCTAATTTCTCCCCTCTTCTTTTCCGGAGTTTCCCCACCCCGGGTGGATGGATCAGGCTCGGAGGAGTCCGGTCGAGCCGGCAGGATTTCTTCCTTCCTGGTTTCCACTACGCCGTCTGCTCGTTTAGTCACGGTCGTCCTTGTCGTCAAGACCCGGTTGTCGGGGAGGATGGTCTCTTCAACCGTCTCGTCCACAGTGGCGAGCTCGGGGCCGGTCAGATTGAACTCGTGAGGAGTCACGGTAGACATTGTAAGAGTCCGCTCTATGACGACTCCCGACGGTGAGATCTCGGTGGTCTTCTTCTTGCTCCTCCTTGACGTCTGCTTCTCGGCCACGATTGTCTCATCGATAACATCACCAGGTTTGCTGTCTCTCAGATCAAATGTTTCGGGTATCAATTCAGATGTCTCAATCTCTTGATAAATTACTCCTTCTTTAGTAGCTCTCGTTTTAGTTACTTTCTTCTTCGGTTTCCGGTCGACGGAATCCACGAAAATGGTGCAAATCTCCTCTGCGACATCTTTTCTACGGCTAGTAGCTTCGATCTGCATGGGCTTGAGAACTTCAAGCTCAGGATAACCCATTGAATCGAAATTGAACGTTTCTATGGATTTCTTAGGAACAAATTTCAAGGATTCAACTGTGATATCGGCCAGCTCGAGAGGCGTCTCATCACGTGGCACCTTCTTTTTAGTTTTCGTCCGTTCAATTTTTCCGACGTCGAGCGTGACGCTCTCTTCAACCGTCCTATCGGGAAAAGAGTCACCCGGCTTCTCCTCAGTCGAAACATTAAGTGTTCTCTCATATACTCCATCCTTACGTTTTTTCTTTTTAATCACCCGAATAACTTTCCTCCCGGGCTCTGTCTCAACGGTGGAGTATTCTTCCACGGAATCGCGGACGGGTCGTCCGAAGTGGTCCCGGGGTACCAGTGGAGATTCGGCCACGGCCAGCTCTGGTAATCCGACGCTTTCCGGACTTACCACTGAAAAGAACTTGGCCTCGGGTTTGAATTCTACGACTTCGGTCGTCTCGACGACGCTCGAGTCGTCAGGTTTCACGACTCGTTTGGATGTTCGACGCTTGGTGATTTTTCCGGAGTCAAATCGGATTTCTTCAGTCTCTTCAAGCGGTTCGACTGAATCAGGAATCGGCGACTCACTCTTGATATCATCAAGGTCGGACACGATTTTTTCCTCGACTCTCGAAACGGTACCGTCCGTTTTTCTGATTTTCTTTATCGTTTTCCTCTGCGGCCGACCTTTGGCATCGACGCGGATGATGGATCTCGTTTCCGTCCGCTCTTCGATTGGCCTTCCGGAAGAGTCAACTTCGACGGGTATCGTTTGTAGAACATCGAAGTCGGGATAACCGAAAGATTCAATTTCTACACCGTGAGGCTGCGCCTGTCGCCGTAAGATCGAAACCTCTATCACGGACAGCTCTTCCTTCTCTCGAGGAGTCTTTGGTTTCTTCTTACGAACGATTTTACATTTCTCGATTTCGGCTCCCGGAAGCGTGATTTCACGCTTAGAAATCGGCATGAACTGATCCCCACTGCCTACATCCCCGGATCCAGGCAAATATTCGCTGTACCTGCCGACTTGATCATCCAGAATTCCCCCTGGGGAATCAGAGTCTCCGGGGAGAGTTCCAACTTCCGGTTGTGGTTGTTCGATCGTGCGTGTCTCTTCAATGATTTCGACTCTTCCATCCGGCCTCTTAGTCTTCTTCTTGAAGACTTTCTGGACAATCGGCTTGCCTCTGTCAACAGACCTCTTGGTTTCTACCATTTGCTCAGTGACTTCTTCCAAGAAAAGCTCGATCGGCGTCCGGAGCAGAGGTTCTAGCTCAGGATACCCAATCGACGACAGGGTCACATCGCGATATTCCGGTTTCGGCTCGTACTTTGTGATATCGATAACGACATTCTCGGTGGAGCCGTCATCCCGCGGAATCTCCATCACTGATGCCGACCTCTTCAGTTCGCCTGATTCTAGCACAACGGTTTTCTCACTCGTGCTCACGGTGAAAGGCTCGTCAAATATATCCTCTCTCGGCAACGCAGTCACGGTCTCCTCGACAATGCTTTCCTCAACACCGTCTCCTCGGTCGACAGTCCGAGTCGTGATGGTCGAAAGCCTTCTATCGGGCAGAACCCGTTTTTGTAGAGTCGTCTCTTCTGTGCGCCGAGGAGCGTCAGACAGAACGTATTCGTGAGGAGTTACGGTGACGACCGTGTGCGACCTCTCGATTCCCTCACCGGTCGGGGCAGTCTCGGTAAAAGTTTTTCGTTTCCGCTTTGTCGTCGACTTCTCATCAACAGTGACCTCTTCGATTACATCCCCGACGTTGACAGTGGTCAGATCGTACGTCTCGGGAACGTCTTCGGAAATTTCACTCTCTTGGAGAAGAACACCAGATTTCGTGGCTGTGGATTTCACGGTTTTCCTCTTGAGCTTTGCATCGATGTCCACGAAGATGGCGGTACTCTCCCTCACGACGTCTTTTTCGGTACTCTTGGCCTCAATGAGACATGGTTTCAAGACCTCTAGCTCAGGATAGCCGATCGATGAGAGGTCGATTGCGAGAGCATCTTCCTTCGGTATGAATTTTAGAGTTTCTACAATGACTTCGACGTCCTTATCGGTGAGCGCATCCTTACGTGGTAATCTCTTCTTCACCTTCTCCACTCGGCCCGCGTCGAGCTCGATGTTCTCCTCGACTTTGAATTCGAACGATGATGGTTCTGGATGTTTCGATTCCTCCGTTGAAACCTGCAGCTTTCTTTCGTAGACGCCGTCTTTACGTTTTTCTTTATCTCGAGCGTTTTCGTCAATTTTCCAGGCTCGGTTTCAACAATCGAATGTTCCTCCACGACATCACGTGACGGACGTCCGTACTGGTCCGTTGCAACCGGAGCTGCTCCAAGGACGGTCATTTCGGGGAGCCCGGCGGTTTCCGGGGTCACTACGGAAAAGAAGTTCAAATCGGGTTTGAACTTCCAGATTTCCGAAGTCTCAAAGCATTCCACACCCTCGGGTCGGGGAACTCGCTTGGTTTTCTTTTGTTTCTTGACTTTGCCGGCATCGAATACGATCTCTTCTGTCTGCTCGATCGGTCGAAGACTGAATGTCCGCGGCAGGAGTTCCCATTCGTCCGCAGAATAGAGCGTGGTCTCTTCGATTTTCGAAACAGTCCCATCGGGTTTCCTGGACTTCTTGATCGTCTTCGTTCGAGGTTTTCCCTCAGCATCGATCTGAGACACGAATCGCTCCTCACGTATTTCTTCTGCCGCTCTCGCGATCGATTCGACGCTCATCGGTAAGGTGTGGAGAACTTCGAGCTCGGGATAGCCCATGGACTCCAGGGAAATTTTCTGGCCTTCTTCGCGTTTGCGCAGCGTCACGATCTCAACCAGGGAGAGTTCTGTCGGTCTCCGCGAGCCATCTGACGGCTTCTTACGGATTATCTTCTGCTCCGTGACATCCACGTCTTCGAATTTCATGCGAGTTTCTGCGACGAGCACAAGCTGCTCATCGGGGGTTTCATCCTGGCTCAATTGAGGAAGCTCACCAGAAATCTTAGGCCTCTCTATCGCTGAGCCGGGAGCCTCCGGGACATAATCTCCAGAACGCATCTCATCGAGCGTCGTTTTCAGAATCGACGGTTCCGGGTGTTCAGGAGTCGATTCTTTGATCTCTTTCGTCACGATCATCTCGACTGTCCCGTCGGGCTTTTTAGACCTGTTTGTCGTAGTCTTCTCCCTAACTGGTTTCCCGTCTTTCGTCGTCTGTTTCACTTCGACGATCTCTTCCGTCAGTTCTCGATCGAGAATTTCAACTGAAGCACTGCTCCTGAGCTCCAGCTCGGGGTAGCCAATGGAGGAAACATTTACGTGCCGGTGCTCTGGTTTCGGCTCGTAAACAGTTATTTCCACGGTCACGGGACTCGAGAGCCCATCTACGCTATCAATAGTCTCCATGACTGTTTTCTTAGTGATCTTGCCGGTTTCGAGCTCGATCGTGTCCTCAGTGGTGAATTGACTCCTCGGGCCCTCATCGGAGGTGGTGACGCCGTCTACTGGCCCTCTCTCAGCTCGAGGTTTGACCTTTTTCGGTTTCCTCGTTTTCTTGGGACGCGTTTTGATTTCATCCTGCTCGATAGCCTCGAGCGATTTTGGTCCCGACGGAACCACTTCCTCAATTTCCGTTTCCTCGGTGCCATCGGGCCGTTTTGTGGTCGTGGTGGTGATGGTAGAGAGTCTCCCATCTGGCAGCACGATCTCCTCGACCATTTCTTCAACAACATCCTCAACAATTTCGGTCAAGGCAAACTCTCGTGGGGTCACAGTGGTCGTTGTCACAGTTCTCTCGACTGATTCACCCGAAGGTTTCACCTCAGAGGTCCTCTTCTTCGTTTTCTTTGTCTTCCCCACCTTGGCGAGTTTTGTTTCGTCGATGACTTCTCCTGGTCGAATCAGACTCAAGTCGAACGTTTCCGGTGAAACTTCGCACGTCTCGATGTCTTGAAGGAGGACTCCTGATCTCGTAGCGGTCGTTTTGATAGTTCTCTTCTTCGGTCTGCGATCGTTGTCAATGAAAATGACGGTGCTCTCCTCGACAACGTCTTTCTTCGAGCTCGTGGCTTCAACGAGCATCGGTTTCAGGACTTCCAGATCGGGGTATCCGATAGAAGTGAAATTGATATCGTGCGTCGATTTTTTCGGAACGAATTTCAAGCTCTCGATCACGACCTCTACCTCCTCGAGGGCTTCGTCATCTCGAGGTTTCTTCTTTTTGACTTTCTTCTTTTCGATCCTACCGACATCGAGGACGATGTTATCTTCAACCATTTGGTCGAATTCTAGAGGCTGTGGTTGGTCATTTTGCTCGGTTAGAACATCGAGAGTTCTCTCGTAGACACCGTCTTTGCGTTTCTTCTTCGTTTCGACAGTCGTTGTCTTCCTCAGAGGCTCGATTTCTGTGGTCGTATGCTCTTCTACAATATCACGGATCGGGCGCCCGTAGAGGTCCTTGGACACTGGCATTGTCTCAGTCACCGCCATCTCCGGATGTCCAACGTCAGCAGGCGATACAACGGCAAAGAATTTCGGTTCGGGCTTGAATTCCCATATTTCCGTGATCTCGGTGGAGTGAACGTTATCCGGTTTGAGGACTTTCTTACTTTTCCTCCGTTTTGTTATCTTTCCGGAATCGAACTCGATATCTTCACTTTGTTCCACTGGTTGGAGATCGAAAGTGTGCGGAAGGGTTTCCCACTCGTCGGGAGTGAACAGAGTGGTTTCCTCCGTCTTACAGACGGTGCCATCTGGTTTCTTGGACTTTCTGACGGTTTTTCGTCGCTTTCTGCCTTCAGCATCGATCTGCGAGATGACTCGCTGCTCCGTGATTTCTTCTGACGGTCTTCCGAGCGAATCGACGTTGATAAGAATGGTTTGCAAGACATCCAGCTCCGGATAACCGATGGACTCCAGGCTGATGTCCTGATGATCTTCGTGTTTACGGAGAGTCACGATCTCGATGAGCGAAAGTTCTTCCCCTCGGAGCGGACTCTTTGACGGTTTGTTACGAAGAAGTTTTTGTTCCTTCACATCCGCTACATCGAGCGTGATTTCGCTCTCACTGAGCACGACGAATTGATCGCCGGGTGCTCGATCTTCGTACACTTGGGTGGGCTTCCGTCGAGGCTTCAGCTTCTTGGTCATGAATTCCGGAATTCCCGGGACAATTTCCTCCGGTTGTGCCCCTTCATGCGAGATAACAGGTTCACTCGGAGATGGTTCTTGCTCCCCAGGCAAGGTTTCCTCGATTTCTTTCTTCACAATCATTTCGATGGTGCCATCAGGTTTTTTCGTTTTCTTCGTCGTTGTCTTCCGTTTGACCGGCTTCCCATCTTTTGTGGAGTGCTTGACTTCCACTACCTGTTCTGTGATTTCTCTGTCCACAACTTCGACGGGTGTTCTAGATCTCACCTCAAGCTCAGGGAGACCGATTGAAGTGACGTCCACAAACCTGTGTTCTGGTTTCGGTTTGTAGACGGTTATCTCAACGGTAACGGGACGTTCTCCTCCTCTCTCGTCGGGAACAGTTTCCGTGGTTGTCTTTTTCGTGATCTTGCCGGTATCGAGCTCGATCGTGTCCTCAGTGGTGAATTGACTCCTCGGGCCCTCATCAGAGGTGGTGACGCCGTCTACTGGCCCCTTCTCAGCTCGAGGTTTGTCCTTCTTCGGTTTCCTCGTTTTCTTGGGACGCATCTTGGTTTCATCCTGCTCGATAGCCTCGAGCGGTTCTGGTCCCGAAGGAACCACTTCCTCAATTTCTGTTTCCACGGTGCCATCGGGCCGTTTTGTGGTCGTGGTGGTGATGGTGGAGAGTCTCCTATCTGGCAGCACGATCTCCTCGACCATTTCTTCAACAACATCCTCAACAATGTCGGTCAAGGCAAACTCTCGTGGGATCACAGTGGTCGTTGTCACAGTTCTCTCGACTGATTCACCCGAAGGTTTCACCTCAGAGGTCCTCTTCTTCATTTTCTTTGTCTTCCCCACCTTGGCGAGTTTTGTTTCGTCGATGACTTCTCCTGGTCGAATCAGACTCAAGTCGAACGCTTCCGGTGAAACTTCGCACGTCTCGATGTCTTGAAGGAGGACCCCTGATTTCGTAGTGGTCGTTTTGATAGTTCTCTTCTTCGGTCTGCGATCGTTGTCAATGAAAATTACGGTGCTCTCCTCAACAACGTCTTTCTTCGAGCTCGTGGCTTCAACGAGCATCGGTTTCAGGACTTCCAGATCCGGGTATCCGATAGAAGTGAAATTGATATCGTGCGTCGATTTTTTTGGGACGAATCTCAAGCTCTCGATCACGACCTCTCCCCCCTCGAGGGCTTCGTCATCTCGAGGTTTCTTCTTCTTGACTTTCTTCTTTTCGATCCTACCGACATCGAGGACGATGTTATCCTCAACCATTCGGTCGAATTCTAGAGGCTGTGGTTGGTCAGTCTCCTCGGTTAGAACATCGAGAGTTCTCTCGTATACACCGTCTTTGCGTTTCTTTTTCTTTTCGACGGTCGTTGTCTTCCTCAGAGGCTCGATTTCCGTGGTCGTATGCTCTTCTACAATATCACGGATCGGGCGCCCGTAGAGGTCCTTGGACACTGGCATTGTCTCAGTCACCGCCATCTCCGGATGTCCAACGTCAGCAGGCGATACAACGGCAAAGAATTTCGGTTCGGGCTTGAACTCCCAGATTTCTGTGATCTCGGTGGAGTGAACGTTATCCGGTTTGAGGACTTTCTTAGTTTTCCTCCGTTTAGTTATCTTTCCGGAATCAAATTCAATTTCCTCCGTTTCTTCGGCAGGCTGCAGATCGAAAGTGTGCGGGAGGACTTCCCACTCATCGGGAGTGAAGAGAGTGGTTTCCTCCGTCTTGCAGACGGTGCCATCTGGTTTCTTGGACTTTCTGACGGTTTTTCGTCGCTTTCTGCCTTCAGCATCGATCTGCGAGATGACTCGCTGCTCCGTGATTTCTTCTGACGGTCTTCCGAGCGAATCGACGTCGATCGGGATTGTTTGCAAGACATCCAGCTCCGGATAACCGATGGATTCCAGGCTGATGTCCTGATGATCTTCGTGTTTGCGGAGAGTCATGATCTCGATTAGAGAAAGTTCTTCCGCTTGATTTGCAATCTTCGATGGTTTCTTACGCAACAGTTTTCGTTCCTTCACCTCTGCCACGCCCAGCTCGATGTCTGTCTCACTGAGTACAACGAACTGATCATCAGGTGCTCGATCGTCGTAGACCCTGCTAGGCTTCCGGCGAGGTTTCAGCCTCTTGGTCATGAATTCCGGAATTCCGGGAACCATTTCCTCGGCTTGTGTCTCCTCGAGCGAGATAATGGGTTCAGTCGGAGATGGTTCTCCTTCCCCAGGCAGAGCCTCCTCGATTTCTTTCTTCACAATCATTTCGATGGTGCCATCAGGTTTTTCGTTTTCTTCGTCGTTGTCTTCCGTTTGACCGGCTTCCCATCTTTTGTGGAGTGCTCGACTTCCACCACTCGTTCTGTGATTTCTCTGTTCACAACTCCGAAGGGTGTTTTAGATTTCACCTCGAGCTCAGGGAAACCAATGGAAGACACGTCCACGAGCCTGTGCTCCGGTTTGGGTTCATAAACGATTATTTCCACGGTAAGAGGACTTCCTTGTCCATCTTGGCCAGGGACAGTATCAGTGATTGTCTTCCTCGTTATTCTGCCAGTCTCGAGCTCGATCGTATCCTCGGTCGTGAACGGACTCTCCTGTTTTTCATCTGAGGAGGCACCTCCTTCCGGTGCTCCCCCGAGCTTGGATTTCAACTTCTTCGACTTTCCCTTTTTCGTCGGTTTTTTCTGAACATTTTCCGGCCTAGCTTCAACGACGGAATCCGGTCGAGAGGAGATCACTTCCTCAACTTTTGTTTCTACAGTGCCATCGGGACGCTTGGTGGTTGTTGTTGTCGTCGTTGAGAGTCTTCTATCCGGCAGTTCGATCTCCTCGACAACTTTTTCAACGATATCGTCGACGATGCCGGTCGTGGTGAACTCCCGAGGGGTCACCGCCATAGCGGTCACAGTGCGTTCGATTTTCTCCCCCGTGGGCGTCGACTCCACGATTCTCTTCCGGGTCGTCTCGATGACCTCTCTTTCAGTCAGGATCGTCTCCGAAACGACTTCTCCTGGCTCGATTGAGCTCAAATCGTACGCTTCCGGTGAGACCTCAGAAATCTCTACTTCCTGGAGGAGCACTCCTGATTTTGAAACCGTCGTCCTCACTGATTTCTTCTTGGGCTTCCGAGTGGCGTCCAAGAAAATGACAGTGCGTTCTTCCTTCTTGTCTGTTTTGGTGGAGAGCGCTCCCTTGAGGATCGGTTGTAACACTTCCAAGCCGGGGTGGCCGATCGAAGTCAAATCGACCTCGAGACCCGGGTTCTTCGGAGTGAACTTCAAGGTCTCGACGACGAAGTCCATCTCTTGCAAAGGCTCCTCTTCTCGGGGAGCTCTCTTCTTGGTGACCTTCTTCCTCTCTATCTTACCGACGTCGAGGACGATGTCCTCCTCCACAATTGAATCGATTCGAGATGATTCCGGGACATCGGTCTCTTCGGTGGAGATGGTGATCGACCTCTCGTGAACGCCATCTTTGCGTTTCTTCTTCTTCTCTTTGGTCGTAGTTTTAATACCGGGCTTGATTTCAACCATTGTGCGTTCTTCAACGATGTCCCGAAGTGGACGACCGTGTAGGTCCTTGGTGATAGGCATCGATTCGACTAAACTCATTTCCGGGAGACCGACATCGTCCGGCGTCACGAGTGCGAAGAGCTTCGCTTTCGGTTTGAATTCCCAAACTTCCGTGACTTCAGTTGATGGCCTGTTGTCTTGACTTTTTGTCTTTTTGGATTTTCTCCGTTTCGTTATTTCCCCGGCATCGAAATGGATTTCTTCTGTCTCTTCTACGGGCTCCAGGCTCAAGGGAACATCACACTCCTCAGCACTAAAGAGCGTGGTCTCCTCCCTTTTAGAGACGGTACCATCGGGTCCCTTGGATTTGCTGATGGTCTTCCGACGCTTTCTGCCTTCAGCATCGATTTGCGTGATGACTCTTTGCTCCCGAATTTCCTCGGTCGGCTTGCCAGAAGAATCGAAGGTTATCGGTACAGTTTGTAGGATATCAAGCTCGGGATAACCAATTGAGTCGAGAGCCACGTCCTGATGATCTAAGTGCTTGCTCAAAGTCACGATCTCAACCAGCGTGAGTTCGTCCGGTTGTTGGGACTGTTTCGCCGGCTTTCTACGAATCATCTTCTGTTCTTTCACGGTCGCGGCCTCGAGCGTTATGTCGCTCTCACTGAGCACGACGCATTGATCGTCAGGGGATTCGTCGTCGTACATTCGGGAAGGCTTGCGTCGAGGTTTTAGCTTTTTGGTTACGAATTCTGGAACTCCAGGGACCATTTCCTTCGCTTGTGCCTCTCCGTGTGAGATGGCAGGTCCAGTCGGAGATGGCTCTTGCTCCTCAGGCCGGGTTTCCTCGATCTCTTTCTTGACAATCATTTCGACGGTACCATCAGGTTTCTTCGTTTTCTTCGTCGTTGTCTTCCGTTTCACCGGCTTGCCGTCTATAGTGGAGGGTTTGACTTCCACCACCTGTTCCGTGAATTCTCTGTCCAAAACTTCGAGGGGTATTTTAGATCGCATTTCGAGCTCAGGCAAACCGATGGACGAAACGCTGATCTCCCCGTGCTCGGGTTTCGGTTTGTATGCGATTCTCTCGATGGTCACTTGACGTTCGCCGAGAATCTCATCGGGAATCATCTCAGTCGAAAATACCTTCGTCAATTCACCCGTTTGCAATTCGACTGTTTCTCTTGTCACATGTCGCCGGTCCTCCGAGCAGGGAGCTTCCGGCCGAGGACCTATTATTTCCTCCGTACACGTTTCCACGCTCCCATCAGGCCGTTTCGTGACAGTCGTGGTGATCGTCGAAATTCTCGAGTCGGGTAAAACAAACGTCTCCGTTGAATCTTCGACAAGGGTTCGCGGCACCGCACCCACGGTGTAAGTGTGGGGCGTGACTTTCGATACAGTCAACGTACGCTCAATCGTTTCGCCGGACGGGAGAGATTCGGTGATCTTTTTCCTATTCTGCCTCCGGGTTTCGTCTCTAGTGACGATGGTCTCCTCGATTATGTCACCCGGTGCGCTCGCCGTTAAATCATAGGTTTCCGGCAGCTCCTCGGAGACGGAGATGTCTTGTAAAAGCACTCCTGACTCCAAGGCCCGCGTTTTCACGATTTGTTTCTTGGCTCTGCCCTCGTTATCCACGAAGACGGTAGTGCTCTCTTCGACAACATCCCGCTTCGTGCTCAGAGCTTCGACCTGGAGTGGTTTCAGGACGTCTAGCTCCGGATACCCGATCGAAGTAAAATCGATATTATGAATGGCTGTCTTAGGAGTGAACTTTAGACTCTCGACATTGACCTCGATTTCTCGGAGGGATTCCCCGCCCTGGGGGCGTTTCTCAGTCAATCTCTTCTTGGTCCTCTCTATTTTGCCCGCATCGAGGGTGATAGTGTCTTCGAACAAACTATCGAAATCCAACGCTTTTGGAGACTGACTGATTTCTCTAATAGTGTCTACTTTTCTCTCGTGGCTTCCATCTTTGCGTTTCTTTTTCACTTCGATAGTTGTTATTCTCTCATTCGGTTTAGTTTCCACTGTCAAATGTTCCTCGAGAATATCGCGCGACGGTCCACCATGGACATCTTTCGGAACCGGGACCGTTTCCACGACTTTCATCTCCGGATGTCCGATTTTCTCTGGTGTAACGACAGAGTAGAATCGAACATCGGGTTCGAATTTCCAGGACTCCGAGGTTTCAATGCTCAGATCGCCCTTCCCTCTAACGATTCGCTTGGATTTTTTGTGCGAGCTTATTCTACCGGAATCGAACTTTGTCTCCTTGACCTCCTCGAGGGGCTCGGTATCGAAGACTTTTGGCAGGGTTTTCCATTCGTCAACGCGAGAAAGAGGGGTTTCTCTCGTCATGCAAACGGTTCCATCCGGTTTCTTGATTTTCGTGGTGTTTTTCTTGTGGGAGTTACCATCACTGTCGATGACTAGCTCAGAGGTCTCCTCAAAAATGTCTTCCGTGGGCGCACCGGAGGAATCGACGGCGATCGGAAGTGTTTGAATCACTTCCATCTCGGGATAGCCCAGCGATTCGAGCGAAACATGTTGTCGTTCAGGCTGTCGACACACCGAGACGACTTCCACGAAGTATATTTCTTGTGGCTTTCGAGATTGTTTGGGTTTTTTCCGAATGAACTTTTGCTCTCTTATCTCAATGCCTCTGAGAGTGATTCCACTCTCCGAAATCAGAACGAATTCATCGTTTGGAGCTCCCTCCGTTCGGCTGGGTTCCCCACGACGTTCCAAAATTTCAGTTATGGGTCCAGTCAAAACCGGTGAGTCTTTCGTCACCGGAAGAACCCCTCCCGATTTCGATGGCTTAGAGACGAGCTCGCCCAAATCGATCGTCTCTTGATCTTCAGCTCTCTGCTTTTCGACCACAACCTCGACCAGACCTTCGGGTGTTCTAGTCGTTGTGGTGGTAATTTTCTCAATGAACGTTCCACCATCGTCAGCTGACGGTTTGATTTCTACGATTTTTTGCTTGATTTGGTTCTCATGGATTTCGATGGGAATTGGGGAGCGAATCTCAAACTCAGGATAGCCTACAGAGGACAGACTTATATCTCGATCTTTAGTTTCAGGTCGATAAATGAGAGTCTCGACTTCAATCAATATATCGGGACCCTGCTCTTGAGGTATATTCCTAACTATCTTCCTCGTTTCAATCTTACCGGTGTCGAGAGTGATGGTACGCGCAGCTTTACGCGTCGTAGATTTTACTTTCGGTCGGACGTCTCTGATGCTGAACGGCTCCGGTTGAATTTCTTCGATTGAAGCCGGCTCCTCACTTATGACTTCCTCGATCCTCGTCTCGACGGTTCCGTCGGGTCGTTCAGTCACGGTGGTAGTCGTCGTTGAAAGTCTCCTATGCGGGAGAACTGTTTCTTCGACGGTCTCCTCAGTCACCTCATGAACATCTTCACTGAGCGTGAAAGTGTGAGGCGTCACCGTGGACACCGTGAGCGTACGCTCAAGGGTCTGTCCAGTCGGAGTTAGTTCCGTAGTCGCTTTTTTAGTCTTTTTCGTCGTGGAACTTTTCGACACAATCGTTTCATCGATCACGTCGCCAGGCTTCCCTTCAGTCCAATCGTAGGCATGCGGAGCGACTTCGGAAACTTCAATCTGCTGCAGGAGAGCTCCGTCTTTGGTCGCTGTCGTCTTGACGTTTTTCTTTTCAGCTTGCAATCGACATCGATGAAAACGCTCGTGCTCTCTTCTGCCGTGTCTTGCTTCGCGCTCATCGCCTCGATACGTAGGGGTTGGAAAACATCGAGCTCCGGATACCCGATGGACGAGAACTTCATGTCCCGTATCGGTTTCGAAGGACTGAATTTCAAGCGCTCGATGACGATTTCCACGTCTTTAAGCGGCTCGTCCGATCGAGGTTTTTTCTTCCGCGTTTTCTCTTTCTCAATTTTCCCAGCATCGAAAACAATTGTCTCTTCCACGAGATGATCAGCCGCCTGAAGCTCGACCGCCTCGGGAATCTGCTCCGTTTGGACGGTCACCTTTCTTTCGTAGGCGCCGCTCTTGCGCTTTTTCTTCTTGACCACCGTGACCGTTTTCATTCCCGGTTCGCTCTCGACGACGGTGTGCTCTTCGACGACGTCGTGGAGTGGACGTCCGTATTTATCTTTCTGGACAGGTGTAGTCTCAGCAACGCTCATCTCGGGAAGCCCGACCGAGTCCGGTGAAACGATGGAGTAGAACTTGAGATCGGGTTTGAATTCCCAGAGCTCGGTGGTCTCAGTGTGGGTTGCGCGGTCTGGTTTTACCACTTGCTCTGATTTCCTCCGTTTGGTGATCTTCCCAGAATCGAACTTGATTATTTCTTCTGCTGGTTGCTCGAATGAGGCCTGAGGCAACTTTTCGGTTTCCTCCGCGGTCAGCAGCGGGGTCTCTTCGACCTTCGCGTAGGTCCCGTCGGGCTTCTTGATCTTCTTGACGGTCTTGGTCCGAGGACGTCCGGAAACATCGAGTTGCATCACGGAACGCTCTTCGCCGATGTCCTCAGCCGGTCGGCCTAGAGCGTCGACTGAAACTGGCACACTTTGCAGAACTTCGAGCTCAGGGTAACCGATAGACTCAAGACTGACCTCGCGGCGCGAAGGCTCCTCTGGATGACGACGGAGGACGGTGACTTCGATTAGGGAAAGTTGTTCTGGCCTCGTGAGCGTGCGAGGTTTCTTTCGGATGACTTTCTGCTCCTTGAGGGTTGCGCCGTTGAGAACGATGTCAGTCTGCTCAATGACCGTGAATTGTTCTTCAGCCAGAATTTCGGGTGCTGCTTCACCCGGACCGACCTTCGCCGTGGAAGGCAACAACTCCCACATCTCCGGCATGATTTCCTCCACGGCCGGGACGGGGGAAGAACCCTCGATTTTCGAGGTTTCGATAACTGTCTCGATCATACCATCTGGGGTCCTGGTTTTCTTCGTGACGACTCTTTCTTGGAGCGGTTCCCCGTCTCTACTGGAACGCCTCACCTCGACGGTACGCTGCGTTTCGGGCTTTTCGAGCACCTCGATAGGTACCTTCGAACGCACTTCGAGTTCCGGATATCCAAGAGACGACACGTCGACGTCCCGATGCTCCGGTTTGGGCTTGTACTCAATCACCTCCACTGTCACTTCTTGCGCCAAGCCCTCCTCAGGTTGAACCTTGACTGAGGATTTCCTCCTTTTTATAACTCCGGTCTTGAGATGGATGACTTCCTCGCTCGTTTCCGAGAATGGCGCTTCTTCGGGGATTCTTTCTTGGCTCACGATTTGTGTGATTTCCGGTTGACTCGGTGTCGGAGTCTCGGTGATTATTTCTTCCACTGTGGTCTCAACAGTTCCGTCGGGTCGTTTCGTGACTGTCGTTGTGGTTGTGGAGAGCCTCCGGTCCGGAAGGTGTACCTCTTCGATCGTCTCTTCAACAATGTCCTCACTCATACCGCTCGGCTGGTACTCGTGAGGGACCGCGGTGCATACGGTCAGAGATCGCTCATACGATTCGCCTTCGCTCGAAGTTTCAGTAGTTCGAGTTCTGCTTCGCTTGACGGTCTCTTTCTCGGTGACAGTCGTCTCATCGATGATGTCACCAGGTTTCGGGGAAATGAGATCGTAAGTGTGCGATGGGACATCGAAAGTTTTCATCTCTTGCAGGATTACTCCTTCCTTCGTAACAGTGGTCTTAACGGTTTTCTTCTTGACCTTGCGGTCGGCGTCGATGAAGATCACGCTGCTCTCTTCGGCGACGTCACGCCTTGTACTGATGGCTTCGAAATGGATCGGCTTAGCGACCTCGAGCTCAGGATACCCGATCGAAACGAAGCTCAACTCCGGCGAGACTCGTCTCTTCGGAGTGAATTTCGTGATCTCTACGACGACTGCTATCTCTTCCCGCGGCTCGTCGGCTCGTGGCGTCCCCGTTGTGGTTTTTCGTTTCTCGACTTTCCCGATATCAAGAAGGACGCTCTCTTCGACTATATGAGTGAATTCCGTTGGCTCGGGAATCTCAGTCTCTTCGGTGCGGACGTCGACTCTCCTCTCGTGGACGCCGTCTTTGCGTTTCTTCTTCTTCTCCACGGTCGTGATTTTTTGACCCGGCGTCGTTTCCACAACGGTGCGTTCTTCAACCACATCGTGCACGGGACGCCCATAGATGTCCTTGCTGACCGGCACGCTTTCGGTCACCGAATACTCGGGATATCCAACTTTGTCGGGTGTGACAACGCTGAAGAATTTCACGTCCGGTTTGAACTCCCAGACTTCGCTGGTCTCCGTCAACGTGGTTCGATCTAGTTTCTGGATTGGTAACGATTTTCTCCTCCTGGTTATCTTCCCGGAATCGAGTTTCGTCTCTTCGGTCTCTTCGAGCGGCGTCATCTGGAAAATCTGCGGCAGTATCTCCCATTCCTCTGGCGCGTGGAGTGACGTTTCTTCGGTTTTCGTGACCGTGCCATCTGGTTTCTTGACTTTCTTGATAGTTCTCTCACGTGGTTTACCTTGAGAATCGACTCGGATTATCGAACGCTCTTCCTTCAAGTCCTGCGTCGGCATGCCACGCGAATCGACGACCACAGGCAATGTTTGGAGGATTTCAAGCTCGGGATAACCGAGAGATTCCAGTGTCACGCGCTGACGTTCCGGTTTACGGACGACGGTAACAATATCAACGAGGGAGATCTCTTCGGGTCTCTGTGTCGTTTTCGGCTTTTTCCGAATCATTTTCTGTTCTCTGATGTCTACTCCAGGGAAAACGATCTCGCTCTCGGCCACCATGGTAAATTCGTCATCGGGACCCCGGTCCGCATACATGCGGGTCAGTTCTCGACGGGGTTTCAATCGCTTCGTGATGAATTCCGGAACGCCCGGAACGACTTCTTCAGTCATGGCTCGCTCGTATTTCACCTCCTTGTAGGTCTGCGGTCGAACTTCGAAATGCTCTTGGGGCTCTTCTTCGATGAAATCTCTCTCGACCGTCATCCTCACCGTACCATCGACGTCTTTTGTTTTGGTCGTCGTAATTTTCTCTCGCTTCGATTCATCTTCACGACACGGCAATTTCACGTCTACGACGCGTTCAGTGACTTCATTCCCATGAATTTCGACCGGAATTCTGGAGCATACCTCCAATTCCGGGAAACCGATCGAGGAGATGCTGACGTCTCGGAATTCGGGTTTCGGTCGGTATTCGGTGATTTCCACAGTGTAATCGAGATCTGGTCCAGATGCTCCAAGACTTGGTTTCTTCTTTTTGATAATCTTCTTCGATAAATCGCCGGTCCTCAGCACAATGGTCTGCTCACTGATCTCTTCAGGGCCGGCTTCCTCCCCTGTTTTTCCTGTGTTTCGGCGACATCAGATACCGAGGGTCGCGCTTCATGCCGGTCGGGTCCTCTCGGCCCAGAAACGATCTCCTCGACCGTTTTTTCCACGGAGCCATCAGGTCGTTTGATGACAGTGGTGGTCGTCGTAGAGAGCCTTCTGTCCGGGAGAACGATCTCTTCGATCGTCTCTTCCACGATGTCTCCTGTGATGTCCTCCTTGATCGAATATTCCAGCGGAGTCACATTCGAAACCGTCACGGTTCGCTCGATTGTTTCGCCCGTGAGCGTCGTCTCCGACACCGTTTTCCTCGTTCCCTTGGAGATTTGGTTCTCGGAGACAGTGGTCTCTTGAATTACATCTCCGGGTTTGGCCGAGGTCAGATCGAAAGTCAGAGGATGGATTTCAGAGGTTTCAGCCTCCTGGATCACGACGCCGTCTTTCGTGGCTTTCCTCCTGGTTGTTTTCTTTTTTGGTTTGCGATCGACATCCATGAAAATCAAGGTACTCTCCTCAACCACGTCACGTTTCGTGCTGACTGCTTCAACGTGGAGCGGTTTCAGAACGTCGAGCTCCGGATAACCGATGGACGTGAAGCTGATTTTATGGATGGGTTTTGTCGGAGTAAACTCAATGCTCTCAATCACAACGTCTACGCCTGTGAGGGGCTCTTCCTCTAGAGGTTTCTTCTCTTTGAGGGATTTCTTCCGGATTTTGCCGACGTCTAGAACAATCTCTTCCTCCACCATGTGGTCGTACTGCGAGGGCTCGGGAATTTCGAATTCTTCGGTGAGAATATTCACGAGTCGTTCGTGCGTCCCCTCTCTGCTTTTCTTCTTTTTCTCCTTTGTCGTGATCTTCTTCGTTGGTTCAGTCACCACGGTCGTACGCTCTTCCAAAACATCCTGGACAGGACGTCCATGAACATCCCGTGTGCAGGGTAAAGCTTCTGCGACCATCATTTCAGGATGTCCGATGCTTTCCGGGGTAACGATACTGTAGAACTTAACCGTGGGTTTGAATTCCCATAGCTCGGTCGTGTCTGTGAGGATCGCCGTCCCTTGCGGGGTGCGTTTGGTTTTTCGTTTCCGAGAAAGTTTTCCGGAGTCGAATTTTATCGTCTCGATTTCTTCGAGAGGTTCGAGACCGTAGATTTGTGGAAGAATTTCCCATTCTTCTAATGTAAGAAGAGTGGTTTCTTCGCTTTTCGAAACGGTCCCGTCGTTTTTCTCTGTTTTCGTTATGATCTTCTTACGTGATCCACCTGCTGAGTCCGTGGTCAGCACCGTCCGCTCTTCGGTTATTTCCCCCAGGCTGGCGGAGTCGACGCTGATTGGGAGCGTTCGGAGTACTTCCAGCTCGGGATAGCCAAGAGATTGGAGGGAAATGTCCCGATGCTCGGGATGCTTCCGGAGGGTCAGGATTTCGACCAGACTGATTTCTTGCGGACGTTGTGGAGTCTCGGGTTTCTTACGAATCATTTTCTTCTCGTGCACTTCCGCCACTTGGAAATCGATAGTGCTCTCCGAAATGAGCATGAACTCGTCGTCCGGCGCTCGATCCTTGTACAATCTTGTGGGTTCACGACGAGGTTTGAGTTTCTTGGTGATGAACTCCGGCACGCCGGGCCGGACGTCTTCGACTCGCACTGCTTCCAGCGGAATGGGCATATCCGTTGGCATATCAGCTGTTGACGGAACAGGCGTCTTCTCGTCAGGCGCTTCCAGTATCGGTTGCCGCTCAACGGTCATCTCAATGGTTCCATCTGGTTTCTTTGACTTATGGGTCGTGACTTTCTCCTTCCCTCCTCGTCGAGTCGGCTTTATCTCCACCGTTCTCTCGGTGACCTCGCGGTCTGCAGGAATGACCTTGCTCTGGATTTCTACCAGTCTCGGTATGTTCTGCTGTAGTTCGAGCTGTGGGAAGCCGACTGACGAGACCGTTATTTCTCTAGAGTCCGGGCGGAACACCGTGGTTTCGACGGCGATTTCTTGTTCCTCGCTATCACCGACCGGCGGACTCTTCTTGGTTGTCCTCTTCCTTTCGACTTTACCGCCTCTGAAAACGATAGTCTGTTCTTCGGTCTCCGTCGATTCGGGCGCATGGCCCGGTCGGATCGATTCAAACGTCTCAATGGTCTTCTCAACGCGGTCATCGAGCTTCTTCGTTCGTTTTTCAACGGTTCTGGCTGATCTGAGTGGCGATTCGACGATCGTGACGATCTCCTCCGTCATGTCCAGAGGTTCGTCCAAATTCGTGAACGTACGAGGCAAACCATGGACCTCGATCATCTCCAAAAGCTCATCATCGACGATCTTGAGATCGCGTTCCGATGGCTGGAAGCTCACGATCTCGTGCGAATGAACGATTTCCTCTTTCGGCAAGCTCTGCTTCTTAACTGCTTTGCGTTTGACGATCTCGCCGGCGTCGAAACGATCTGTGATCTCGCTTATCTCGTCTGGTGCTTCGCTCATGTTGAACTCTCGTGGCTCGACCGAGAAACTTCCCGGTCTGTCGAGGGAAATTTCTTCAACGCGCTCGATAGTTCCGTCGGGAAGCGACTCCACCTTCTTGGTTCGTTTCTCGGTCTGTCCACGCCTTGTCAGTGTTCTTTCGAGTGTTTCCTGTACTTTTCGAGGCTCATCGGTCATCGACGAAGTGATCTCTTTGGGCGCGACCAAGGACTGTCTCACTTCGAGTTCCGGATATCCGATGGAAGTCGCTGTCACCTCGGGGAATCCAGGTTTCTTTTTGAAAACCGTGACTTCGATATCGCATTGGGGTTTGTTCTGATCCCTCACTTTCCTCTTGGTTACGATGGCGCTCCCGAAGTCTAAGGTTTCTTCTGAAAATAGACAAGACTTAGTTTTCGTGCATCACGGGAGCGTTCGAAAAAAAGCTAAAATCGCAAAATAAAAAGTTGAATAATGTTCTTTATGCGTGAATTTAGCGTGAACTGTAGACGACCAAACTCAAATCCCACAAGCCGTCGAATGTGAGAGAAGCATGATCCCTCTCCGAAATTGAAGCCTGGCAATTTCAATTATCCGTTGTGGCGGAAGTGTGTTCCAGCAGCATTATATGTATGCGTATACCTAGTATTATACAGCTTAGAACGGAATACTCCTCCAATCCCTGTGATTTAATTGATTGATGATGTTTCTCCGACTGTGACGCCGCGCCGGCTGGAGCGGCTACCCCTCCAAGCATTATATGTATTTGTAAAAGCGTTCCAGGACAAACCCGGTTCCTCGCAAGCGGATGTTTCGCGTTGTGGCCGCTCTGCTCAGCAAGCAACGATGACGGTAGCTTGTCTCGATGACGTCTTTTGCGTTACTCTGCTGTTCGGAGTCATTTTCGGAAACATCTCCTTGTCGCAAGCAATTATCGTAAGAAGCATGATTCGAATGAAAGCCGGAAGTTTCGGAAGCCTTAATTCTTGTCGGCGCGCTGTATGCGGCGAACCGAAGCCATGTTGTGTCGACCGAAGCGTCTTCGGAAGCGGAATTCTGTCCTCGGACTGTCCCTTACCGTTGATCACGTTCTTCGAATCGAATGTTTCCCTCTGACTGGGTCCCCCGCGTGACGTGTACCCATGGGGCGCTTGAGCATCGCCACGGTCGTCGCTGGGTTGAACAGAGGCTTCCGCTACGAAATTGAGTTCGATCTGCTCAGGGCTGATGGGCAGCTCGAAACGTAGTTGCTCCACTTTACCGGAGGGCATTCGAGCAATCCTGTTGACTTCTTTCCTGCCTTGTTGTCCGCGAGGCCCCCTAGAGACTTTGCTGACTTCCAAGACAACCTCTTCATCAGTTGGCGTCTCCATTGTTTTGGTCAGATTCATTCGAGGTAAGATGTCCATTTCCGGGTGACCAAGAGTTGTGAAATCTAGGGGAGCTCCAGGAAATCCCGGCTCCAGGACTACTCGCTCGACTCTCCTGGGATCCAGCTCTCCAATCACCGAGTCCGCCCTAGGCTCGAGAACGCTTCGAATCAGCTTAGCGCTTCCCCGTGCAGTCTCGAAGTCGATCGCTTCTTCAAAAACTACGTCGAAATTTTCAATGCGCGGGAAATGATCAAGACTATCATCCATAGACTCTTCGGTAGTCATTTCAACGACTTGAGTTTTCGGCTGACGACTGATTTTGGTTCTTCTCGTTCTCGAGGCGCCTCCATGAGCTCCGATCCGCTCCACGATCTCCACGTTCTCCACCTCGGGGGCTAATTTACCACAAGGAAGCTCTGAGATCGTTTCGGGCCAGGCCGTCAGAGAAATCTTTGATGCAGTCGGCCCGGAAATCGTGAGTCGTGCCTCCGGGAATTCTCTCCCCGAGTGTGGGCGCTCCGTCGGCGCTTCCCTTTGACGCACCTCCGGACCCGGAATAGCACTGGTTTCCTCTGGAGCTCGTCCGAGCGCATGGACCGCAGGAGTGTCGGAAGATTCCTCCAGCGTGACTGGTGAACCCACTGAAGTCGATCCACTGAGGATCGGTATCTGATGCCTAGCATTGGTTTTCTCAACTGGTGCAGCTATTTGTTTGAGACCCGGAGGGGAGCTTGCGTCCTGACCTCTGTCTGTACTATCGATGGCCGTCGCTCGGCCTATGTACGACTCGTAACACTCTGGAGTGATGTCAGAGATGTGAACTGTTTGTTCGAGAGTATCGAATGGTTTTTTGGTGATCTCGATTGTTTTCTTTCGAGGAATCTTGGTCGTTCTATCAATGAACACGTGGGTTGTTTGGTGGGTGATGTCACCCGAAGCGGGAGGCTTCGACAATTCGAACGAAAGCTTCGGTATGGCATCGAGTTCTGGATACCGTTGCTCCAAGCTGTCAGAAATCAACACTGGGAGGCGAGGAGCACCATCGGCTATCGAATCTCCATTCGTAAGGTCCGGGCTTGCCTGACTGGAGAATCGGGTCTCCTGCTCAGAATTTTTGAATCCGGGAGATCTGATCGTTCCAAAGTCGACCTCCTCCGAGGCTTTGTTCTTCTGAGGGCTTTGAGCGTTCGAGACCTCTTCTGATATTTGCTCAATTGATCCTGAAGGTTTCAGGATGGTTCTGGACTTCTTGACAGATGGCCCAACCGCTTGTGAGCCGCTTGTTTTCTCGATGATCTCCACCACTTGCGGGGCCGACTCAGAGCTATCTGGCTCGTTTGGAAGCGGACCAATAAGTTTTTCTAGGTCTTCTCTCCGCAGAGGTCGAACCTGTTTCGGCTTCAAGGAGACATGCCTCACAATCGATTGCGTATTACCGATGTCATTTCTGAGAGTTTTGATCTTCAGAGTATACTCCGGTTTCTCGTTCAACTCCCACGGCACCTTCTCTAAGGCATCTAAATCGCTGAACTCTAATTGGGTCTCTCGACTCGGAAGCGGTTTCTGAACCGAGCCCTCGATAGAGGGAATTCGCCTTGTGTACATCGAGTAAGCGAGTGGAGAGATCGTTTGAGTACAGACAACCTGTTCGATAACGTCCGGAGAAAACTGACAAGTTTTGACGAATTTCCTCATCGGTCTATCCTGAGAGTCGAGGAAGACTTCGGTGGTTTCTCTCAGGAATACTCTAGGCTCGGCTATCTGCGTCTCGACAGAAATTTGACGTCGCACATCGAGTTCGGGGAAGCCGAGGGCTCGTGCATCGATGGGCTTTCCTTTCTCTTCCGCTGTAATGACCGTGACTTCCAAATCACCGACGGCTTCACCTCGAAGGCTCTCGGGGGTATTGATGAATCTGCGCTTCGTAATCAGAGCTGGGCCAAGATCAATGGTTTCGGCAGCGATGAGTGAACCACCGAAGTTTCTCGTGGATTCGATCTCCGGTCCACTGGACTCAGATTCCAAAACGCTCTGTTCGATCGCCCCGGGTGATTTCCGCAAAGTTTTCGTTGTCTTCGTTTTGAGTTTACCCTTACCGTCACCCACTTGGTCAATGCTCTCCACGAAGGTGTCAGCTGATACATTCCGACCTTCATTCGGAAGGAGGCGAGTATCGGATTCGCGGGGAAGAGACGGCTTCGCGAGCCCTGAATTCCCGGGCTCGAACAACATGTGAGTGAAGTGTACTGGTAGCGTTTTTTCGTCAAATTTAACCTTCTTCGAGAGAACCTCGAAAGATTCTCCCTTAGGATTTCCTTCGATCCCGCTAGGAAGTTCGATCGCTTCGGGGAGGTGGGGATGTGAGGGTCCTCTACCATCGAGGACAGCGTCAGCATCGGGCAGAGAACCTACACAGAGCTCCTTCGAGAGGTCATAAACGGCCGGCGAGACATCGAGAACTTTGATGGTTTGTACAACGCTCCCCTTAGGGCTCCTGGAGGTTTTAATGATTTTCTTTCTCGGTTTCCTAGAAGAGCCATCTACATAGAAGACTGTGGCTTGCCAGAACGAATGCTTTGACGGCTCCATCACCGAGCTCGTCGTAATTCGCTGCATTGTTTTCAATTCCGGGAAGCCAGAGCTCGAAACGTCCACATGTTGTTCAAGCTCTGGTTCGAAAGTGCAAACTTCAGACGAGATTTCACTGATGCTCGGACTCGACGGAAAGTCCATGGGCTCGAGTAGTCGCTCAGTGAATGTGCCTCTCTCCAATTTGACCGAGCCCTCCGAGATAACCGCAGGCTGGGTCGAATCCACCGCGTGTATCAATGTCCGACCGGGTTTCTCAATGGAAACCTGTTCGATCCTTCCGGAGGATTGGAATAGCAAATTCGATCTCTTGACCATCGGCTCACCCCGTTGGTCTACGATCTCTTCAATGACATCGATGACCATTGCGTGTTGCTCTGAACGATCGATATCGACCGGACAAACCCTCAAATAGTCCTTGGGGAGCTCGTTCTGGGAGGAGCCAGGAATTTTTGGCTCGAAAACAATTTTTTCCAGGATCGTGGTTTCATTTGCAGAGCTTTCGCCAGGAATCACGGCGCTCTGCATTGAGATCTCGTAGCCGACGTCTTCGGTGGTCTCTATGGGTGTTTCCCTCAGGGCAATCCATTCCGGCTGTTCGCGTTCGGAACTTGCGGCTTCCTTCGAAGGGAGCACGAGGAGCTTGAAAATACTCAAAGGAATCTCGTACTCGCTCACTATGCTCTCGACAGAACCGCTCGGCTTCTGCGAGATTCTCGTCACTCGCTTCTTTGGGACACCCGATAAAGCATCGACGAAAACTTCGGTCTTTTCTGAAGTCAAGTCCAACGGTCGATGGAGTTCGGCTCCGAATGACACCGGGCCTTCGACATTGAGCTCGGGAAAACCGAAAGCTGTTACGTCTATCTTGATATCGGAAGCCTTGGGCTCTAGCCTTGTCAGCCGTACCTCGATCGGCTTCGAGCTGCCGGCTACCTTTCTCTTTGGCTTGAATCTAAGCTTGGTGATCTCGGATGCTCCAAGATCCAGAGAGTCCTCGGCTATCTGCTGGAGGGAACTCCTGTCGACCGTGGGCAACGTAAGTTCCCCTTTGTGTTCCTTCGAAAGCTTCTCGACGGAACCGGAAGGCGACCGAGTCGTTCTGCTTCTCCTCACCCGACGGTCCCCTTCAGCATCGACAACGCTTTCTACTGTTTCCACCAATATCGGTGCATTTTTGGAGTAGTCCGTGCCAGCCAACGGCAGACCGATTTCGGGAGGCAGCGAGTCACTTTGGAAGGCACTGAACTCTGTGGGCTCGAAGAGAATATTTTGCACCGAGACCGGCACGGGCATCGACTCATGCTCGGCCAGAATCACTTCTTTCTTACGGACGACACCGGCGGTGCTCTGGAGAATCTCTTCGGGGGCATCGAACAGCAGATCCTCGACGACATCGTCCGGGATACCGTCCGTGACATCCTCTCCAGAGGCTGTTGGTACGAGTTCTCTGAGTATCTCAGGAGTTATGTCGAAAATTCTGACCCGCTGTTCGATGACTCCGGAACGTTTCTTCTCTAATCTCGTCTCCTTGAGTTTGGGTTTGCCGTCCAGGTCATCGACGTAAAGCTCGATTTTTTCGATGCTGACATCTCCGGAAGTGGGCGCTTCCCGCCTAGAGCTCAGTTTGGGTGCGGTGGCGAGATCTGGCACATCGAGCGCTTCTACTTTCACTCGGCTCTGATAGCGTTTCGGCTCCAGGATAATGATTTCGGTATCGGGCATTCTGAAATGGTCCGAGGTTTGTTGCTCCGGACTCAAGAGGATCTTCGTGAGAGTTGCCGGGCCTAGGTCCGAGATTTCTTTCGAGACGATTATCGATTTCGGCTCGTCGGAAATATTCATGGGGCGAGGGCTCTCTCGTTCCTCGGAGAGCTTCTCGATCTTCCCTGAAGGTCTCCGAATGACCCTTGTCCTCCGAAGCCGAGGCTTACCCCGGGAGTCAACGAAACGCTCACGCTGCTGAATCAAGTGTGGAGCATGAGGCGACGAGAGGCTTCCCTCGGACAGATTTCTCAATTCTTCCGGCCAGTGCTCTCTGTCGACAACAGTGTATTTCGGTCTCATGACCTGACTCTCATACTCGACTACCCGGGCTAATCCTTCCCCGATGCTTAGAGCCCTCTTCTCGACGATGAACTCATTGGATTCACAGATTTCTTTCTCAATGTCACGCATTTCCTCGGGGAAATTTATCCTTTCCAGTTTTGGAAGTCGACTGATGAAAGCTCGCTCGTTCGAATCCTCCTCAGGGAGCTTCCTCGATTTATAACCTCCTGGTTGCCTACTCGACTCGGAGATGTCTAGCTCGACTCCCTCCCCGGATTCCCCTTCTTTATCGACAGGTTCATTGTCCGCATTCCCCTCTTTTCGACCTTGATGTGTCCGTTCGGCAGGTCTCGCTTGGATCTCGATTGGGCGAATTTCGTCGTCTTCAATAGGAGTCCAACGGAGGGTTTCGGGATTCAACTCGAGCGCTTCCCTGCGCAGAGTCCACATCGGGGTCTCGATGATTTCTTCCGGCGCCTCGGCTAAGGCTTCGGAGACAGATACATTCAGGATATCGGGCTCGTCAATGAGTCGTTCGAAAGTCTTCGGAGAGACTTCACGAACAATTCTCACTTGGGTTATCGATCCGGAAGGCTCTCGTTCGGTCCTTGTGGTTCGTAACATGAGTTCTTTAGTGCGCGAATGTTGGAATAATTCGATCTTCTCTATGACCGCACTGCCTGTGGGGGTCGCCCTCCGTTGCACCGCCTCAATGGCATCCGTATCGATATCTGGATGTTTCAGTTCGCGGGGCGATCCGCTGTTGGGTCCGAATTCCAATGTGAACACCTCCATCGCCGTGATCTCAGCCTTATGTGGGGTCAATGCCTTAGGAAGCAACTTGTGTCTGAGGATCCGCACTCCACCCGAGTCTGAGGTCTCCATCGTAACTGGAGTTGCCTCGAGATGATCCGCAATCGGGTGACGTAGGCGACCCTCTGATTCCCTTGAAATCTGCTGAATATCTCCGGAGGGAGACCTCGATATGACGGTGATCCTCACGCGAGGCGACGGATGCCCCTCGACGAAGAACTCTTCCCTAGTTTTTATCGAGGCCGTGGTTGCCTTCCCGTGCTCGGGCTTCAGCAAGGACGTGCGGAGCTCCGCAGGAACGTTCCCATACTTCCTTGAAGATCGCTTGGGTTCGAATTTGAGTCTTTCGAAAATGACATTGCCCGAGGGTGGCCTCGTCCCAATCCGATGGAGCTTTTCGGGACGGCGCGAATCCGAGATATCTTCGATTCGCCCCTCGGTCTCGTCCGGAACCCGCTTCCTTACGGACGATTTGAAGGCTTCGGTGTCCAGTTCGAATAGGCTCACCGATTGTTCAATGATCCCTGATGGTTTCCTACAGATTCGAGTAATTTTCTTGACCGGCTTGTGGCTTTCGCTGCTCATGAAGATCTCTGTCTTCTCCGAAGCGGCTTCGGCAGTGCTGGACAATAGAATCCTCGGGCTTACATCCAATTCAGAGTATCCCGAGGATTCGACGTCGAGCGTACGACGGGGACTAACCCGTTTGAGAATCGTGATCTCCATCTCAACCGGTAAGGGGACTGACGACTTCTGCGTTTTCGGCTTCAGTTTGCGCTTCGATACCTTCGAGTCGCCGAGATCGATAGTGTCCTCGGACACGGGCATGAAATGAGGTGAATCATCGGGAATTGTTGGAATACTTGACGACGTCCTTGCCCTCTCTTCGCTCAATTGCTCTATCACACCTGACGGCTGCCGGGTAACTCGTGTTTGCCGAGCCATCGGTTTGCCGTCCGAGTTCACAAACTCTTCAACTTGTTCGATGAGAACTGGACTCGAGCTGGAATAAATCGCCCTGAGCGGTGAAAGCTCTATTCGTTCCGGCAGATCATTCTCACCAGCATCCGGAGCTTTGGGGTGAAGTGAGATAAGCTCGAGCTCACGCGGAGAGCTATCTCCCTCGCCTCGAGTTTTCAAGAACTTGGCATGCATCGTGAATTTGGGGAACTCGATAACCTCCCCCGGTACGCTGCTCCGTACACTCTTCTCGTCGATGTCGGAGAAGATGGGAGTACCCGCGATTCTCGCTTCTGGCTGCGGCGTGATATCGTAGGAGGAAACTCGACGTTCAATCTCCCCTGATGGTTTCTTTGTCATCCTCGACACGACTTTCTTCGGTTTGCCAGCGGCATCGACAAAAGTTTCGGACTCCTCGATTGTGGCCTCGATAGGCAGGGACTCTTCCGATTCGATCGTGATTCTCGAGAGCACATCCAACTCGGGATAGCCGAGAGACGCTGCATCAATCGAAGTTGAACCTTCTTTCGGCGTCAGCTTGAGGACCTCGACGTGAATAGGCGTCATGGCAGGAGATGAATTCTCACTAGGTCCGAATTCTTGCTTGATCAAGTCCGCATCCCCGAAACTTATTTTCTCTTCACTGAGCATGAGTTCTTCCGCTAGACATGGAAGAGGCTCGAGGGACTTCCCTTCGAATTCCTCGACAGCTCGGAAGACGTCACCTCCTGCACTTTTGTGCATGATCGTCTTTTTGCTCTTGTATTTGCCGGGACGCTCGGACGCAATCTGCTCTATAACTTCCGACTTTTGGGTTGGGTTCGCGAGAATGCTCGACTCCGATTCTGGGAGAATAAGCGTTTCAGTCTCGTCAGCAGCTGCTAAATCCGAAGTCGGGGAGGGGTTAAGTTCGTCGAAAGTTTTCACGACCTGTTCTATCAGACCGCTCGGTTTCCTCGAGACTCTAGTGACTCGTCTCTTCCGGCTCCCATCAGGATTGATGACCACTTCACTCTTTTCGATCGATTGAAAGGAAGTCGATCCCACCTCTGTTTTCGGTGGCAACCCAGGGAAGACGTCGAGCTCGGGATAACCGAGGGAAACAACGTCTAGCGGAGCGCTCTTCGAAACAGGTGTGATCGTGAGGATCTCAATTTCATGAGCTTGAGTCCCGAGTGCGGGCTCATCGATTGGGAGCCTCGGTTTCAGTCTGCGTTTTCTGACCTGAGCGGTCGGGAGATCGATTTTATCCTCAGAAATTAGGACAGTGCCGACGAAATCGTCGGCAGCATCTGTTGGCGACTCCTCCACGTGAGCCTTGTGGGGTGCAGCTCTCGGGGACTCATATTCCCGGGTCGGAGTGACAGACGACAATCGATCACAGCTCGTGAGCAGCTCATACCTATCAGATGATATCGGGAAAGATATCACCGTTTGACTGATTTCTCCCGTCGATTCCCTCTCGGTTCGCGTTGTTCTCTGTTTGGGTTTGCCCTTCGCGTCGACGAAAATCTCACTCATTTCTATCACAACTTTATCTGATGGCTGTGGCTTGGATTCGAAGGATACCATTCGAACCACGTCCAACTCGGGATACCCGATGGCTGTCACATCGATATCTCGCTGATCATTGTTGGGTTTCAGCAGCGTCACGTCGATGTCGATAACCGTACCATCTGTTTGCTTGGGTGTATACTTCTTCTTAACCAGTTTGGCTGTTCGGAGATCGACAGACTTTTCGGATTTCAGAATTAGGTCGGACTCCTCGAACTGAGGCGGAGCGACTGTGCCGTCAGACTCGATGGAGATCTGTACAATCTGACCTGAAGGAAAACGAATACATTTTGTCTCCCGTTTCTTCGTATTCCCAGTGACCTCAACGACGGCTTCCGTACTTAGAACGACACTCGTTCTATTCTTCGAGTATTCAGGTTTCAGCGGATTGATCTTCATCTCTTTTGGCAAATCTCTCACGGAGTATGACGATGTTTTCGGTTCGAAGATGACTTGTTCGACTCTTGTATTAACTGGAGAATCTCCGCGATCTGGGCGAAGTTCTTTTGTTTTGATTCTAGATCTTCGATTTTCAGTGACTCGCTCCGGAACTTGTTCCAGAGCCTCTGCCATTGCTGGAGTGAGGAGGACATTCGGGGCGGGAGCAAAGTTGGAAGGTCCAAGAGGATTCGCTGAAACCACGGAGCTCGGTGATTCCAGCCAAGAGGCGCATAGCTCGACTGGAAGTTCGAACACGCTCACTATCTGCTCGATCACGCCGGACGGTTTCTTTGTCGTCCTCCGTATCCTACTCTTCGGTTTTCTGTCATCGACATCGATGAAGACCTCTGTTGTCTCCAGCACAGAATCCGCGGACGATCTGATAGACAGATCCGGGAAGACATCGAGTTCCGGCAAGCCCAACTTCGAGACGTCGATCGATCGGGCCGATGTTTTCGGAGTGAGAACCACTAGGTCCATCGCGACCGGAACGAACGAATCGGACTTTGGCTTCCTCGGCTTCAACTTTCGTTTGCTGATCTTTGCTTCCGCGAGATTCACGACATCCTCACAGACAGTTATGAATTCGCTCTCGTTGTACGCTGGAGGCAAAGCGGATGCATTGGATCGCTCTTCTCTCGAGAATTCTACATCTCCGGAAGGTTCTCGAACCACACGGGTTTTTCTGATTCTGGATCTGTTCGCAGAATCGTTGAATTTCTCGACTAAGCCCAGACATACCGAATTAGGCTCCAAGAATGTGATTTTCCTCGGCAAACTTCTAATAACTCCGCGCAGATCACCCTCAGAGATCTGGCCTGTCTTCGGTTGGAATCTGATCTGCTCGAGCCTTCCGGGTTCTGCGAGCGGTGATTCGCGGACGCTAAGCGACCTCTGTATTGCGATGAAACGGGGGTATTCAATTGTTCGTTCCGGGAGTACTCGTAAAGCTTCAACGTCGATATCGGAGAAGAGGGTATCGGGACCGGGAGGGCGTGCAGTCAATTTGTCGAACTCCGCCGGGGTCAGTTGGTAGTTAGCGACCCTCTGCTCGAGAATGCCGGACGCTTCTCTGGTGATTCTCCTAACGGTTTTTTCGGTCTCTTGTCGGAGTCAATGAAAATCTTCGAAGTCTGCAGAGTCACCTTGGCCGAGGCAAGCGATTCAGACTCCAGAGGAATCTTGGTCAACACGTTCAAATCAGGGAAACCTATAGAGGCCACATCGATTGCTGCTCCGCTGACTTTCGGAGCCAGCTTCAGTACTTCGATGGAGACCACAGGCGATTCTTCCTCGCCCTGTCCACCGCTTTTCCGTTCGAACCTCTCTTTCAACACATCCGTACCGCGGAGAACAACCGCCTCCCTACTGACAAGGGTCTCTTCCGGGAGATTCGGGAAAAGTCCCAATGATTCACCCGGGATCTCTTCCTCCGTACGTTCGAAGCTCCCTGTGGCTTCGCTGCGAACGGTGGTCTTCACGCTGCGCGCTCTGCCTCGCCCGTCGACAACCTGTTCGATGATCTCCTCGATTGCGACGACATCGTTTTCTGAACGATCGGGGTTGGGGAGAGCCGGAAGCTGCGGCTCTAGAGTCTCGACAATAACCTGCTCTACTTCGCCTGTCGGTCTCCTCTTACTCGTAGTAACTCTTTTCAAGGGAGTGTTCCCAGGGCGCGGTATCACCTCAACCCTGCGCACGGTCTCGGTCTGACGGGATTCAAAGGAAGGTCTGAGCCTGGTACTCTTGCTGAATACATCCAATTCAGGGAAGCCTAATGCTCGAACATCTATTCGAGAAGTATCCTTCGGTTTCAGGATAAGAATCTCTACTCCTATCGGCTGCGCCTCTCCTTCCCGGGATTCTGAGGCAGGCAGAGGCTTCAGCTTGCGTTTTGTCGCCTGGACCCCGGGAAGATCAATCTTGTCTTCTGAGACCACACAGAAATCCGCTAGGTCGTATAACGGCTCGGAGATATACGATGACGGCGTGAGCTCCGCAGGCTTCTCTTTCTTCTTCTTCTTCTTCAATGTTGTGCCTCGCTCTTTTCTGATCGGCGCGCTTCCTCCATGTTTCGCTTTCGAGGGAATCTCGCATTTCGTTTGTTGTTCGAAAGTTTCAGGACTAATCTCGTGAGTAGTGATAATCTGCTCGACCTCACCCGTGGGTCGTCGAGTTGTGAAGGTAGATTTTTTCTCAGGCTTCCCTTTGGAGTTGAGATGGAATTCTGTCGTTTCATGGGAGATATCAGCGACTTGACATGAATCAGAATCCAGGGTCATCTTGGGCAGAATATCTAGGTCTGGTAAACCGATCGAGGACAAGTCAACCGGAGGCTGCTGGGGCTCCGCTGCTTTCAAGATGTTAATTTCGACGGACGTGATTCGATCGCCCGAAGCGGTTTTCGATCGCTTCTTCGGTTTGAATTTCCGCTTCTCGACTATAACTGGACCAAGGTTCACGATATCTTCAGATTTCAGCACCATATCCTGAGTTTGAAGCGGCTCAGGTCCAGCTACGGTGCCCTCGAACTCTCTGGAAAGCTGTGTGATCTCTCCCGAGGATGAGCCCCGAATAAGTGTCGTTTCACGTACTTTCGGGACTCCTGCACTGTCGGTGTGTGCTTCAGAAATCTTCAAAACTGTCGTCCCGGGTGATCCGGTATTCGTTTCGTCGCCTCTTCGCGGAGTTTCCGCGGACTTCGGGCCACGGAATCCGGAAGTCGGAGGTGCTTCGAGAATTTCGAGACGAGCTCCCGTAGGCTTATCACCGAAGGCTCCCTTCGTAATCAATCTGTCGAAGGTTTCGGGAGAGACTTCGGATGAGCGTACCGTGAGTTCGATTATTCCCGAAGGTTTCTTCACAGTTTTCGTCACCTTCATCTTCCTCCGAGCGTCCTCCTTGTCGACAAAGAGCTCTGTGATTTCGTAGAGTCTGTCTACGGAAGTGTGCAACGAAATGCCTGGCACGAGCTCCAGCTCGGGGTAACCGATAGCGGAAACGTCGATTGTTCCATACGGATTCTTAGGCTTGATAATGGTGAAGTCTATCTCCGTGGGAGCCAAATCCCCAGGCGATGTTCTCCGTTTCCTAAGTTTGCGTTTCGTCACCTTGGCAGATCCGACATCGACGGAACCTTCAGAAATGACAACAAAGTCACTTTCATCGGGCACAGTCGTAACGAGCGACTCAGCGGCTGTCTCCTCCAAAACCTGCTGAATTTCGCCTGAGGGTTCCCGCACCACGAGATTACGTCTGACTTTCGGCAGGCCTTCGGCAACGAAGCTTTCACGAACTTCAACCATGCTCGGGGACTGCTCGGAATGCTCCGCTTTACGGGGCGTAGCCCTTATCACCTCCAGCCCGGGAACTTCCGACGTAGATGATGATTTTTTGGCTCCCTCGATAGGGTTTTCCCGGACTTTCCTCGTTTCGGGATGGCTTTCATGGAAGGTGTCGATCCTATCTGATGGAACACCGGGTCCGCTTCGCCGCCCCTCGGATGTTGGAGTCTCCTCATCGAGGTTCCCTCTTGATCCCGTGACCTCCCCGGGAGCAACTGGGATACTTGAGGGGACTCCCGGCTTGTTCTCCACGATTAGCTCTCCAGTGAGCGCAGTAAAGGTCTCCGGCGATATCTCGAAAGTGGTGGCCATCTGTTCGATAGCACCCGTTGATTTCTTTACCGTGCGTCTCAAGCGTCGCCTGGGTTTACCTCTCGCATCGACGAAAACTTCGTTTGTTTCGCAGACGACGTCGCCGGGGGATGAGGCTCTCGATCCAGGCGCAACGAAAGGCGCGATGTCCAGTTCAGGATATCCGATGCTCGACAAGTTGATTATCTCACGGGGAAATTTCGGCTCCAAGACCGTGATCATAACCTCTAAGTCCTTCCCGTCGATCGTTCGCTCGCCTCTGACCTCGAAAAGAGCTTTGCTCAGCTTTGCTCTCTCAAGATCAATGATTTCCTCACTGATGCGATCCAGGTCGCGATCTTCGAAATACGGTGCCGGGGCCGCTCCCTGTGCTTCGATAGAGACTTGTTTGATGTTCCCGGACGGTGATCGGATCGTTTTTGTTTTCTTCACCCGAGGAACTCCTTCAATGACTACTGCTTCAGAGATATCGAGGAGAGCTGCCTCCTTATCTGAGTATTCGGCATTCAATGGGGAGCCTTTGATCTCTTGGGGAACATCATCGTTACTTATATCCGATGTCTTGGGTTTGAGACTGAGCTCCTCGAGCTTCACGTCGCCCATCGCCCATGCTCTCTTCGTGACTTCATACTTGGGCGTATGGGAAACCCGCGTGGGAGCTCTGCGCAGAGCTTCGATGTGCTGCGCACTCAGAGGTCCAACGCGCATCGGAATCGGACGTGGTGTAGTCCGCTCGCCTGTGCTCTCTATCTTTAGTGGAGCACCCTTGGGAGCTTCGCTGACACCCGCTGTGTACTGATTGTAAGTCTCAGGTGTGATCTCGAAAACGTCAACAACTCTCTCAGTCGTACCGCAGGGTTTCTTGATGTTCTTCGTAATTCTCTTCCGTGGCTTTCTGTCCTTCGCGTCGACGAATATCTCAACGGTTGCGAGCATAAGATCCGCCGAGGACGAAGGCTCAGAATGGGGAGAAGCTTTCGGAACGATATCGAGTTCCGGAAAACCTAATGAGCTGACGCTTATTTTCCGATGCGGCTTATTCAGCTTCAACAGCGTAACCTCCCGTTCGTGCGGCAGAGAAGAATCTCGTTCCTTCGGCACGAGAACGCGCTTCAAGATCTTCCCCACCTTCAGGTCGATGGAATCTTCAGTTATAAGCGTGAATTTGTATTCTTCCGGGATGAGACGAAGCTTCGAGATCTCTCCCGATTCTTGTGTGAGTTGCTCGATGGCCCCTGAAGGTCTCCGAATTATTCTACTCTTCCTGGTTTTTGGCTTACCGCGAGTGTCCGTGAAAATTTCGGTGACTCCAACTATCGTCGGAAACTCTTTACTGTACTCGGGTTTCATGGGTGAGACCTTCACGAGGGCCGGTAGGTTCCTCTCGACGATGTCGGAGCCTTTCGGCTCTAACGCGATCTGCTCCACGTAAACAGGCTCATCTCCTTGTGCGCTTCTGATTTCTTTTGATTTCTGCTTGAGAAGGAATTTCGGCGTCTCGACGATTCTTTCAGGTTCTCCGGACAGAACGGATGCACTGATATCGATGATCGATGGCTCACCGGAGTCCCGCTCCTGATCGACCTTTGGGGCGATATCGTAGCTACTCATTCTGTGCTCGATTTCACCCGAAGGCTTCTTGCGCAGTCTGGTAACTCTTTTCTTCGATCTACCATCTGAATCCACGAATAGCTCCGTGGTTTCCACAGTCGCCTCCAGTGGGGACTCGTCCGATGTCAACGAGATTTCGGGAACGATACCCAACTCTGGGTACGATAGCGAAGAAACATCGCAGAGCACTTCGCCGGGCTTGGGAACAAGCTTTGAGACGGTTATCTGTGTCAATTTCACTCCAGACGGACATGTTTCCATTGGTTCGAGAGTCTGTCTGATCAGCGTTGCTTTCGAGAGCTCAATGGTCTCGCTGCTGAGGACGGTGTCCGCCGAGTATTCTGGGAGCGGTCCGAGCAGAGCAACCGCCGAATCCTCGACCACTCGTTCTGAATCGCCCGCCGAATTCTTCCGCAAAATTGTTTTCCTACTTTTCAACCTGCCCTGCCCATCCGTGATCTGCTCGATCTTTTCCACGATTTCACCCAATGTGCTGGGACTGACCCTCTGGAGCTGTGGAACTTCGGCTTTCGGAGATCGCGACTGAGCGGGCAAAGGCCTCACCGATCGCTCCTTCCTATCTTCCAAGGCGACATCGCTTGCTGGAGCTCTGTCTATCAGGCGGCACTCTTCTGGGGCCGTCTCTTTCAAGACAGAAATTTGCTCGATTCGACCATCGGGACCCCTTCGGGTTTTGGTCGTTCTTTTCAAAATCTTATTCGATGGTCCCGTTAGAAGTTCCGTCCGTTCGACAACGAGGCTCTCATCGGGATGTGAACTCGGAATCAACTCGTATTTGGGAAAAACGTCCAGTTCAGTGAAGCCGAGCGCCCTGACATCGATTGGAACGTCAGGCTTCTTCGAAGTCAAAATCACGTGATCAATTTCAAGAGGCTCCGATTCTGAAGAGTCCGGTTCTTTCGTATCTCGTCCCAATTTCCGTTTAGTGAGGACGACGGAGCCAAGATCGATTGAACTTTCCGAAATGATGGAATGGTCCTTCAGATCGAGCATCGGCTGAGCGGGACTGAGGTCGCGAGACGTTTTCGTGAATTTCCGTCTCAAACCCGGAGCAATGAAAGGAAGACTCCTGTCTGGCGGCATCGTTGACTTCTTATCGACAGAAGCGATCAAATCTTCAAACAATCTGGGTACGATTTCGAGCGTAGCGATCACTTGCTCGATTTCACCTGTCGGTCTCTTGGTGGTTCGAGTCGTTCTTCTCGTCGGCACGTTTTCCGGAGTTACGAAGAGCTCGGTTTTCTCGACAACGATGTTGCTGGACGGCGACGATTTCGATTCAAGCGCGAGAAGCGGTTCGGTGTCGAATCCCGGATATTCGACCGAAGACAAACCGATTTGACGTTTTCCGCCTTTTTTCTTCGGTTTCAAAACATTGATTTCGACATCGATTCTTGATACACCGGATAATTTACCTTTCGGCCTCAGTCGACGTTTCGATATTTTGGCGGTGCCGAGCTGTATATTTTCTTCGGATACAAGGGTCATGTCGTCCGCGGGGAATTCGGGCTCCTCGATCGTCCCAATTGACTCTTCTGAGATTTTTCTGAACGTTCCCGAAGGCTGGCGGATTACTTGCGATTTTTTCAATCTTGGGACTCCCTTCTTGTCTACTGTGGATGTCAAAGTGTCCACGAGTACAGGTCTCTCCTTCGAGTATTCATCTCTCATAGACAGAATATCGAGCTCTTCCGCCAACCCCGAATCCGTCACTTCGAATGCTTTGGGTTCGAGAACGACGTGCTGAAGAACTTTGCCGTCGAACTCGATTCTCTTAGTGCTGATTCTCGATTCGGGGGTATCCGAAAGTTCCTCAGGTGCCTTCTCAAAAGCTCGTAGCGATTCTGCGTCAAAAACGATCGGCGCTCTCAGGGGTCTGCCTGAGCCGTCTCCGATGAATTCCGCTATTTCCCGGATCTCTTGGAGTACTTCGACTCTGTACTGCTCGTAGGCGCTAGGACTCATTTCAAGCGAAGTGACTCTCTGCTCCACTACGCCCGATGGCTTCCGTACAGCTCTTGTGATCTTCCTCCTGGGCCGAATGCCTGGAGCCACATGAACTTCCGACTTTTGCACCGTAACTTCGGATGAGGGAGATATCGCGAGTTCAGAACTTTTTGCTAGGCTCATTACGTCGAACTCCGGATAATCGACGGACGCTGCTTCGGCCGGGGAGTCCTTTTCCGTTGGAACGAGTTTCGTCACTTCGATCACGCAGGTAGGAGGCACAGGAGAGTCTGATTCCTTCGGTTTGAATATTTCTCTGACCAATTTCGCTCCTTTCCCAAGATCGATCGTCGCTGAATTGACTAACCAATCGTCGGGCAAGTTCTCAGCGGGTTCGAGCGTGGCACCCTCGACCTGTTCCGTGGTTTCCACGATATCTCCAGCAGGCTTCCGGCACGTTCTAGTTACGATCGACCGGATATTGCCGCTCTCGTCGACAGTCTGTACGACGACCTCAACCACAGCGGGTCTCGAAGTCGATTCTTCGAAGTGTTTTCCGGGTTCAGCTGTCAGAATGCTCCGATCGGATTCCGCGGCGGGAACGAGTTCTACAGGAGAAGTTTTTCCCATCGGCAAGTCAAATTTATGCTCGGAATCGGGAACACCGACCGGAACTAGCCCGTATGATTCTGGTAAATTATCAGATGTTCTCACGATTTGCTCGATTTCTCCGGAGGGCTTCCTTGTTGTCCAAATCGTTCTCCTCTTCAACGTATCCTGCGGCTCACGAACGATTTCAGAGCTCTGCACAGTCTCCTCCGCAACGTTCGCTGACGACGCAATGATTTTAGGGAACACGTCCAACTCGGGGTATCCCAGAGCCTGAACGTCAATCGGGATACCGCTTCTCTTGGGCTTCAAAATCAAAATATCGATCTCTGCCGGTGACGACTCTTCGCCTTTAGACTTCTGAGGCCGCTGCCTCAGTCTCCGCTTCGTCACTTGGAAGTCTCCGAGCTCCAAGGTCTCTTCGGAAATCACATCGGAATTCCTTGAATCGAAGAACGGTCTACCAGCCTCATCGCTGGATGAGCTTTCTTCCGGCTCGATTAATTTTCCCTGCGACGGCGGTGAGGTCAACCCCGCGACGTCCACTTTGTATAACGGGCTTTCGAGGTCTGTGAGCGATCGATAGAGAGTTGGCGACAGTTCAGAAGAGCAGACGATCTGCTGGATTTGTCCCGTCGGTTTCCTAGTCGTGTGCTTCCTTATCTTCTTGGGCACCCTTTTCGAATCAAGGAATATTTCCGTGGATTCGAGCACAACTTCGCTCTCCGGTGACGGCTTCGGATGCAGAGATATGGAGTTCAGGATATCCAGCTCGGGAAATCCAATGGCAGAGACGTCTACGGGTCGACGGGATCCCGTTGGCTCTAGAACCGTCACCTCTATGTCGATCTCTATCTCTCCGGGACTCCTAGGCTGTTTCGGTCTCAATTCACGCCTGGTTATCTGAGCCCCTCGACGTTTGAGAATTTCTTCGGATTCGACGTCGAGTTCCTCAACGTCGAAGGACGATTTCAGTGAATCTCCCAGATATTCCTCTGAGAGCTGGTGCACGATACCCGCTGTCGTCCGAATCGTCATCGATTTTTTCGCTCGTCGAATATTCTTCTCGTCGACGAAGTTCTCGAGTGTCTCGACGACGACAGTCCCGTCGTCGGAGAAGTCGGCCTTCGCAGGGAAAACTTTTATCGCTCGCGGCAAATTGCGACGGGCGAATTTCTTCGGGACGAAAATCAGCTCTCGAACCGTGACATCTTCAGTCTCAAGCGTTTTCTTCTTCGTGAGAGATCCGCCAGACTCCGAAATCTCCCAAGGAACCGAAGAGAGGAGCTCAAGATTTCTCCCCCAATCGGATAGGGTCGTACGACGACTCGGCATCGGAGTTTCGTCTCCCCCTGTCGGGGCATTTGCGGGTGCCGCTGCAATGCCAGCCTCGAATAGTTCGGGCGTCAGCTCGTAAGAGCTCACGACTCGCTCAATGATCCCTGCAGGTTTTCTCTCGATTCTTGTCACGACTTTTTTCGGCTTTCCGTCGCGGCTACCGACGAAAACCTCGGTGGTCTCGTGAACAAGATCCGCAGGGGACTTTTTGGATTCGGTTCCCGTTGGTATGGGTAAAACCGTGAGTTCTGGATACCCAAGAGCGGCAACATCAATCGTCCGGCTGGTATCCTTGGGTACGAGAATCGTAACAGTCATCTCGATCGGATTCAAACAGTCTGGTCCGCTTTTTACGGCTTCGAGATGTCTTTCCGTGACTCGCACACCCGCTAGATCGATGGTGTGTTCCGAGACCAGTGTCAGCTGGGATTCGAGGGGCGGACGAGGGAGCTTCTCGGAAGAGAATTCCTCTCCGCTTGATTGCGCGACCACGCCGGAAGGACCGCGAACGACTCGCATTTTACGCACCTTGGGCTGCCCGTCCTCATCGCTGAATTGCTCTACCAGGTCAATGGCGACGCTCGATGATGCCGAGTAGTCGGCTTTCGAGGGCAACATTTTGATATGCTCAGACAGATCTGCGCTCGTCTTCGACTCTGAAGAAATCGGTCCCTGTGCAGAATCTTGATCAAGTCCGGATGCTTCTGCCTGGGGAAATTCGCCTCCCCTAGCGAGCTCAGAGCCGACAGGGAGCCGATGTGGTACGTTTGGCGTACTTGGTTCGCAAGTACGTTGCCGTTGTGGAAACGCACCGGGTGTGGCGTGGTGCGTGGCGTCCTCGCGGGGAATCGGTTTTTCCCTGAAACGAGTGATTCGCTCCTCTATTTCTCCCGAAGGACTCTGGGTGATCCTCGTAACCACCTTCTTGGGCTCGAACTCCGAGTCTGGGAAGAGCTGTGTTCTTTCTATTGTGATGTCGGAAGGAGGATTTCCTTCGCGGAGGCATTCAGGGAAAATCCTGGAGATGACCTCTAACTCAGGATGTCCGACCGAGGAGAGATCGATTTTCGTTCCGATATCTTTCGGTATGAGTTTCGTGACTTCAGCCGTTACCAACTGTGGTTCTGGACCGGGAGTCTCCGTCTCTTCCAACTCCTGCTTGACGATCGTCACGTCTCCCAAGTCAACCGATTCTGAGCTGAGAATTCGGTCGCTGCCTGGTGGAGGAATTGCCTCGAGAGCCGTGCCCTCGATTTCCTCCTCGATCCGCTCGAGGCGACCCCCGGGGGTCCAGCGCTTAGTTATCTTCCGACCCCTAGCGAAGCCCTTATGGTCAACGATCCGCCCGATGATTTCCTCTACGACTGCGTTAAGAGCACCAGAGCTCTTACGTTCGGCAGCTGGTGCCGTGTCTAAAAGTGCAATGTCAGCTTCCCGTATATCGAGGATCGAGGGTCCGACCCTCTCCGGTAGATGTTCTCGGCCGGCCATGATCAGCTCGAAGGCCTTTGGTGAGATTTCCGACGTTCTGACAATCTGCTCCACCTCGCCCGTCGGTTTCCTGGCTGTTCGGGTAGTCCTTCGGCATGCTCTGCCTGCGGAATCCACGAACGTTTCGATAACTTCGCGAACCACGGGAGCACATGGGGACAGCTTCGATTCCGCTGAAACTCTAGGCCGTACATCCAAGTGGGGAAAACCCAGCGCGCGGACATCGATTGGTCGACCGACCCTTGTGGGTTTGAGGACAGTTATTTCGATTCGGGTATCCTCCTGGCCCGCTGGAGCAGTCTTTCTCGATTTCAATTGTTTCTTCGTAACTTTAGCAGGCGGGAGAGTCGATACAGACTCTGATTCCACGAGGAAATCTTCATCCCGGAAAAGGGGTTCCGATGGCATCACACCTCTGGACTCTTTGGAGATCTGTCTCATTGAGCCGGTAGGTGTTCTCAAGACCCTGGCCTCGCGCAACCTTTCGACCCCTGTGGAAGTGACAAATCCTTCCTTGATGTCTAAGAGAACAGGTAGGTCTCTCGAGTACTCGGTCTGCGAAGGCGACGTTTCGATTTCTTCTGGCAAGTCTCGATCATCGATAAGCGCCGTCTTAGGCTCATAATCGACTTCGCTTATCTTGGTATCACCATGGTCGAGCTCGAGCTCTTTAACTTTCACTGTAGAGTTGCTCGTGCCCCGAACCTTTTCAGGCGTTCGAGCGAGTAGGCTGAGTTCTTCGGGTTCCAATACTGATCCGCAGACCTCCCTTCGGATCCTATCCCCTTCCGAGAAAAATGTTTCCCCTGGCATCGAGGAAACTCCGATTCGGATCGGTCCTGTTCGACGTGATTCGTGGCTCACACCCGCTTCATCGCTCTTGCTCGATTGTTTCAGGCTAGTCGGTCTTTCCGAAGATCCAGGCGTCGAGGGGGTTTTCAACTCAAAACGAAGTTGATTGATTTTGATGTTCGATTCTCTAGGTCCGATTTCCGCTAACCTCTCCTTGACAACGCAGCCCGGGCTCTCCACCGTCGCCTCAGGAACATCGGCTAAGAGTCGTAGAAGACTCTTGTCGCGCTCGGTGTCGAATGCTCCCGACAAGACTGTTCGGAATGAAGTCGGAGCTATTTGTTCCGTTCTTACGATCTGCTCCACGGCTCCGGAAGGCTTGCTTGTCGTTCTAGAGGTTCTCCTCTTCGGTTTCCCATCTCTGGCGTCCACAAAAAGCTCCGAGACTTCGACAGTACCGGTACACCTTGACGACACAACATTCAATGACGTGCGCGGGCGGACATCCAACTCAGGATAACCGAGAGCCGAAATGTCGATCTCAACCGATCCTCGAGGTTCCACAAGCGTGACACTCAAGTCGACCGGATTCGGCGGATCAGACTTCGCCCTTTTCGGTCGGAAGTCGCGTCGAAGCACACGGGCCGCCTCCAAGTCGATTGCGCTTTCACTGACCACCTTCGATTCGCTTTTGTCAAACAGAGGCTCGAATACTGGCTTACCTCCTTTCTCTTCTGTCAGCTGCTCGATTATCCCGGAGGGACTGCGAACGATCCGCGTCAACCTGGTTTTCGGTTTGCCCTCGCGATCCACGAAACTCTCAACTATGTCAACCAAGGTTGGCTCTGAAGCTTCGTGTTCCGCGGTCAGGGTTTTGAGAGTATCCACGTTCACGGTTCCAATGAATTCCCGGACCTCGGGACGGATTCCGACTGTATCCATTCTGAAGGGGATGGTATCGACTTCTTCGGGTGGAAGGGGCGACTCTTCTAATTCTTCTCGACGGGGACCTGCGGCGATCGCTGGGAACCCAGACACCTCCTTGACAGTGAAGAGCTCGAATATTTCCGGAGTCACTTCGGACTCGACTAGAATTTGCTCAATTACACCCGAAGGCTTCCGTTCGGTTCTCCGAACTCTCATCTTCGGTCTCCGTTTGAGATCCTTGAAGACCTCCGTTGTCTGGACCACGGAGTCGAGGGCACCCCCACTGTCATTGGAGCTTAAGGAGATCGATGGTTTCACCTCCAGCTCTGGATAACCGAGGGAACGTACGTCGACCGCGGTTGTCCCAGCTTTCGGCTCTAGGGTCAAGGTTTCAATCAAGACCGGTATGCATGATGGTACGACAACTTTCCTCTTCGGTCTCAGTTTGCGACGTGTCAGAGCGACGTCTTTCAATTCAAACGAACGCTCGGACACGACGGTGAAATCTGAGAGGTTTGGAGGTTCAGATCGAGTACCGTGTTCTAGCTCCTCGGTCAAATACTTGATCGATCCAAGCGGCTTTCGCAGTGTTCTAGACTTTTTGATCGAAACCTTGCCGCTGCCGTCCACCACTTCTTCGAGCACCTCGATCACCGCGGGTTCTCGACGTGCGAACTCCGGTTTGAAAATTGGAGTTCTTATCTCGCTCGGTAGATCTCTCTGAGTGATATCGAATGTTTTGGGCTCGAAAACTATTAATTCCGAAATACCGACCCCTGCCCGCTTCGGGCTGAGCTTCTTCTTCCTGACAACACATTTCGAATTTTCGGCGACCTCGTCAAAAGCATGAATAGCCGAGTACTCTCCTTCGAAAATCAGGGGTTTCGGACTCGAAAAGAGATCGGGGGCTCCCGAGTTGCTGTCACCAGTTACGATCGAATGGTAAGACTCTACCGGAATTTCACGAGATATGACGATATTTTCCAGCACACCGGAAGCTTTCAGGGTTGTCGTTGAAGTTTTCTCGATCGGTCTTAATCCAGGTCCTGCCGAAATGACAGTTTTTTCGAGAGTCACGTCTTCAGACGCTCCTCTATCAGAACCCACGGTGATGCGCCGAAGAATATCCAAATATGGATAGCCAATCGCGGAGACATCTATATCAATATGGGCCTCCTTTGGCTTCAGAACAGTGACTTCCACGGTCTGCGTCTCGCCCGCTGGCTCATCAGAGAGTAATTCGAGTTTCCGCTCGATGATTTCGGCTTGCCCACGATCAAATCTCTTCTCAGACACAATTGTAGCACTGTCCAAGTTGAGGGGTGGTTTCTGCATACGTCCGCCCTTACTCTCCTGCAGAATTACTTCGAAGACCCCCGGAGACTTTTGGACCAACTTGGTCCTTTTCGCGCTAGCTCGGCCTTCTGAATCCACGATCTGTTCTACGATCTCGATCAACTTCAGTTCTGCCCCTTGCGGCTGTAACGGAAGTGACGAATCGGCGGATCCTTGATCCAATTTGAGCAGTTTGCCCGGTCGGAGAATCGGCTCACGAGCGGCGAGATCGTCGACTGCCAACCCACTCGCAACAGATGAAGTTATTTGATGGAAGTCCTCCGGAGACATGTCCAACGAGACCTTCAGCTGCTCTACAAGTCCGCATGGTTTTTTCGTGACCTGCGTAATTACGAGCTTGCTTTCACCCCGTGAATCCGCAAAGACCTCCGTGGTCACGCGCGTGACGTCGTGTTCCGAAGAGACAAGAGTCTCATCGGACAATCTCGAGACGACATCAAGCTGAGGCAGACCGATGGCCGACAAGTTCACTTCGACTCCGCGAGATTTGGGAGATATTGTGATGGACTCTATCTCTAGAGGATATTCATCGGGTATGAGCTCACGCTTCAATGCAAGTTTTCGTTTTGTGCACAGACACGAATCTAAATCGATACAATCTTCAGACACGACTGTAAGCTGCTGCGAGTCTATGATCTCTTCGGAAGATATTTCACCGCTCTCGGCGGATATCTGCTCGATGCGACCGGAAGGCTCGATGAGCGTGATGATCCGTTTCGATTTCAGATTACCTTCAGTGTCGGAATAACTCTCCGCTATTTTTGACACTTTTGGTACGTTTTTGGGAAATTCAACAAGCTGCGGTGGAATGTATATTTCCTTCGGAAGATTCTCGACCGCAATCGGTGCGCGTTTCGGCTCGAAGGACACCGAGGTCAATTTTGGGGAACTCAATGGACTCGATGATGGCTCAGCCTCGGGGATGACCTCCCGCTTCCTCAGCACGAACCGAGAGTTCTCTTTGATTTGCATCGGAGCCGACATCAAGGCGTCGAACTCGGTCTTGGGGCCGCGCTCCTCGACGCGCTCGGTCGCCTTCGATCCCGGAGAAACCCGGTCGCACCAAGTGGTGAAAGCCTCGTGGGTCGCCTGAGCGACATCGAATGTTTGAGCGATGTGCTCAATATTGCCATCCGGCTGCCTGGTCGTTTGTTTCATGATCAGCTGCGGTTTTCCCTCTGTGTCCAGCGAACTCGTCACTGTTCGCAGGACCACGGTGGCTGCAGGACGCTTCGCGGACTCGATTGAAATTCTGGGCAGGACATCCAAGTCGGGATAGCCGATACTGCTCAAATCAATCGGAGACCGGGTACCACCGCGAACTTTCGGTTTCAACGTGACGATCTCCACGACAATGGGTTGAGGGAAATCTGAATGTGAGTGTCGCGGTTTCAACGTGCGTTTCACAACTTCCCCTTGTCTCAAATCGAGGACACTTTCGGAAAGCACGGTCGCATCATCGAATCGATCCGCAGGAATCGCTTCAACCATAGAGCCTTCGAGTTGCTCTGAAATCTGCCTAATCGTCCCATCTGGGGACAGGGTCAGTCTGGTTCTCTTGCATCTCGAACCCTCGGGCGTTGTGACCTGCTCAACGGTATCGATGGCAACGTTTGGATTTTCCAAGAGATCCGGGGTCAAACAACGCGAGAGAATTATAGCCGGCAATTGGTCTTTCTGCCAAACGCCTGCGATTTTCGGCTCGACTACTATTTGCTTCGTTTCCGTGGGTGGCTTCTCGCTTGGCTGCGAGTCTGTCTGACGACGAATGGTTCTTTGTCTCACTCTGAACGTCGGTTTATCCTCTACGAGTACAAAAGGCAGTTCGTTCAGAAGATCAAGATCTGCAGGTGTTAAAGGTTTTCCGAAAAGCTCGTTGAGCACGGCATCTCGTGCTGTCGGATGTGCATCGTGTTGCTCCGCTGGTAGTTCAGTAGCAGAGATTGGATGTTTTGACGATGCGTGGGCATGGTAGCCGTCTGACATCGGCAGAGGTCGATCTTCGATAGAGCGCAGCTCCTCGACTTCAGGCCTCTCTGTTCCAGGTGGGATGGTCGTGTGGAGGTCCTTCCTTCCCGAGAGGTTCGGTTCCATGATTGGAAATCCTTCCCCGGATCCTAAACTTTCTTTACGCTGCGAAAAGTCTTTGGGAACATCACGCCTGACATCATACGCGATAGGTGGCTTACCTTCTGACTGTTTGAACACCGTTTCCGCATCCCGCGGTTTTGCACGAACGGCTTCGTCGGATTCGATTCGTTGCGCCTCACTCGGTGACACTTCGGTTGGTCTTCCCGTCTCGGGCGATAGCACGGCGAGAGACGGTTTGTCGGTAGAAACGGATTCTTGCTCTCCTGGTGCTACTTCGAAGACCGTCACCACCTGATCGATTTCACCGCTCGGCTTCTTCATCGTTCTGATAGTCTTCCTCTTCGGCTGGTTCGCCGAGTCTATGAACAATTCCGTTGTCTCCACCACCTTGATCTCTCCAGTGGGTATTCCAGTGGACTCGGTCCGAACTTTGGGGAAGACATCCAGTTGGGGATAGCCGAGAGCACGAACATCAATCGGCGTTTTACGACCTTTCGGTGTGACCGACAGAACTTCGATCTCGATCGGATTCGGAATTGTCTGTTTTGGTTCAGTTTTGCGGGGCCTGAATTTGCGCCTGCTAATACGGACGGTTCCGAGATCGATCGATTCTTCGCTGATGACGTCACATTCGGAAAGATCGTACGTTTGAGCACAGATCTCCCTCAGCGACGGTTTCTCCCAGAGCGTTGGCTCCTCCCGACCGGGAACTTTCTTTGTCTCGACGACCTCCTCGATGATTTCGGTGACGGTGTCCTTCTCCGCAGCGGACGTCGACGGGGTCTTCTTCTGGGGTTTCGCGACCTTTTTCTTCTTCGCCGGAGCTCCTGGCTGCTGGTGTGCCAGGGGTTCGGATGCTGGGAGTTCGGACCTGGTGTACAATGCGTAGGTTTGCGACGGGATCTCGGCCACGCGGGAAACTTGCTCGATGTCCCCTGATGGTCGTTTCGTCGTTCGGGTCGTTTTCATGATCGGTTTCCCACGGGAGTCGACGAAGATTTCTGTAGTTTCGAGAAGTATGTTCGACGACAAGCTGGGCTTCGACGATGTAGATATCCTTGGTGTGACATCCAGCTCCGGGAAGCCGATAGAGGATACGTCGATGCTCTGGTAACGCCGTTTCGGTTTCAAGATCGTGACATCGATCTCTGCCGGTTGCGCTGGGGTTTTCGAGTCCGGTCGAGATTTCAGCTTACGCTTAGTCACTTCGGCTGTTTTCAGATCGATTTTCTCCTCAGAAACGACGGTCAAGTTGGATTCGTCGAGCGTCGGCAGAGATGTGGAGGTTTCAGTCTCTTCAGAGATCTGCTCGATCACACCGGAAGGTTTTCTCAGAACTCTGATTTTCTTGGTCTTTGGTTTGCCGAGGCGATCGACGAAACCCTCGACGATTTCGATGACGGTATCCTCCCGGTCTGAGCATTCCGGCTTCAGGTGAGGTGAGACTCTAATAATTTCCGTCGGGAGCTCTTGATCGCTGATTGGCTGCGACTTCGGTTCGATGACGATAAGCTCGGCCGTGAGTGGAGCTTCCGTCCGCGATTTCTTCTTCTCGATGATTTTCTTCCGCATCACAAATTTGGGCGTATCGATTACTTCCGCGGGAGCTTCAGAGAGTAGTCCAGTCGTCGTGAACAGCAACGGTCTGACCGCCTCAGCTGATGAGCTCTCACGTTCCACCACGACGATCTCTTCTCCGTGAGGTTGAGATGGTTTCTCGGGAGACCGTTCGTCGGCCTTTCCATCGGGCTTCGGGCCCTTAGGCCCCGCAGCGCCTCGGCGACCGACGGGTTTCTCCGTGGTCACTCTTTGGGAATCTCGAGTTTGCTCCGAATCTACGGAAATCCTTCTCGGCACTTCGACTCCAGGGTGACCTGTCGAATCCAAACTCACGGGATGATCTCGGGGGCTCGATACGACCGAGGAGATTTCAACACCAGAAAGCACAATCTCCTCCGGCGCCGGAGCTCCCACTACAACAGTCGACTCTGTCGGCTGCGGTCTGCTCAATTTAATTTTCTCATCGGTCACCTGAGTGCGCTCATCGGGCCGTTCGTCGATTTCCGTCTTCCGCTCCGGGAGCAGACCTTGTTCCTCGATTTTCGCCCTATACGCGTCCATCGGGATGGGAGAAGTCTTCGTAGTTTGCTCAATGTACCCGGAAGGTTTCCTCACTGTCGTTGTGAGTCTCTCCTTCGGTAGACCCCCGGAATCGACGAAGATCTCCGTGGTCTCGACGTGAACGTCGCTTTTCGGGGACAATTTCGTCGAGAGCGAGATTCTCGGTTTCACGTCCATTTCAGGATAGCCGATTGAGCTCAAGTCGACGGTCGGCCCTCTTTTCTTTGGTTCAAAAACGACTGATTCGATCTCCACCGGTACCTCCGCGTCGGCTACGGGCACAGGCTGCTTTGGTCTCAGCTTCCGCCGAATGATTTTCCCTTGTTTCAAGTTGATCACGTTCTCAGATAAGACGGTCGTGTCCGACTCCACGGGCACACGCGCACGATCCTCGAAAACTTCGGAAAGTCGCAGTATCTTCCCCGTCGGCATCTTGGCGACTTTTGCCCTTCTCATCTTGGGCGATCCGAGAACGTCGACCACGTATTCAGCTGTGTCGATCAAAGCGATCTCGTGAGGAGAATATCCTCGTTCGGCTGAGGCAGTCGCCGTGACTTCACGAGGGAGCTCATCCTCAGTGAGTTCCGCGAAGCTTTTCACAGACTGCTCTTGCATCGGTGAGTCTTCAGCCTCCCTGCTCTCGATTTGCGGGGAGCTCCTGAGCGATTCTGCGTCGAGAAGCGACGTGACGAGCTCCGTGAAGTCATCCAAGGGAAGCTCGGCTCTCGGTGCCTGACCCTGGAGCTCCGTGACGCGCGTCACCTTCCCACCGGGAGAAGCAACTTTTCGGATGGAGAATCTTTCTACGCCTTTCGCCGGATGCTCGACGAGCCTCGAGTCCACGACCGTCCGTCTGGGCGTTCCCAGGTCATCCTTGGGTGTCGTTTCGAGTTCCGAAGGCTCCAGATGGGCACACTGAATGTTTTCGAGGTTGGAGATCTTGAAAAAGTTCCCGACGGGCTCGAAAGTGCACGTTTCCGAAATGCTCAGCCTCCCGGACGGCAGAGACTTCACGGTCTGGAGCTTGGAATATACTCCGGCGTCGAATTTAACGCGTTCCTCGAGCTCGTAGACTTCTGACTTCTCGGGGCGGCTGGCTGCGATGGTGGTCGTGGTCTTGGCGTCCACGGTTTCGTCGGGCTGGATCTTGACCACGGTCTCTCGTTCGACGAGTTCCTGTGGAGACCTGAGATACTTCTGACGAACCGTGCGCTCACTCGCAGATCGCGGCGCGTCGGGTCGAGTCCTAGAGAGCGGCCGAGGGAAGTTTTGATGGAGTTGTGGGCTCCGTAAGCGCGAGAGATCGATCAGTCGAGCAAAGGCAGGCTCGGGTTCGAACGAGTCTGTCTTCACGGTACGTTTCTTGATCGTCGAGCTGTGCGGCGTATTCTCCGTGACTTCCGTCTCAAGGAGCTCACCTCCTTTCATCTTCGTTATCCTCGTCCTTTCGGAAATTCCGGGCGAATCGTGCGGAAGCGCGCTGTCCGGTCGTCCTCGCTTCACGATGTCCACGTGAACTTTCCCAGAAGGCGTTTCGCGCTTCGTTACCGTGAGCCGCTCGGAGCCGAGCGGAGTGTTCAGCTCTTCTGTGATCGACTCTGAGAGTTCCTCGATCGGCCAACCACTGCTGTTCAATTCGACAGGAACGGCGGATCTCACCTCGAGCTCTGGGTAGCCGAAAGACTCCATATTTATGGATTTCGGTCCTTCTCCGGAAGCCTGGAAGATTATTGTCGAAACGACTTCGACGATGTCTCCTTCGGGTCCTTCAGAGCTCGGTTCGCTCTTCTGAGTAGTCTCTTCGATGAGCTTTCCGTCACTTCGGTGTATTTCTCGTCTCAACTCGATGTCAGCAGCAGTCCAGAACTCATCGTCTGTTCGCGGAGAACGAGACGGACTCGTCTCTGTGAACTGACAACGACACTCGACGCTGTGATCGGGATTGATTGTCCTGGTGCGCTCGATCTTCACGGTCACAGGGCCCCGAACTCGTTCTTCCTTGACTTCTTCGACGAAGGGTTCGGAAACTTCCAGATCGAGAGGTGTCTTGAAGCCAGCGGTCAAATGCTTCGGAGCGGTCCTTGGCTTGATCTTGCGGCCGTCTCTCGGTTTGAAATCTGCTTTCACCGAAGTTTCATGCACGAAGAAGTTATCGGGCTTCTCGGTCACTCGATGCGTCTTCTCGATCGAAACGGTTCCCTCCGGTAGAGTCAGATCGATCTTCTGAACCGTCTCGCCACTTTCCCTCTTCTGGAAAGGCGAGCGTTCAGTGACGTCGCTCACTTGGGACACTTTACCCTCGGGTAGGATCGTGGTTTTCGTTGTCCGTTCCACAAGCTCCTCGGGAGAGTCGAGGGTTTCCGAGAGCGTGAGTTCTTCCGCTTCGGAGGGCAATTCTGTGATTACGACACCCGTCGGCCGAAGCTCCACCGGGATGAATCGAGACGGAGTGTCCGTAGGGAGCGTGTTCTCGATCCGCGTTGTGGAATGCACAAGCTTCTCGGTTCCGCTAAACGCTGGCAGATCAACTCGCCGTTCGTAGCTGGCCCTGACGGGGCCCACATCGACCGTTTCTACGAGGTGCAAGTCAGATGGATATTCTTCGATAGAATACTCTGCTGGCACATGCTCGACGGAGGTGGTTTCGACCTGGAAGACTCCCCGGGGTTTCTTGGTCGCTTTTCGCTTCTTGCTGATTGTGATGTCTTTGTCCTGTGTCTCTTGTTGAGACTCAACAATATCTGCGACGCTCGTTCCCGGAATGGGCTGCCTGATTTCGAGTCCGTGCAGACTACTCCATTCTCTCGGAACGGAATCGTAGAATTCGGGTTTCGGCTCGAATTCAGTCAGTTCCGAGCTTTGGAGATTGACGGCTCCAGATTCAAGAATTGATTTGACGATGTTTTTCGACTTGGTGAGCTTACCGACCGGTGAGCTGAGAGTCTCTTTCACTGTCCCACCGGTCACTCCGACGTTGAGGTGTCTCTCGGGAACGTAGGAAGCTGTCAGCGGCACTTGCTCTTTCAGGGTCGATATCAGGTGAGTGTCCCCATCGGGCTTCCTCAATTTCGTTGACGTTATCTCAGTTTTCTGTTGATCTTGGAGAATTTCCCTTCGGCGGTTCCAAACGAGTTCTGAAGCTTCAACCGCTGGGGTCAACCGACCCGGTTCTAGCCCCTCGGTCATATCGTCAAGGACTTCGGGATGGGGGAGCAGAATCTTGTATTTTGAGGTTTTCGGCGTGAACTGAGTTTCGCACACCGTTTCGTAAACGACCGTATCGGGTCTGAGCGAACGAGTTTTAGTCTGGGTCTTCTTGATCGTAGCTTCCGGGAGCTGCGTCGTTTCGGTAACTTCTCTTATCGTTCCACTGGGAAGCGGACTGTCGACGGGAGCGGACTGAGACGTCTTCTCGACCTCGATTTCTCCGGTTTTCGGTTCAACTTTTTTCTGCACCACTGCGACATCTAGCTCGGTCTCCGTCCTCGAGATGGTCTCGATTGTCTCAGTGTAGATTTCGGACGGGGAGCGAACTCCTCGAATCTCCAAATCTGGAATACCGAAGCTTTTGAGATCAACCGAAACCAGTTCTGGAGATTTCGGCGTGAACTTCGACGTTTCCACGACGATTTCGGATGCCATCGGTGATCCCTCGTCTTTGGTCCGCTCGATCTTCTTCGTTGTGATTTTGCCCTTCGAGAATTTGATGGATTTCTCGGTGATTTTCTCATGGCCCGTGGCTTCTGCACCGTCAACCGGAGCGTTCAGAGACGTTCTGGTGGTTCTTTCTACCGAAGTGCTTATCTCACCAGAAGCCTTTTTCTCCTGTTTCTTGTTCTCTCGGACAGTTTTGCCGGTGTCTTCTGAAGTGAGCTCCGTGATCTCGACTATCACCGGCCTCTGAACGGTGGGCTGGGAGGAATCGCACATGTGGAGCTCGTCCTCAACATCCTCCGGAAGCTCGATGATCGGCGAGACCGGCGAGAACGTATATCTCTCGATTTCGTATTCGACAACCTCGTCGTTGAAAGTCACTTTACGAGTCGTGGATTTCTTGGTCGAGATAACAGCGTCATGGAGTTGGACCCTTCGCTCAATTTCTTCGACGTCTTCGGTCTGTTCCTGCGGAAGAGCTTGTTCCTCCGTAATGGTTTCCATCGTGATCGATCCGTCCGAGAGCCGCTTCTTGAACGTCTTCACATCCCTCTTGATGCCTTCGACGACCGAGCTTTCTGTAATGCGCTCGTTCAACGGCACTGAAGGTCTCCCGTACGAGTCGATTGCGACGCGTATGGAATCTCGGACCCGAAGGTCCGGATAACCCACGGAATTAACGTCGATCCGACTGACGGCGTCTTTCGGCGTCAAAGTGACCGTCTCAAAAGTCACCTTCTTGAGCGAATCGTTCTCGTTCGGCTGGTGGAGACTTTTCCGAGTCGAAACGATTGTGCACTCACTGAAAGATTCAGTGTTCGTGGTCTCTGGGATTTTCGGTTGATCGTCGACGGTGACTTCCTTCTTCTTTTTCGGCGCGAGGGTCACAGACTTCTTCGTTGTTTCGATTCTTCCTTCCGGCGTCATGTTCCACGTCGTTTCGGACGTCGTGTATCGACCCACGTTGTCGTGGAACTCTTCACGGACCGTTCTCGGTTTCTCGGTGTTGAAATATTCCGGTTTCTCCTCGACTATTCTCTCGGTGGTCGTATATTCAATGCAAAGACCGCTGTCCTTCGCTTGCGTTTTCGTTTCACTGAGTCGATAGCTGCGAGGTCGATTATCGACTTCTCGACAAGTGTGCAACGCTACGTAGGTTGGGGAGTGGAACTTCGGCACGGACTCGGTCGCAACCGAGGTGAGGACATAGGTAGATCCATCGAGGTCAAAGGAACAATCTGTTGAAGAGCTCCGGTCTGGAAGATGCTGCGAGTCTCTTCTGGTAGCCGGAAGGAGCGAGAATAGCGCCAGCTCTTTCAGATCGCTCGTGGAAACGGGAATCGGATATCCTTCAAGTGACGTAACCGTGACAGACGTCTTTGTCTCGGTCTTGACAGCGTCGGGTCCGTCGGTCATTCGTGTCTCCTCTGCTTTCGACACATGAGCTGTATCCGTGCTGATGGTCGTCGCTGATGTCTCAACGGGTTTCCCCGGTCGTTTGAAGAGCTTGTAATGCTTCGGAATCGTTTCCACGGTTGTGAGGCAACACTCCACCACGCCGTTTCGGGGTCTTGACAATCTCCGCTCGGTCACAACCGTACAACCGTCGTCTCTCGTTTTATGCTGCTTAACAGATTCAATGGTGGTTTTGGGGCTGATCGCTCGGCAAACCGGCGTGATATCGAGCTCTGGGAATCCGATCGAGCTGAACTGGATATCGTCGAGCGGTCGCGACGGAACGAAAGTAGTGATCTCGATAGATTCGATGATCGTCTCTTCGGGCTCGTCTTGGATCTTCCGGGTGACTTCTTTCGTGACTTTCCCGGCGTCGAGCTGAATGTTCTGCACCGAAGTTACAGGCTCTAGTGCGGATCCTGAGCTCTTTGGCCTGTGGATCTGAGTCTCGACCGAAGACACTATACCCTTCGGCGAGCGTCGTTTAGAGATCGTTTTCGTTACGTCGTGGGTTTTCGTCCTGACGGAGGCGGCCTCGGATTCTTCGCTCGAACGGCTTATCGGTTTCGGGATCAGTTCCCGCACGGTCGACTCGGGGAAATTGATTTTCAGAAGACCCGATTTCAGGGGCTTGAACTCGACTGTCCTCACCTTCTCGACAGTGCCGTCGTGCCTTGGCGTTTTCTCAACGAGTTTCTCTTTCACCGTTGCGACATTCGTCTCGATAGTTCGGTCCGTGACTTTAGAAACCAGCAATCTCTGCGGAATGGAGTCCGAAGTTCGTTTCGTCTCGATGCTCACAGTCCCGTCGTCGCTCTTGCGCTTTTTGATGATCGTATGAGTTATCTTTTGGGGTTCGGTAACGGACTCCTCGATGACCTCTTCGACTATCGGCTTTCCTTCCGAGTCGATTTTGTGGGGAACGGGCTGCCTAACGTCAAAGTCTCGCAAACCGAGCTCGGTCAGCGAAATTGGTCGAAGCAGACACGATTTCGGGGAAATTTCGATCTCTTCCGCGAAAGTTTGCCTCGCGCCTCCCGATGAGACGTCGACTCCCGAAGAGGAGCTGAGCTTCAGGAGCACTTCGGGTGTTTCTATTTCCTTCGAGGACCTTCTCGTGGACTTCGAGATGTCGAAAGGTTGTCTCGGCATCTTTGTTTCCTGCTTAGAAACCTCGACGAAGTTTCCTTCTGGCGTTTGGACAACTTTTTCTACCCGAGCCGCCACCCATTTATCGGACACAACTCTCTCCGTCGACATTCTGCCGAGGCTGCTCTTCACCGAGACCGAACGTTCCTGTCTCAAGGAAATGTCGTCGGGAGTTCCTCTCGAGGTGACCTCGATGGGCTCAGGATGCATGGGCGTAGAGGCCATCGAGACGATTTCGAAGGTTTTCACCGATACCACATCTTCGTCCGTTGGGACGAAATCTTGACGTCGATGAATCCAGACCGATCGCTTATCGGCGAGAACGACGCTCGCTTCTGTCACGTGATGCTCATCGGGTTTCGTACTCGGTTTAGAGATTGTTTTCGAGACGAGTCTGATCGAATGATCGGGTTGGACTTCGATATTGGCTTGCTTTGAAATTTCTTTGTTGTCCCCGACTCCTCTCGTGGTGAACGTCACGGTTCGTGGTTCATCCAGGCTGACCGGCAGGTAAGGACTGTGATCGATTTGAGCGACCCCGGTTGGGGCCGTAAAATCGAATGTTGACGACGGGACGAAAATAATTTCCTCGATCAAGATCTCCGAATCTGGATGGGGTGCACTGATTGAGGATTTCCGAGTCACGCTCCCCGATGGGGTGACCTCTACTTGCTCTCGCTCCGATCGCAGGTGATCACTTATCCGCGGAAGCGAAACGATATCGAAGTCCTGACTCTTTTTGAGCGCTTCTTTCAGGTCCCCATCCGTAATGGTCAATTTCGGCACATCAGTTCGACCTGTCGATCGATTTAAACTCAGGTGGCGATCTACGCTTAGATAATCCCGGAATCAATAATTCAATCTGATTGTTTGATCGCCCCAGACTCTAAAGCCTCTGTGAAGCGAGCCACTCAAAGAAAATGAAAGCAAATCGAAACGTACTCGTGAAGCGTTTTGGCAAAACTTCAGTTCCGCGGTCGTCGATCACGATCGACTGCGCAGAATGGAGATCTCCGCGGAGCCCAAGCGGCATCGCAGCAGGATCTGAAGCTTTCATAAAGAGCCGAAAACAGCTCAGAAGCATCGTGCTTAGCTGGCTGTAGAAGCTCAGACCATCGTCCGGATTTGAAGCGAAGCTTATGTTTGAGGTAAGCGGGGCGAATGATTGATCCGCAAGTTTCAGGCAGCCGCGATATTTGCCGTAATGAGAACCAGCAGACGGTCCAGGCGCAAGAAGCCTCCGCGAATTTTCAGAAGCAACTCGAAAGCATAGCGAAAGCGAACCGATTTCATGAAGATTGCCACAAGCGTCCTTCCCTAGCAGCATTCTTATCGCGCATTTTTGCAAAGCAAGAAGCAATCAGGATCCTTACCTACCGCAACGAAAACGCGAAAACGCCGACTCAGTGTCTTCGTGTGCATGAAATTCGGTGACTTCTTCATTGGATATGTATTTTTCAGATATCTCTTCATATTCGTGTACAACGTTATCAGATCGACCCGCCCAATGAAGTCTCCCAATCTGAGATACCATGCAAGAACTTGGCCTTCAAAACTTGAGAGTAAGTATTTGAGTTTGATCGACTGCAGAGGTTCACGTTCCCCCGAGATGAAATTCAAGGACAGGGTCGACAAGCATGACTCACCTTTAAAGCGAAGCTCCGAAGCGATGAAGCGCAAAAGATAAGCGACACAGACGACGGAAGCGATACAAGCGATCACTTTAAGCGTCGACAATAAGCAGTTCAAACAGAGGCATAGCCGAAGCTTCGATGATTTGCACAGTACAGTTTTCGATGAAGAAAAGCGGGCAAACACGTGATTCATTTCCAAAGCACCTTTAAGCATTTTCGTCGCACTCGCGAAGCAAAGCTTGCGGAAGCCACACTAACCTTGGGCCCTTTTGAAACGCATGAATTATAGCCAGACTTTTTCTCAGGCTCAACAGGTATTCGCCGAGACCGACTGAAGGAAGAGGTCGAAATAATAGAGGAAAATATCAGCACCGTGAAACTCTAGGGAAATGCCCACAGTGGGCTACAAGGATCTGAAGCCGCCACCGGCGGGACCTTATGTATTGACGCAACCTCATGTATACCGAGACCCCCAAAGAATTATTCCATTCAGCCGACGACGGCAAATGTACCGTCCTCGGAACCAAGATTTCCGATGGAGCATATTTTAAGGGGATTGATTGGAAACTGAAAAGCGGGAGATCGAGCAAGTTTGTCAAGTATCGCCAAGGTTCAGAATTGCCTACCGGTAACGAGCTGAAGCTGTTGAAGACATCCGTGATGAATGCGAAGCGGCTCCTCGCGGTGGTCGCCACGACCGGGTGTGGAAGCGAACATAAGCCATTCACATTGCACAGTTTTCGTGTGAGCTTGCGCACAATCTAAGCACTATAGAGTCAGAAGCGAAGCTCGTTCTCATTAAGCGAAACCGAAGCTGAACGTTTGGACGGACGGACGCACCGACTTGCGGACGACAAAGATTTCGGACGGGCCCATGTGGATGACGGAACGAACGGACGAAGAAGCCAAGCAACACAGATGCGTCCATAAACGTCGCCGAGCTGGACCCGACAGCGAAAATGACGACATTGATCAGCTAAAGCAGCTCTGATGAGCAAGTCGGTAGCGGAAGCTGCAATCGCTGCGAAAACGCAGAAGCCAAGGCTTCTACGCGCTGGAATCACGTTAGCGTGTTCTGTGTTCACACGAGGCATGCTCTTCAGCTGTGCTCATTGTCTACGAAGGATGACGATGGGGACTTGGCGCATGCATCGGGGATCGGCCGGCATGCGGGGACATTCGATAAGGAGATATGGTCGAGGGATTGTGACCAGAACCAGTAAGGAAAGGGTCTCCACGATATTTCTCACGAGTACATACGCAAGGGCAACGAAGCAGCGGCGAAGCGTAGACAAAGAATCTATGAACGGATTCGCGCACTCACCTTCGACAGTTGCCGTGATCGCAAGCTCTGATTTCACCGTGACCCCTTCTGAAAAGTCGTATTGGAATGAATGTTCGACCCTTGTAGATATGAGCTTTATTATGAGATAAGTTCCATCGGAGATGAGTGCCTCCAGGGCGCTCCTTGACTAACCTATTGTTTTGGCCATCTGCGCTTCTCTGTGCGGAATCAGTTCCACTTGTTCTAGTGGGGCAGGCTGTTCTTCGATGGGGACCACTCCCCTCGCTGGAGTGACATCTGAAACCTAGAAGAATTACCCCAATTAGCGCCACAAGGTCTTCGGGCTAATTTCGGAATGATGGGCACAAACTTGAGCTCTAGGTTCCATCTGGTATTTCGCTTAGGATTCAGCGTCGAAACCCTTACCTGGAGAGGTGTCTGCTCGAATACCGAGAACTTCGCTTGCGTGGCTTGGAAGCTTTCGGTGCGTAGCATTTCCGTAGTCTGGTAGGACCTTACGTCCTGTGTCGTGACATGAGTTCGTTTCACGATGTCCATCTGGACCTCTTGCGGATGCGGAGACGTGCTGGGTTTCATATCGAAATGGCTTTCTCCTGGGATCTGCTCTTCCACACTGAGAGAACTTTCGTATGTGAACGATTTTCTTGCTGTGTATTCCTTCGTGACGGAAACCTGCTGTACGCTCGACGTCTCCACGGTTGGAGTTGTCTCCTCGACAACAATCGCGCGCAGAGGGACCAAGTGCTGTTTTCCTCTCGAGGGAGTATCGTGAGTGAATTGCTCCTCCGCGACATATTCTGGAACAAACTCGTGGCTGGGATGCGGCTTCATCTCGACGATATCCTCAACAACGGTCTTCTTGGCTTCTGCTTCTATGACGGTCTTCTCCGGGATTTCTTCCGGGGTCGATGCGAAGCTCACGCGTCGTTTCAGTTTCGGCTTGATTTCAAATTCGACCGGTTTGTGTTCAATGGATTCGACAGTGACGGACATCTCTTCGAATCGTTCGTGTTTGTGTCTTGCAATCGAGATCGGAGTTTTGACGATTTCCGCCGGGACCTGTTTGGGCTTTCTCGCTGTCTTCGGCTTCTCCTTAGGTTTTTTCTCGACGATGATCTCTTCCTCTACTATCTCGGTGATCTCGATTTCTTCGGGTTCCTTGGGGAATGTCACCAAAGGTTCTTCTTGCGGCAACTCGGAGACATACTGACGCTTGACGAAAGGCTCCTCTTTCTTCGGCGCTTTGCGTCGCTCGTAGATCTGCTCCGGCTCTCTTTCGACCTTCGTAACATCCTCGACCACGGGTTTCTGCGGCTCCTCGGGCGGCAACTCAGAAACATATTGCCTCTTCACGAAGGGCTCTTCTTTTTTCGGTTTCTTCCGCCGCACGTATATTTCGGATTTCTCCGGTTGTGGAACCTCCGAAACAACGCTAGTTTGGGACACCAGCCGCCTCTTTTCGACTTCTTCTTTCTTAGGAATGATTATCTCTTCTTCGATGAGTTCGTCTTCTTTCGTACTGAGTTCGGTGATCTGCGGTCCGCGCTTCTTCGTCTTTCTCGTCAATTCCGAGACGTCCTTTCGCGACTCCCATTGCTTGCGCTCTACTTCAATGTAGCTATCGTCCATCGCTTCGGAGAACTCTGACAGCTCGGTAGCCTTCTTTTTGGGGCGACGGACAACGTCTGCTTCGGACACGTGTCTCTCCGTTTGCCAGTGCTTCCGGTCGAGCTCGAGGTAGCTCTCATCGACACTTTCAGACCATTCCGATGTTTCGGGACCTGGGCGTTTAACCCACGGGGCCGTCTGCAACTCCGACACCGTTCGCTTCTTGTGATATTGAGATCTTCGGACGGACATGAAGCTGTCATCATACGACTCAGATAGAGAATCCATGGAAGTATCCAGCAGAGCCGGTTTTTCTGGTTCTGTGGAGGATCGAGATCGCAGGACATTAATTATGGATATCTCGAGAAGCGTTCGATCGTTGAAGCTAACTGAATATTTCCCTGATATTCGACATTCCCTCGATGCTCTACGAACCTCCAATTTCAAGAACGCAAGTTGTGAGTTCTTCGCCAGCCTCATTCGAGGCTCTGGCTGTGTACGTTCCTTTTGTTTCCTCGTTCAGTTCAATGATGTGGAGCAGACAGCGGTCGTACATGACGGCCACCTCGTATCGAGCCGGCGTCGTTTCCACCTGAAACGATCGCTCATTGAAGATCGGTCATCAGTTCCTCCGACAATGCGCTTCAGCTGCGTCCAGTCGCGACCTTTCAACCGGATCCCTCAGATTGGCTCACCTTTTCATCACCGTGGAACCAGACAACGTCAGGTCTCGGTCTTCCTCGTGCCATGCACTCAAGCGTGATAGGAGTCCCGAGTGGCTGCATGATGTTCTGCAGCGGAACTTCAAATTTGGGCTTCATCGCCATGAAGTCTAATTTTAATTGAGACGGCTCGAGAATCTTCCGGATCGGCTGACGGGACTTCAGATCTACAGATGGATAAGAGCGGATCGAATGAGATAGAGAAGAGGCTTCTGGAATTCGGTGCGAGAGCTTTCGTTCACCCCTCTACGACTACTAACCGATCTGTACGAGCTCTGTATGGGTGACATCGACACCATATCTGTTCTTCGCTTCTACGTAATAGTGTCCGAAATGGTCCTCTTCAGTTGTTGGGATGACCAATTGGCAGGTTCCCTCGGTGTCGTAGGATACCTTTACAAGCATTGGGGGAGGAGTGACTATGGGCTCGGCGGGACTTCTATTTCTCGGCGGGTAACTCGATTCCAGGGATCGAGCCAGGCTCCTCGAAGATATTTTGGTTGTTGTGCGTGAGGTCTGATAGTTCAACCTTACCTTTACGTCCGGCGTGTACTGCAGCGGTTCACCCTCCTTGAACCAGGTGACCTTCGGCTTCGGCTTGCCAATTACTCGGCAATCCAAACTGGAATTCGAATCTGACTCAACGACCGAACGCCGCCGTGGCTATCTCGTCTAAATATGTCTATAGGAGACTTGGGACTTACGTGGCTGGTTGTCCTAGGGTGACCATAACTTCCTCCAGAGGACACGTGAATTTCGGCGCAGTACCTGGCTCCGAAACTTTCCTAGCGGGGACCCATCTTCCGGCCCGAGTTGGCACCATATGAACTTCGATTGGTTTACGCGGAGCGCTCTCGCCTATTGTTTCTTGCGTCTGAGGTGTTGATACAGGCTGGATGGAAGCCTGTCCGGGCATCGACGGCCTCAATGGAGTCGTTGCGACTCCCAAAACTGGTCTGTAAGCGGGATGGCTTGGTCTGATGAAAGCAGGATGTGGAAGTCTTGCTTGTTGACCCGTAGGGAATTGCGGGGCTCTCGGTTGACCGTAGAAACTGACGCTCTGCGGGACACCGGGAAGAATCTCTCCCGGTTGCAGAGGTTGCAGCACGAGCCCTCGCTGGATTGGACTTTGCTCAGCAGGAAGGAACTCCATTGAAGCTTGAGTCTCCGGAGCTATATCCGAAGTGTCGGTCACGATCGGTTTTTTCGAAGCCTCTGGAATCACCTCGCCCGGATGAGTCTCTCTGACCACCTGTCCCGGGCGGATTCCCGCCGGATGCGGAGCCTCTCCGATAAGTTCTTCGGGTTGAGTCGGCTGTTCGCCTCCGGACCACATACTGAAAGGCCACAAAGGTTTCGGAATGATTTTGCTAGCGAATTCCCTCGCTTGCTGACCCATGGTCTTCGTGGATGTCTTCGGTCTCTGGGAGGGCAGTTCTTCGGTAGCGATCCCCTCCATGGGTCCCGGCAAATACTGAAGCCTCGAGTCGGCCAAAGATTCGGTCAATGTGTCTCTGGTCGCGATCTCAGATCTAGTCGTTGTTTGGGTCACCGAAACGGCCGTATCGGTAATTTCAGAGGTGCCGACCTTGTAGTGCAACATCACCAAATCTTCTGATGTTGCTTGCGGTGCGGTTTCGGTCTGCGTCGGCTGCTCAGGCTGCAACGGCGCGGTCTCTTCGTACTCTCCGACAACAACGTGGGTTTGAGTGGTGGCTTGACCGTGTTCGTTGACCGCGGTGAAGGTGTACGAACCCTCTGTTTGGGAAGTAAGCTCGAGAATGTGTAGCATGCAACGATCGTTCAGGACTGTCATCGAAAATCGCGAGTCTTCTTCTGTGATCTCCTCAGAGTGGAAGTACCAGGTGAATTCCGGTTTCGGGCGTCCTCGAACGATCACCTCCAAGGTGACGGGCGTACCCAGCGGTTTCAGATATTCGGGTTTTAGCCCGCGCTCAAACTTCGGTTTCTGAGGTTTGAAGTCGAGTTTCAACTTGTTGTCGTGCGTTGGTATCTTGCGCAATGGTCGCATGCTCTTCATGTCTGTGGAGGGATTCGAAAGCTTTAGGCTGGAGATATCCGAGCGGGAGCGGTAGACAAGGCGGATGTTCACGGCTTCACACCTTAAGCTAATCGAAAACCGGAAAGTACGAACCTAGCTGCACGAGTTCGCATTCGGTCATGTCTACACCGTATGCGTTTTTAGCTTCGCAAACGTAAAAGGCGAAATCCTCAAGCTCTGTCCTGTGGAACGTCACTGTGGAAATGCCGGTTGTATCGTAGGAGATCTGACAATCCGGACTCCACTTGAGAATTTCGCCGTTTTTGTACCAAGTGATCTTCGGTCTGGGATGACCGGTGGCCTTGGCGTCTAGGCTGAGGAAAAAAAAACAATGCCCAATGTTATCCTCGTATGGGAACGCCTGCTAAATTTTTACCGCGGGAGCTTCCATGACGTCCGTCGGAACTTACGTGGCTGGCTGACCCAGCGGCACGATCACGTCCTCGAGCGGGACATCGAACTTTGCGCCGATTCCGGGTGTAGAACTTCTCCTTGGCGACCACGAATGCGGGGTCGATGCCGACAAGGAGTGTTCGGACGCATCCGACGCTTTCCTCGTCGGAGACCAGATCGAGGGGCGATGAGAATCAGGAGTCGGTTTCCGTCCGCGAGTTTTCGTCCTCCTGTGAGGAGCATCACGACGAGGCTCGTGTTCGGCTCCTGTAACGGAGGATCGACCATCGTGGGTCCTCCTCGGTCGATCGGAGCGTCGTCCGCTTCGCCGTGGAGGCTCGTGCGACGCGGAACGAGGCGGTTTCCCGCTCGGTGGTTTGTGCTTGCTCAACCTTGCCAATTCACTGCTACTCAAAGGCTCGTCCATCGGCAGATCAGGGATTTCGATTGAGAAGTCTGCGTCAGTATCGAGTTCTGAGTAGCTCAACGACGCTGTGTGAATCGATTCGAGCGTAGTATCTAGACTCTGGCTAACGGTGGCCACCTCGGAATCGGCGATATACTCGTATGCTGCAAGAAAGCATCCATGAGTCGCGAGCAGGACCGAGCTTCCATATAATTCCGCAGTCAAAAACCCAAGATATAACTCACATTCAACTGTTAGCGTGGTCCTGGTGTATACGGTTCCAGCTTTATTCGTGACCTTGCAAACGTATTCACCCATGTCCTCAGGGAAGACTTCAGAAATGAAGAGTTCGCAGTAGCCGTCAGATCTTTGAGTCATCCAGATATCCTCGTTCTGCTTGACTTCGACGTCATTGTGGAACCAGGTTACCTAGGGGAATTGTAGCTTCGTAAATCTTTCATTCGTTCCGAGCAGGAGGTGAGGGGGCTCGGGAAGCTCGGTCGAGCTTGATTATTAATCATTGTGTTCATTTATCTCAATCCGAGGTCCTTGTCTACCTTCGGTTGTGGATGACCCGTTATCAGCACGACGAATTTCGCTTCACCACCATCCATCACTGACAACGGTTTGAGAGGATTCAATATCCTCGGTGCTTCCAATTCGTCATCCGACGACTCGATCTCTGCAGGTTCAAAGGGTTCTTATTGGGATCGGATCGTGAAATACTGCCGTCCAAGCATGCACTTTGATCTATCAGTGGGGACCTGTCCTCGATGAACGTACTTTCAACCGTCAACGTTGTTTTGCTCTGAGCCATGCCGAAGGTATTCACCGCGGTGCATGTGAACTCGCCCTCGTCATCAGGAAATACTTCATTTATGATGAGCGTGGACTTGTTGTCTTCCGTAATTATCTTTAACCGGAGGGACATTATGTATTCGACTCTCGTATTCCGTCACACCCTCCAATATTCAGACTATAATATCAACGTATGCCATAATATCCACTGGAAGGTCACCTGGAAATCACGGGACGACTTGATGAGTCGATGCTTGTGATACCAGCTTATACTGGCGCTCGGGACCGCCGAAACGAGGCTGCGGAAAACCGCGCGCTGTCCTTCCTGAGCAGTCACAGGGAGGAGCTCGACCAGGAATTGCGGTTTCCGCGAGGCGGTGGCACTTTGCTCGTCGAGGGCTGAATCGAGGGGAAACGCTTATTCATCTGCTCATAATTTGTCTGCCAAACGCTCACGGCGTTCCCTCCGCATGTCATTTCCCTGGACGCAGGTTGACGGTCACGCTCTCAATTGCGGATCTGGGTCCTCGAATTGGCAAGCGAACCCCTATCCAGTTCGGTCGAGCCCGGTATCCATCTCAAAGGAGTACTTACGTATCACGGTGAGATTCGCTTTCGTTTTCGCCGTACCCACGATATTGACAGCGGAAACTTCATAAGGCCCGGAATCTTCTGCGAAAGCTTCTGGTATGACCAGATTCGACTTTTTGCCTTTCGTTTTGATTCTATGGTCCCTCGAAGTAGTGATCGGTCGACCGTGGAAAAACCACTGGATCGCGGGAGGCGGCACTGCGATGACCTCGACCTTCATCTCTACTGGATTCCCCTCAAGCGCTGTCGTCGGCTCTAGGGGCACCAGAAACCTAGGCTGGACGCTCAGGTCGGAAGTTTCGAGGAGTTCGACATCGGTCACGGTCAGTGGAGCTGTTGTTTCGTCTTCTCCGAAAGGGTTGGTGGCTCTACATGTGTATATCCCTTGATCATCCGGGTACACCTGCAGATTGCCGATCGGTAGAACACATTGAGGAAACTAGTCGATGAGATAGCGATAGGGATCGATGAGAATCAAGCCGACGTCGTTTACCTCCGATATCACTAATCTGCAGAAACCTGTGACGGCATCGAACTCGGGTTGGAAATCCGCTGATGGTTTCACCTCTCGCCGGTTCTGGAACCAACGGATTGAGGGCGTCGGAGTTCCCACGACGCGACATTCGAAAACTACCGGTGAGCCGTCCGTTGTTTCCACCGGATTTAGCGCCTTCACGAATATCGGGCGTTGACCTTTGTCTGGAATCGAGAGCACCAATCAGAGGAAGGATCTCATCTCAAACTCCCATGCTTGACTCATTTCTGAGCTCATCTCCGGTAGTTCCGCGCTCCGTCGACAGTGGTGAGAAATCTCTCGAGAACGCTTTTCCGCATGAAAACGTAGATCTCATCAGAGCGGTACCGTAATAGTCCGAAACTATCGAGCAGAACGTCGTCACTGCTGCGGCGCTCCAGACCAGCGATGTTGCGACCCAAAGTTGCGCCCGGGGTGGATTCAAGCGATGCGTTCCCATATCGGAAGCTTCCCCGACAGTTTGGCCCCCTTGGACATTGCTCTTCCAAAATGGCGCCTTCATTACCTACTCAGAGAATATTGATTCTCCGAGAATCGATATCCTTCCGAATCCATTCCACCTGAACGGCGCCGCTCAACGGACTCCTCCTCGACGAGAAGCCGCTTCTTCGGTTGCCAAAGTCGAAGATTTCGTTCCTGGGGAGCTGCGTCGAAGTAAAGTGCCTTTGTTTCCCTCCCTAGCGACAGCTACGCCACCGCTGCTCCGGAGAACAGCTCGTCATCGGAACCCCGCTGCTTCAGAATGATAATCATCAAGGATCTGTTTTGATTGTCGCTTTCCTCCGACGCACAAGAGATCCCTTGCGGGGGGAATGGAAGTCATTCCTGGGGGTTCCGGAGCACGGTAGGCTCCGATTTGTGATCAATGCTGGTGTACCGGAAGGTTCTCGATAGTCTGGTCGACAGCAGCCATAGATGATTCACAGACAGAGGCTCCAAGGACCCTCCGCCTGGGAGCCTTGTCTCCCTATCCTGGCTCTGACTGTCGAGCTCGAGCTGCGGTTAAGCGCGGATATCCCGGGGAGTCGAGGGGGAGGAATAATGAGTTCGGGAAACGACCTCATGTATTCGAAATCCGGGAATTCCAATAACATGCCACGGCTACTTTCTGAGCTTACTTTCTGTACCGGCTTCAGCGTTTGCGAACGTTCCGCAGACATGGGGACTTCTGCAGAGCAGAACGCCGCGACGTCTAAAAGAGCGGGCAAGCGCTCCCGAGCCTCCTGTTTGTGCAAATTCGCTGAGACGCGACTCCTTCACGTGGGACTGTCAGACGTCGCGACTGATGGATGATTATAGGGAGAAACAATAACCCGATGCCAACCTCTCCATTCTCCATGAATGTATTGTTATGTGTGCCTTCTTATGGTGGGCTTTCGAAAGGATCCAAGGTTCCTCATCGCCGGTCTGGAGTTTTTCCCCGATAGCGAGTCTCCCAAGACTTGAATCAGAGGGTGATCGGGTGCGGATTTAAGCGGAGCTTCCATCGTATAGTATCGTCAACATCTCAGCTGTTAGGATTGTTGCTCTTAGGTCGAGCTTGACCGGCCGGTGTGGTTCGCTGATTGAGGTCCTCAGGGTGATCGATAAAGGCCGATCTACGGCTTAGTGTTAGCGTTCCGCATATGCCGCATAGCTTATTCCCCTCTTTCGATTCGAAAGAATGGTCGGGGACCTATGGTGGAATCAGCGCGGCGCTCCTTGAGTTTTCAGTGCTTTCGATTGGCTCATGGTTGGAGCATTCACGGTCAATCGGGAGCAGCTCTTGAATCCTTGGTCAATGGGGAAGGATCAAAAAGTGAGATCCGGTTCGATTGTATCTAATTCTTTCGATCGTGAGGAGTCTACTGTATGGAGCCTTTTAGTAGGACTCGATAGTGTCGCACCCAGGCTTGCGGAGATCTGGCCTCTGGCATGAGCTCCCGATGTACAGAGGGAATGAACCCAGAGAGGTGCTCGCTCTCCACAGCATGTTCCCTCACAACTTCCGGAAACGGATGCATCATCCGCATAGCCATCGCCTCGTTATGGGATTTGATTATGAGCCCCAGTAATAGCATTCTCTACTCGATTCTGATCTTAGATTCATAAAGGCCGGCTGGCAGCTAAAGAGAATCGCTGAAGAGCGCTACGCTGAGGGGAAGTAGGTATTGGACAATCCCTCGTCCTGAAATGTGATCCCAGCAGGGGTTTCTTGCGAATAGCTGATCGTCTCTCATAAAATTCAGCCCAGAACTCATTCGGACTGTCGGCGCTAGGGATAGCATAAATCTCACCTTGAAGGTAGAGCACATTCGTTGAGCTGGCCTGGCCGTACTCGTTGTAAGCAGTACATGTATAGCGTCCTGTATCATACATCTGAACGTTGACCAGCCGGAGTTCGAATGTCCCTTCTGATGATAATGATGTCTTGACCTCTTCACCCTCCATCAGAGGTCTCCCGTCGAACGTCCAGTCAATTTTCGGCAATGGATTGCCCTTGACGCGGCCCCGGAAGACTACTTCGTTAGGAGAGACTTGTTTCGGCTCTGGTTCCTCAACAAAAGAAGGAGTTGACCGAGGTTCTGTCCGATCGGAAACCGTCTGTTCGGTTGAGCGGGTCGGATGCTGCGACGGTGGCGATGGACCTTCCTTCGCGGGACTCACAGGCAGCGACGAGCGGTCAGTGGGTTTCTTGCCTGCGGTGGGTGTGTTTGGTTACAATTGGAGTATCAGGGTTCTGTTCTTGCCTGAGCTATCTGTTAATCGGGAGTTTCGAGAAGGGAGTCATTCTCTGCCCAGCTTGACTTGAGAGGCGGAGGGTTTTGTTGCAAGGTTCAGGATTGGACTACTGCCAGTTACGTGGTTATTCGTCTTCTCTATGGCAAGGGGTCCGTTTGATGGGTACGTTAGCAAGAGGAAGGAATCAGAAGTGTCGGGATTCCGCCCACCGCCGCATCGTCGCCGTCACCTCTCCGTTCGTCGCTTCTCCTTTTGCTTTCTTCAGGTCGGAGGCTCAAGTCAAGAAAGGCAGGAACAACACGGGCTCGGATGCACAAACAAACACTTTATTCGGGTGAACAACAGTAGATTTCGACCAGTTCGCTGGCCATGAAACGATAACAGACGCCTTAGTATTCATGGCGTGGGGTTCGTCGGAGCTTCCGACTCGACCCTTGGGCCATCGCTGAGGAAGTTTTCCTTTGTTACCGCATTCTTGCTCTGATCGATTGATCGGCGATTCCGCCACTCAGCCAGAAGCATACTGGATGACTCGAGTTAGGCACCAACATTACAAACATCAACAACGGAAAACAAGAGTATTTCGATAGGTAGCACTGCTAGGCGAGGAGAATATTCGATGGCGAGCGATCAGTCGAATGCAACCTTAGCAAGCTCCGAGCTTCAGAAATCAGTCTAGCATAGCCTGCCGAACCTGCGATCATCGACGAAGTCCTCGTCAGCAGGTTTGACGAGTGCAAAGTCCGATGATCGATCGCTCGCTGAGTGAATTTGTTTATTTTCTCAAGAATGAATGTGAAGCGAGGGAGATAGAGAAGAGATAGAGATCATCTCCAACTCTCAAATCGGAGCCCGATAGAGTCCCTTAATAGAGGATTCAGGAATCTCATCGAGGAATCCGTTTGCGTCTCAACAAAATGACGGTCGGAGAGACGCGTCAGTCGAATCTAAAGCGGAAAACTCGACTACGTCGCTCCAGATTTGGGCTCGGTATCAGAACTCTAGGGCAAGGTTCTTTGATATCGAGGCATATGACACCTAAGATGAACAAGGGCAGCGTTTGGCTACATGCGTTTGAAGCATTACTCGATTTGATTTTTTTTCGATGTGTACACACGTTCTTGAATAATTGGCGGATGGAAGCCGACAGGCAGGGGCGTTAAGGGAATCTTCATCTGAACAGGTGCATGATGCGTTTCGATGGCTAAAGGATCGAAGATTCGTCTCGCACTTATCATATGCCCAATATTTCGCTCTGCGACGAAAGACTTGTGGGGACCATGATCCCCTTGCCTCCTTCTCGCACAATGACAACAGGTGATTGATTCCAGCAAGTTGCAAAAAAATGCCGTAAAAAGCACAAGCCTGATCAAATGCTTCTCCGAAAAATATTATTGTTTCCGTTCCGCGAATGTTGAGGAACGCAAAGAATTTCCGGCGGAAATTCTAGTCGGATCTTCGACGACCGTGATTCGCTTGAACGGAAGCATCAAGATCGATCTTTCTATCGATTCGGTAAACGCTACCCGAATCGCGATTCCTTTATCGGCTCGTAGCTGGACATGACGGAATTTTTCCTAGGTGAACGTTTTTCCCAGCGACGCCGGATTGGCTGCTGAGCTCTCCTAATTAGTCTCCTATTTTCTTAGTTTACTTCGGACCCTTACGCGTCACTGTGAGTTTAGCGGATGCTTCCGCCTGTCCCCCTGCGTTAGTTGCCCGACACGTATAAGTGCCTGCGTCAGCGGGTAGGGCACGCTTTATCACCAGGGAGCAACTGTCGTCAGTTTGTGTGATCTGCAAGGTGAGAGCGACAATCATCAGAAAAAGCCTTTCCAGAAGCCTCGCACCATAAGCAGTACAGAGCTGCTCCGAGGACGCCGGCACCTGACGACTGAACCCACCTGGAAATCCCTCGTGGGACGCACAACCTGACCACCTTGATACCAGGCGACCTTCGGTCTAGGATGGCCTTCCACAGGCAGGGAGAATGTGGCGGGTTGGCCTTCGTCGACGGAGAGGTCAGACAGAGACCCCAGCACGGGTGGTCTCTCGGTCCCATCGGAAACTGGTGGGAGCAAAGTTTTCGGTCACTTCCGTCCGAGAGTTCTCGCAAAATCCGTTCCGACGATCATTCCAATCATAATTCTGACGATCCGACCGGAGACTTCCCACTCGATGTCCGAGTTTCCATGACTTACCGATGACTTTTAGGTTGGCCGTCGTCGAGGCGGTTCCAGCTCGGTTGGTGGCCTCGCATCTGTATACCCCTTCGTCTTCGGGGAAAGCCTCCAAAATCTTCAGCGTGTAGTTGTGGTTCTCGCCGGAGATTTTGTAGTAACGCGATTGCTTGATGAGATTGTCCCCTCGATACCACCTCACTTGAGCGGCTAGAATGGAATATTCGAGCTGATTCCTCCCGTTCACAGGAGGCACCGAACGATCGTTCTCCTTGATATTCGGCTTTTACTTACTCGGCGATGCTGGAATCCGACAGCGGAAGGTCACAGGTTGACCTTGTTTGACAGTGACGTCCTTGATGCCTTCGCTGACCTGGGGTCCTTTGGCTGACGTATCAACACTCTGCTGCAACTGCGGTTGCGAAACAGAACGGGCACCACTGGCAGTGGGCTCTACGACAATCTGAGCAATGCAGCGAGCTTCACCGGCTTTGTTCATGGCAACGCATTCATAGTTGCCCGAATCCTCGGGCGTGGCGTTCAGAACGACCAGGGTACACATGTCGGCGTCTTCGTGGATTTTATGCGTCGCATCTTCCGTGATCTTCTGTCCGCTTCGGAGCCAATAGATGTCCATGGGTCTGCCACCCGATATACATCCTGAGAGCTTGATGTTCATTCCCTGTTTGCTTCTCTGGGATTGAATGGTTTTCGTGAAGTTTGGAGGTACGACCCCGGCTCCTGCCTCCGGTCGTTCCTCGACCACGAGGTTCGCCGAGGTCTTAGCGGTACCGCCCACATTTTCAGCCTTCACGGAGAAAACTCCACTGTCTTCAACGTAAACTTCCCGGATGGTCAACGTGGATTTGGTCGAGGTTGTCACGATCTGGAAGTCTTTGGAATTTTTGATCGTGAAGTTCTCCCTGTACCAGGTGATTTCCGGTGCGGGTTCACCGGTGAACTCACAAACGAACTGAGCGCTCTCTCCCTCAACCGATCGACAGGGCTGAATCTTCTTCGAGAACTGCGGGGGTACGCTAGGCTTGACCGGTCCCGGCACGATCCGTTCTTCCGTGACACCTTTGTGACCCTGTTCGACCGTCTCGGTGACTTGCTTCCGTTTGTGGACCTCAACATCTCCCTGATATTGCTTCTGGGTTTGCTGTTGCACCGTTTGCGTGACTTCTTTTCCTTGAACGGTGGAAGCTGTGGACTGTCCCGTTTCGGTAGACACTCGTTGAGTCTGCTGTCTGAGATGTTGGGACTGTTTTTGTTGCTGCTGCTGCTCTTGTTGTCTTTGCAGAAGGAAGCTGTGAATGAAACAACATCAATTATAGCTAACCTGAACGGACGGCGCAACTGCTCCATAGAAGAAAGAAGTTCAGGAATCAAGTTCAGGAATTAAGATCAGGAATCAAGTTCAGGAATCAAGTTCAGGAATCAAGTTCAGGAATCGAGTTCAGGAATCAAGTTCAGGAATCAAGTTCAGGAATCAAGTTCAGGACTCAAGTTCAGGAATCAAGTTCAGGAATCAAGTTCAGGAAGCAAGTTCAGGAATCAAGTTCAGGAATCAAGTTCAGGAATCAAGTTCAGGAATAGAGTTCAGGAATAAGATCAGGAATCAAGTTCAGGAATCAAGTTCAGGAATCAAGTTCAGGAATCAAGTTCAGGAATAAGATCAGGGATCAAGTTCAGGAATCAAGTCCAGGAATCAAGTTCAGGAATCAAGTTCAGGAATAAGGATCAGGAATCAAGTTCAGGAATCAAGTTCAGGTATCAATTTCAGGCATGGAGTTCAGGAATGGAGCTCAAAAATGATCTTGATGGGGCTTACTTCTGGCGTAACTGCTGCTGCTGTTGGATGATTCGCTGCTGATTGCTGAGATGCTGGATAGTGGCGCTCTTCTCCTCCATGGTCGACGATTTAGTCGTGACAGTTGCCGAATGCATCTTGTCCAGTTCTTCGGAGGTCAGATGTTGTTTAATCTGTTGTTTCTCACCTATTGGGAGATGGAGAGGGAAGTAATATCACGCTAGCCTCGATTTCTGGTGAGCTCAGGTCGATGAAGAGATCGAAGCATAAGTCGATCGTCGCTTACCGTGAGATGTTCTCTCAGTTTTCCAAATATCGACTTCCTGACCACCCGGAAGCACTTCTTCGAACACACGCTTCTCTTCCTTCTTTTGTCGGTCTACTTGGTAGCTGTGGATGTCCCGATCGTACCACGGGTTCGGAGACTGCTTAAGCACCGCGCGATAATCGCTCTGATGCTGACGCACCTCTAATGTTGTGGAACAATAGGCTTCGCCCTCGGCGTTTCGCGCAAAAACTTCGATCTGAGGGTGAGAACAGAAATTCTATGAGCTGGGGATCTCACTGGAGCGGACAGGGGATTTACAAAATCGATCCCGGGGATAGTTTTCAATTCGGCCGCCTCGAATCGAAATATGGAGCCACTAATACGAAGAGCAGATTGGGAAAATATTGAATTTCAGAGGAGATTCTACAGAGCCTCGTCAATTTCCGATCTACGAACTGCCGCATGCGGGCTTAGACATAGGGAGCACTTCGATTCTCTGTGTGGTTTCGGTGGCGGGCTCGCCCCTTAGAGGGGTGATCTGATCCTCCAGCGTCCAGTGAATCCCAAAGTGGTCCATTTGGATCCGCGGGAGTTTATGGCGATTCTTGGGTCTCCATAGGATCCTATGGAAGAGGGTCCACAGGGTCCATGGACACGATACTAGAAACACATAAAGGGCTCGACGGACTCCGGGGACCTATGCTGCGTGGCTACGGGGTTCTTCTGAGCGAGGACCTATAGTACGCTAACCTTTCCAGCATCGTATTGTCGGCTTTTGGGTATGTCAAGGTGGTAAATTCCGTCATACGTCAACTTGCATCGGGAACCCTGAAAAGGAGAAAGAAATACGATTGATTGATGTCCTCATTCGGAGCGCTCACTCATTCCGGAAAGACGACCACGGATGAACCCAGGCTGGCGAACGCTGTCGAGCAGAAAGCCCCATCGACTGATTCTGGCGACAATGAGTTCTCGGCTACAGGACGGACCGTCGCGCATTCAAAGGAGGGTAAGAATGCTGAAGCAGTACTTTCATCCCCTCTCTCAGCTTTTCACCGACAGCGGGCAAAAGACCCTGTTGAAACTGTAAAGAGGTCCGTCGCTGCTGCCGCCGACAGTGACATACTATTTTGAGAGAGCATCAGTATTGTGCTCGATTCGTGAGAATGTATACAAAAGCTTATTCGTTGTTGGCTTTCGTGGCGAATGATTCCGCTTGAGATGGCGGAATATCATCGGGTTCTTCTCTCGATCCCTCTCAGAACTGACTTCTCCCTCCGACATACTCACATTTACTACAGTGTTTCCATTCAACACCCAGATCAGCCGAGGTTTCGGGTGTCCGATCACTCGACATTGGAATTTAGCCCAATCGCCCTCATTGACAACTTGCGGTTCGGGTTTCATCACGAAAATCGGTGCAAGCCTCTCCGGTGCTTGTTCGATGATACTCTCGGTTCTACAAATAATGGAGAATTTATTCATCGCTTTTAGATGCGTTCAGTTGTTTTTGCGGACATCGCCGCATCGATGGTAATCCGAACGAGCGTGGTGATTCTTACTTCTGTTTGACAATCTCCATCTCGGCGATTTTCTTCACACCGTCTTTCATGGTCATCGGCAGTTGGGTCCTGTAGTCCAGCGTTGGTTTCCCGCTGCATTCCAGGGTAGTTTTAGTGAAATCTTCACCGAGCTCACTGAATGCTCGGGCGATGTACTCGCCGGAATCCTCTGAATAGCAGTAGAGTATATCCAGGGCGACGAAGCCAAAATCGTGCGTTGTCTTGTACCGATGACCCGAGATGAGCGGCTTGCCGTTGTGGAACCATTCGACGCGTAATTTCGGATCGTTCGTGGGTTCGAGTCGGCATTCGAAATGGGCGCTGTCGCCCTCTTTCAGAGAATGCTGGGGCTGGATCTGAGTGACGAATCGTGGCGGCGTGATCGGTTTGTCTTGCGCCGGAGTTTCGTGCATCGGTGGGTTCTCCAAATCCCGCAGGCGACCGATATCGATGCCTTGAGGGAGTTGCGATTCGAGAATTATGTTAGCCTTTCCTGCGGAGAAGAAAATTCAGAAAATTTAGAGGGAACACGGACCCGGGGAGCGATGTTGCGGTAGGAAAGGCGGGACGAAATAATTGGCCTACCTTTGACAGTCAAGTTGCACTTGGTGACGTCCGAGCCCCATTTGTTCGTCGCTCGGCACATGTATTCGCCGCTGTCTCGCGGGAAGAGCCAATCGATCTCGAGAACTACGAAGCCGAAGTCGTCGACCGTGTGCACCCGGGAGCCGGTTATCAATGGCTTGCCGTTCACGAACCATTCCACTCTCATCGAAGCGTCTCCGACCGGAAGGAGTTTGCACTCGAAGTGAGCGTTGTCTCCCTCCACTCGTTCGTAGGTGGCCGACAGCTGAGTGACGAATTTCGGCGCCTCCTTGCGTTCGTCGTCCTGGACTTTCGTCGTCTGATGGAAACGCGAATCTTCGAGGATCTTGATGCCCTCCCCGGAGAAACCTTTCGGCAGCTGAGATTCTACTACGATCGACTGCTTGCTCTTGATGCTCAGTTGGCAGTTCACCGACGCTTCGCCCTCTTTGTTCACGGCTCGGCACGTGTAGACGCCCGCGTCGCGATCGAAAACTCCGGCGATCTCCAGAATGACGTAGCCGAAATCGGAGATGCTCTTCACGCGGGAACCGGTGACCAACGGCTTGCCGTTGTGGAACCAATCGACGCGCAGAGTCGCGTCGTTGGCAGGCCCAACCCGACACTCGAAATGGGCCAGAGCGTTTTCGTTCAGAGATAAATCCGACGGGGAACTCAAGAACTGAGGAGGTCCCATCGGAACTTCACGTGTTTCGACTCGAGTCTGGTGCATCGTGAGACGTGACGCCTCGATTTGGGCTATCTTCTGAATGCCGCTCCTCATGTCTGTCGGCAGTTGGCTCTCGGAAATTATCCCTTGCTTTCCTTCGCAGCACATCGAGCAGCTGCTGACGGCCTCACCGAAACGATTTCGCACCTTGCACGTGTACGTCCCGGAATCCTCGGGGTAGACGGGGGAAATTTCCAGGATGACGAAGCCGAAATCGTTTATGGTCCGGATCCGGGTTCCCGACATGAGCGTCTTTTCGTCCTTGAACCACTCGACCGTCAGATCGGAATCGTGGGTCGGTGTGATCCGAGCCTCGAAGTGAGCGTTCTCCCCTTCGCGGAGTTTGGTCAGGTCCTCCAAGGGTTTCGTGAAGACCGGCGCTTCCTGGACGTCGCCCACGGAAACTGTCGAGACGCTTCTCATCAAGGACCTTTCGAGCTGCGTGAGTTTCTTCTGACCACCGGACATCTCGACCGGAAGTTGCGAATCCAGTACGAGAGTTGATTTCGCTGCGGGAGAAATTCTCGTTAGGGAGCTGTTCGAAAGGGTCGGATCGAGTCTTGATCCGGGATCAAGACCTGTAAGGGAACGGTCGGAGGAACTTACATTTACACGAGAGCGTTGCTCTCGTGACATCGGTGCCGAACTTGTTGGTCGCCTTGCAAACCCATTCTCCGGAGTCCTCTCCGTAACAATAGAGAATGTCGAGGACGACCACTCCGAAGTCATGGAAGGTTCGGAAGCGGTGTCCCGAACGCATCAATTGGCCGTTGACGTACCACTCGATCCTTAGATCAGGGTCGTTGATCGGCGTCAGCTGACACTCGAAGTGAGCGCTCTGTCCCTCGACCAAGTTCGTGACGTTCTGAATGTGGGAAGTGAACTTCGGCGCCGTCTGGATGGACGACTCGACCCTCGTCACCGAGCGAGATTTCATTCCTTCCATTCGAGTGATCTGCTCCATGCTTCGTGGCTGCAGCGAGTCGAGGAAAATTTTTCCGGAACTCGCGCAGTCGATCGTGCACTTTGTGGTATCTGAGCCGTACTTGTTCGTGGCTACGCACACGTATTCACCCGAGTCCTCGTGATGCACATAGGAAATATCCATGACCACGAAACCGAAGTCGGACAGCGTCTTTATTCGCGAGCTTTCCGGTAGGGGTTTTCCGTTTTTGAACCATTCCACCCGCAGGTCGGGATCGCCGACGGGGGTGACGTTGCATTCCATGTGGACGCTCTCGCCTTCTCGGAGCTTGGTGACGTCCTTGAGCTGTTTCTTGAAGACCGGCCGCTCCCCTTTCTGCTTGTCAATGCATTTCAGATGAACGCTGATCTCGGTCTCACCCCACTTGTTCTTCGCTTTGCACGTGTAGGTGCCCGAGTCCTCGACGACGACCCCGAGGATCTCGAGCAGCACGACGCCGAAAGCGTGGACCGTACGGATCCGATGGCCCATTTCGATCGAGCGACCGTTGAACAGCCATTCGACTTTCATGGTCTGATCTCCGACCGGCGAGAGCATTGCTTCGAAATGGGCGACTTCGCCTTCGGTCATATCGGTGAGATTCGTGAACTGGGACGTGAACTGGGGGGCGTGCCCCTTCTCCTCGGTGATTTCCTCGGTCGTCCTCATCATCGATTCCTCGAGCAACTGGATGGACTCGAGTCCTTTCGTCCCCTCGGGGTGCTGTGTCGTTTCGACGACGCTCGTTGTGGAAACGCATTCGATCGTGGTGGTTGTAAAAGCTTCTCCGGCCTTGTTCTTCGCGCGGATGGTGTAAACTCCCGAGTCGCGTGACCAGAAATCTCTCACTGTGAGATTGATGTACCCGAACTCGTTGGTCCAGCGGAAGCGGTTCGCTTCGGAGAGCACCGTGCCGTTGAAGAACACCTCGACGTTGAGATCGGGATCGGTGGAAGGTTCGACCCGGCACTCGAGAACGACCACCTGACCTTCGTTGACGGTGAGGTGGGGCTTGAGCGCTTCGGTGAACACAGGCTTCGGGAAAACTTTCTCCGGCGCCGCCTTCGGCGCCTGATACTTGGAACTCCACTGATCTTCGACTTTCCGAATGCTCGATAGACCCTGAGCTCCGGTTGGATGGAGCGTGTCCAATTGGACAGAGGCCTTGTCGACAACTTTCAGAGACGCGGTCGTCGTGGCCTCGCCTTTGCTGTTCTTGGCACGCACCGCGTAGATGCCGGCGTCGTTCGAAGTCACGCCCTGGATGTCGATGGTGACGAGCCCAAAGTCGATCTTCGTCGTGATCCGAGAGCCCGTGCGGAGCGTTTTCTGATTTTGTAGAACCTCGATCCTCAGCGTGGGATCCTTGGCCGGCTCCACCCGGCATTCGAAGCGAGCGTGTTGTCCCTCGACGAGTTCGAGATCGTTGATGTGCGACACGAAAACCGGCATCTCGAACACGGGCTCGGCGATTTGGCGAGGGGCGGGGGCCTGGTAGGATTCCATTTCGCGAATCCGCTCCAAACTCTCCGGCTGTAGGGAACCGAGGAGGAGGCCGGCGCTGCCCTCGACCTTGATGGTGCAGGTCGAGAGCGCCTCGCCCGACTGGTTGGACACGCGGCAGACGTACAGTCCCGAATCGTCCGGACGTGTGTTGCTGATGTCCAGGGAGACCATACCGAAATCGTGGGTCGCCTTGATCCTCGACCCGAGCGTGAGCGGCTGCTGGTTCTTGAACCACTCGACTTTGATCTTGGAATCTTTCGACGGCTCGATACGACCTTCCAGACGGATGTACTGGCCCTCGGCAGCGTTCGAGACCGAGTTCAGCTGCTGCACGAACATCGGACTCGGCATCGGCACTTCGGTGCGTTCTTCGGGGGCTCGTCGACTGAGCTCGTACTCGTACTGTTGCATGATACGGTACGCCTCGGGATGGAGAGCCTCCTCCTGGACGGACGCTTTCGTTTTCACTCGGAGCGACATCGTGGTAATGGCTTCTCCCGCCTTGTTGACGGCCTTGCACATGTAGACTCCGGAGTCCTCGCCCCGGGCCGACAGTATGTCGAGGGTGATGAAGCCGAAATCTTTGCCGAACGTCATGCGGGAAGCGTTTTCGATTAGGTTGCCGTTACAGAACCACTGGATCTTCAGGTCGGGATCGCCGATCGGCGTGCAGCGACATTCCATGTGGACGGGGGCGTTCTCGTTGACCTCTGAAGGTCCGGTCAGTAGCTGCGTGTAGACGGGCCGCTCGAACACCGCATCGGGAACTTCCCGGTACTGAACGACCTTGCCGCCCTCGAGACTGCGGATCGCCTCGAGACTTTGCGGCTGCTGCGACTGTAGTTGGAGTCGTTCCTTGGCCTGGACGCGGACGTTGCTCGACGTGACGGCCTGACCCTGCGAGGTCGTGGCTCGGCACGTGTACACGCCTTCGTCTTCGGCTCTCACGTAATCGATGGTCAGACGCATGCAGCCGAAATCCTTGACGGTGTGGATGCGTGAGCCCTCGCTCACGGGCTGATCGTTCAGGAGCCATTCGACCTTCATCGAAGGGTCCCCTACCGGAATCAGACGGGCCTGGAGACTGCACGCCTGTCCCTCGACGAGGCTGACGTTGGTCAGGGGTTGCGTGAACTCCGGTCGTTGGAATACCGGCGCGGCGATCTCGTGCTCGGTCTTGTAGGTTTTCCCTTCGATTTCTCGAATGCTCTGCATCGACTGAGGGTTCAAGCTCTCGAGCTGCACGGACGACTTGCCGCTGACCTGCACGTCGAGAGCTGTCTCGGCCGAACCCAATTTGTTCGTCGCGCGCACGGTGTATCGCCCGCTGTTTTCGGGATACACGTGAGCGATATCGAGCGCGACGTATCCGAAGTCGGTGGTCACCCGCGTTTTGTTCGCGGCCGGGATCGGTTTTCCGTTGAAGAGAATTTCGATCTTCAACGCCGAATCGTGAGCCGGTTCCACGCGGCATTCCATGTGGGCCGTCTGGCCCTCGACGAGTTGGGTGTGGCCGCGGAGTTCAGTGATGAAAACGGGTTTCGAAACGGGTTTCTCCTCGATTTCTGTCTTGCGGAATTTTTCGATCGACTCGAGCTCTTGGATTTTCTGCACACTTTCTGGATGTTGCGAGTCCAGGATGAGACCACGACGGTTCACTGCTTTCACGTTGCAGGTAGTCACGGCCTCTCCGAGCTGGTTGCTCGCCTTGCACATGTACGTCCCGGAGTCCTCACCGTAGCAATGCAGGATGTCAAGGGCTACGTATCCGAAATCGTTGGTCGTCCTGAATCGAGAGCCCTGCTTGATCTCGACCCCGTTGACGAACCACTCGACCTTGAGCCTCGGGTCGTTTGTCGGCTCGAGACGACACTCGAGATGAATAGGTTGACCGTCGACGAGGTTGTCGAGCGAGCTCAGCGGCTGGGTGAACACCGGTTTCGTTTGCTGGATGGGCTTCTCTTCCCGAGACTGGGCGATCGGCTGATCGAGTGTACGCAACCGTTGAAGACCGCCCTCGCTTATGTTCGAATCGGTGATGATGCTAGCGTGGCCGGATACCCGGACCGACGAGGACGTCACCGCTTCCCCGAGCTTGTTCGTGGCTCTACACATGTACACGCCGCTGTCGCGCGGCTGTACGCTGTTGATATCGAGGGCGACGTAGCCGAAATCGTTGACCAGTCGATGGCGGGATCCGACCGAGATCGGCATCCCGTTGTGGAACCACTCGACTTTCATGCTTGGGTCGCTTGTCGGGGTCAGGGTTGCCTCCATGTGCGCGCTCTGACCTTCGACGAGGTTCTCGAGGTTGTAGAGTCCGCGAACGAACTGCGGTCGCTCGTTCACCTGTTTCTCGATGAACTCCTGTCTCTGATACCCGACGCTGCCCTCAAGTCGGCGGATCGCATCGAGCGATTCCGGCTGTTGCGACTCGAGCACGAGGCTGCCGGTCGCGGCGACCTGCAGTTTCACCTGCGAGACCGCTTGTCCCAGTTTGTTCGACGCTCGTATCGAAATTTCGCCACTGTCGGCTGGTCGCGCCGACAGAATGTCCAGCGCGATGAAACCGAAGTCGGTGATCGTTCGGAATCGATGGCCCTGCTCGAGGGCTCTGCCGTTGTGCAGCCACTCGTACTTCATCGTCGGGTCGGGGAACGGCTCGAGACGACATTCGTAGTGAGCGGATTGACCTTCCGTGACCTGGCTCGGTCCGGTCAGCTGAGTTACGAATCGGGGAGCCGATTTGCAGGCAACGTCTTCCTGCTTGGCCACGCGCGGTCGTCCGAGCTCCAGCTGCTGGATCGCAGGAAGACTCCCCGGCTGCTGCGATTCGAGAATCAGAGAGCTCCCGCCCTCGACCACGAGCTGGGCCGAGCAGACAGCTTCTCCGATTTCATTTACGGCACGGCATGTGTAAGTGCCGGAATCCTCGACTTTTGTTCCCTTGACGTCTAGCGCCACGTAACCGAAGTCGCTGACGGTGCTTATGCGAGAGGACTGGTCGAGCGGCATGCCGTTCTTCAGCCACTCGATTTTCATTTTAGGATCGCCCAACGGGTTTAGACGACACTCGAAGTGAGCGTTCTCGCTTTCCTTCGTGTTCACGTTACGCATCGGATTGGAGAACACCGGCGCCTGCTGCTGGACCTCTTCATGGTAGGATTTCCTTTGGTGGCGCGAATGATCTTCCAACTGGCGGATCTGAGCGAGAGATTCGGGCTGTTGGGCGTCCAAGATCAGGCTCTGTTGCGCGGAACAACTCAGGGAGCACGAAACCACGGCCTCGCCCAGGGCGTTCGTGGCTTTGCACGTATAAACGCCGGAATCTTCTGCGTAGGTGGTCATTATGTCGAGCGCGACGAAGCCGAAGTTGAATAGCTCGACGAAACGACTGCCTTGTTTCACTGGCTGACCGTTGTGGAACCACTCTACTTTGAGTTTCGGATCGCCGACAGGGATCAATCGGCATTCGAAATGCGTTCGTTTGCCTTCCACGACCGTGGCGTTCTGCGGCGCCGAGGTGAATACCGGGGCGGTCGTGATCGCCTGGTCGGTGAATTCCTCGCGGACGAAGCGATGTCCTTCGAGCTGCGCGATCTTGGAGATGCTCTCCGGGTTCTCGCTGGTGGTGATGATCGTCGACCCATCGGTTGCGCTCAGTGTCGTGGTCACTTCAGCGCTTCCGAGACTATTTGTCGCCTGGCACGTGTAGCGACCGCTGTCCACCGAAGAGACCGAAAGTATGTTCAGAGCGACGTATCCGAAATCGTGGAACGGTCGGAAACGGTGGCCGATCGGAAGAGGTCGACCGTCCTTGAACCATTCGACTTTCAGATCCGGATCGTTCACGGGCTCGAGTCGACATTCGTAGTGAGCGGTCTGACCTTCGCTGAGGGACAAGGCTTTCGGCTCGGTGAGGAATTTCGGTTTCGTTTTGAGAAGATCCTCGTAGTAGGATTCACGGACACCTTTGCGTTCGAGGAACTCGATCTGGGTCATAGCTTCGGGATTCTGGCTGTCGACAATCAGCTCCTGAGTCGCGATAACTTTCACCGCACTCGATGTCGATGCCTCGCCCTGTCGGTTGATCGCACGACAAGTATAGACCCCGCTATCCTCCGCGTACGCCGAGAGAATATCGAGCGCGACGTAATCGAACTCATGAGCCGGTCTGAACCGATGACCGACGGTGATGGGGGCATTGTTCTTAAACCACTCGACTCGCAACGAAGGATCCTGAGCGGGTTCGAGTCGGCACTCAAGATGAACGTTTATCCCTTCGGCGGTCTCGATGTTGTGGAGGACTTTCTTGAACTCGGGACGGCCGAACGTTGGTGTGAAATCCTCCTCTTTTCGACGCTGTCTCTGTTCCAGTCTCTGGATCTTCTCCAGGCCCTCGGGATACTGGCTCTCGGAAACCACGCCGGATTTTCCGATGACTTTGATCGACGAGGACGTGATCGTCGTACCGAGATGGTTCGTCGCTCGGACCGTGTACTGACCGGAGTCCTGCTCTGTGAGTCCGGTGATCTGGAGGATTATGTGACCGAAATCGCTCTTTGTGACGATTCGTGAAGCACTCGGGAGAGGTCTCCCGTTGTGGAGCCATTCGATACGCAGTGTGGGATCGTTCGCTGGCTCGACTTTGCACTCGAGGAAAACGTTTTCTCCTTCATTCATTGGCTTGTGGATGTCTCGGAGAGGAACGGTGAAGTAGGGCTTCGAGCGCGACACGTCGTCGATCTCTTCGCGCTGCACAGTTCTCTGCGTTCGTTCGACCGACGAGATGTCAGTGATGGAGGTCGTATCGATCGAAGTCTGTTGCTCGACGTTGATGCTCTTCGTTAAGCGAGCTTCGCCCGATCTGTTCCTCGCGACCACCGTGAACGTTCCGCTGTCGTCCGGGTTCACGTGGAGGATGTCCAATGCCACGTATCTGGAACATGGAACGAGCCTAGTAGAATCAAAGACCTTCCTTGAAGTTTTCCAATACTCATGGAGAGCGAGAGACGCAATTTCTCAATCTTACCCGAAATCTGAATAGGTTTTGAAACGATGACCGGTAGTCAGGGGTTTACCGTTGTGGTACCATTCAACAACCATGGACGGGTCTCCCATGGGCTCCAATCTGCGGAATATCGTATCGGCGGTAATTAGTTGAGGGAAAAGCTGAGCGAACGTTTTTTTTCCGGAAACCGCCATTCGGAAATGAAATCATCCCCGTCTGTCGAGGCTCTTGATCACTCAGGGTGGTTTACCTCGTTTCGAAATGAGCACTCTGTCCCTCGATGAAAACCTCTCCTCCTCTGAGGTTGTCGAGGAACTGAGGTCGTTGAGTTATCGCGTAAATCTCCTCCTCGTTCTTTCGATCGTATCGTGTGTAATCTTCGAGATGTTGAATTCTCTCCAGGCCTCTTTCTTGCTGCTTTTGAATAGTGTCATATATCTCGGTCTGCAAATGACGAACCTCTCATAGTGTCCACCCGCGCCGGGAAATGACCGAATCGTATTCTATTCGTTAGGAACAGTTCAGCATTGACTTTAATTGAATTATGATACCTTGGTACTGAAGCAAGACAAGCTCGCTGTCGCGCTTGTCGAACCCAACTTATTCGTGGCTGTGACCACGTACACGCCGGAGTCTCTCTCTTCAACTTGCGAAATTCTAAGAGACACGTAACCGAAGCTGTACATTGTTTGGGTTCTCGAGCCTGGAAGGCAGCGATCTCATTAGAGGGTGAAATCATGGATTTCCGCTCGCGATTCGGATCGAGCGCCATAAGGCCAGTAGAAATCCACCACCAGGGCGACCCTTACTCGCTTCAAGGGCTCTTCCGTCCTTGAACCACTCGATCCGCATTGATGAGTCACCCGCGGGTTCGAGTCGCGCCTCAAAAAGTACAGTCTTGCCCTCCTGTACGTTTTGCTGATCTCGCGGTTGTGTGACGAAAACGGGTGGCTGCGATAGTTCTTCCGGTTCCTGCCACTAGAATAGGGCAAAGGGATCGTGATCGGAATCACGTATATGTACGTTTGGAGGGGAAAGACATCACGAAAGGTAAAACGGATGTGGAGCGAGCCTCACTTCTTGTTTCCTTTGCTGAGTCTCCCTGCGGCTCTCGAGAAATTGGGTTTCCTGGATGAATCTCTGCGATTCCTCCATGCCGCCGTATTGAGATGTCTGAGTTTCGACGATCACCTGGAAGAGGACACAGAGTTGCTTTGCTGTATCTGCGCATCGACTTTGCGTTCATCCAGGGAGCATATGTCGATATGTCTCTCTGGAAGGTCGTATTCTCGTCCCGCCTACCTTGAGGGTAGCAGTCGATAGGGCGTCTCCTTTGGCGTTGGTGGCCTTGATCATATACACTCCGGAATCCTCATAACGGAGAGACGATATGGTCAAGACGACATAGCTGTGGGTAGAAGTGAATTTAGAGTGGCAGAAGAGAACTATTGCACCGTACGTGAGCTCAAGTTTCCAGTCTCTCATGGAGAGCTTCTCGGAGAGGGGGGACGAGCCTCACCCAAAGGTAAATGTAGTATTGATCCTCGACGATGATGTCAGTGGTCTTCCGTTGAAAAACCATTCGACCCTCATGGTCGGATCGTTGACCGGCTGCAATTGAGCCTCGAATCTTGAAAAACCGCCCTCACGCTGCTCGATGTTCTCCAGCGGCTTGATGAAAGTCGGTTTCTGTTGTGGTCCAGATTCCTCGACCATTTGTTTATTGAATCTCTCATATTCTTCGAGTTGTTTGATGGCTAGCAGTGAATCTGTATTGATAGTAGTAGTTTCTAAGGCGGGACGGGCTGTGAAGAATGAGGATCCTCGGTGAGAGAGTGCAACCAATGTGCAATCAGCGTTTTTCCCTCTGTTGAATTCGAGGATGGGATACTCACGAAGAACTCTCAGGGACGCAGAAATCGTCGCTTCACCAGCCTGATTTCTCGCTTTGCAAAGATAAACGCCTCCGTCTTCGGCGTAGGCGTTCAGCATGGTCAAAGCTACGTAGCCGAAGCGGTTGACCGTCATTACTCGCGAGCCTGGAAGTTGAATGGGTGAAATCTCGATCGCAGGGAACAACTTCCGGTAAGGGAATAACTGGCAAGTTGCCGAGTCACAATCAGGGAGGTTTTCTGCTGCGAGGAACTCACTGGCTTCGATGGACCGTCCGTTGACGAACCACTCCACCGTTAGCGTCGGGTCTCCGATAGGAACGAGGCGGCTCTCAAAATGGGCCTTCTCGCCTTCCGTTATGACAATGTCCTGGATGTGAGACGTGAACGCTGGCTTCTGCGGGGCGGCCTCCTCCCGTATCGGAACGTCGGCAGATTTCGGCTTCTCCCAGTGCTTTAGAACGACAGTCTCGGATGGAAGAGGCTTCGCCGGCTCGATCACGGTCGTGGCAGGCGGCAGATTCAACGACCACGGCTCAGTGAGTTTGCGCGCGATCATCTCGACATGGAGTCTCGCCCGAGTTGCAGTGGAACCGGCCTGATTCGTGGCGGTACATTGATACCAGGCTCCGTCGCTCAGAGACGCGTTCTGAATATGCAGAGCGGACACCCCATCGCTAGACTCGATGATCACGTGAGGGGGCGTTGAATGAATCTGTTCCCCATCCTTCAGCCACAGCAGCTGAGGCATCGGTGTGCCGACTGCTCGACAGTACAAGCTGACAGGATCGCCTTCCTGGATGGTTGTGTGTTGGAAGCGCTCAACGAACTTCGGAGGTACAACCAGCTCTCGCTCTGTGAAGGAAGACATCGAGTTATGAGATAGTGTGTCAGTCTCAACCGGAGCCCGACCGTTCGGATCGGCCCGGGTATCGGAACCAACCCGACGGCTAGAAATTTAATTATCGCTTACCGAAAACTGTCAGAACGGCATCGGCTTTGCATTCACCGCTTTTGTTCCGAGCGACGCAAGTCCAAACCCCGGAGTCCGAAACCTTCGCATCATTGATTTGCAGTGCGTGCAATCCGCCCTCATTGACTAGAATCTTGTGAGCGTTATCGTCGCATATCTGTCTCCCATCACGGAACCAGAGAACCTCCGGAGCGGGTCGGCCTGTCACTCGGCAATCGAACCGTATCTGATGGCCTTCGGTGACGTCTTTGTTGCATGGCAGTTTTACAAATGTGGGTTTCAGAGCTTCGGAATCCTCGGTTCCTCCGTGGATCCACTGTTGATTCGTCGGTAAGCGATACTCCGCCGGTGTACTGGAATGGGTACACGTTCATTTATCATCAGCTGATCGCTTAAGGATCGCGACCTGATTTAGGTTTATATCCCGCGAGAGCTTTGGCGCTGCGCGGATGTTCGCTGCGCGTGACTAAGTGCGATTCGGATGCATCTACCAGGAGCTTACCTTCCTCCCCTTAGGCGGGGAGGAAGGATGTGTGTGAGTCTCTTGCGTCGTTGATGTTTCGTGGTTCATGCACTCCTACTCACTGCGCCTGGTATAGGTTTGCGTTGTCCTGGCTGAAGGTGGCCTGCACATGTGTCGTTGTTGTGTGTTGTGACCATTGTTGTTGTTGCTGCTGTTGTTGGTACCTCGTCAAGTCCTCGATGACCAGATGAACCGACGTCGCAACTCGACCCTTCGAGTTTTCCGCTAGCATCGTGTAGTAACCGGCGTCTTCCGACTGACAGTTACGAATCGTGAGGGTCGCTATACCGTCGACGTACGACATGATATGCCTGGTCGACGACATGATACGGCGGCCGTTCTTGAACCAGCTTATCCTTGGATCAGGGTTTCCCGGGACACGGACTTGGAAAGAGGCGTCGGAGCCGCAGATGAGCTTTGAGTTCCTCGGCCGACCCTGGATCTGGGGCGGTGCCAGAGGTCTCGACTTGTGAACAACCTGCGGGGGAGAGAACACTCATGAGCGCTCGCGCGGACCAAAGAAATCAGTATTCCAATCGGTGAGGAACTCACCTCGATGTATTCGGTAGTATCGGTGGAAGAGAACAAACTCTCCCGGAACTCATCTTCACGCAGGAGTCTGTATTCGAACGCGTCGACGTGGAACGCTTGCTCAGATCCATTGTGGTAGAACTGAGAATCACTGAATAAAGTCGATGAGGATCTGACTACTTGAGCTGGGACCTCTGATTGGACTTGTGTCGATTGCAGCGTGTTCATTTGGGACCGTTGCTGGATCATCTGTTGACCAGCTGTCGATGCAACGAAAGGCTCTGATTATTTTTGATTACGCTCTGAAGCTGCGCGCGCTCGATGGCCATCGTTCAATACGATCGATTCGAATAAAATCGAGGCTACGTATCCTAGCCCGTCGGCTCTCAGGGTTATCGAGGAACCCATGGAGTATCAGGGCCTTCAGGGAGAGCCCGATACACGATAGCCATCGAATACGCGACTGGTGGGGCTACGGGATTTTCACAGGTCCCGGAAACGTTCGATCACTCCTCTCATTTTGTATAAACTTCACTCACCGGTTATATCTCTCACGACCGCTACTACCAGGACGGCTTCTCCTGCAGCATTCACCGCCGTGCACGTGTACTCTCCATCATCATCGGAAGTTATGGCACGGATGAGCAAATATGTCTCTCCAGTAATGGAATTATAACCGGTTTCGCGCCTAGAACGGAAACAATGATTGTTGCCGTTGTGCCCATGGCCGAAATGGAAGACTAAAGCCGGGTCGATAATTTCCGGAGACGATTCGGTAAACTCACTTGTGGTCGTTTCTTATAGGCAGCCCTCTCCTCGACCAGACAAGCTGGGGCATGGGCTCACCGCGGACGACGGCGTCGAATCTTGCATCTTTTCCTTCGATGAATCGACCACCCGTAGGTTGACGAGTGAACACAGGAGGACTCATCATGTAGCTCGGAGGGTTCCGCCTTCCCGCACTGGAGTCATGATCGAGGATTAGACTCGAATTTAGACTTCTTCCTCGTGTTCGCGCGCGATCTGAGCTATCCCAGAGCTCTCGTGGGGGACCCCCTATTTCGTGTGGCGCTCCCTTATAGACTCCCGGATAGAATCTCCGGATACGCTTCTATAGAGCTCTGCAGAGTCTCGAAGCGGATAGAATTCTCCTGGCGGTCGCCCTTTGAAGAAACTCGGTTTCCGCCTAGGAGTTGTTCTCGAACTATTGTAAACATAGAGAGACCCCTCGTGAGTCAGCGAGTTGAAGCGCCCTGCAGGGAAGAGCTCCGACCACTGGCTGCCGCTGCCAACACGTTGACCATTATACTATTTGTTACCGGTACATCCTCACTGGCCCTTCTCGGTGCAGGATAGAATTCAGACAAGGGAACGAAACGGGGAAAGAATGTTTCTTTGTAGCTCTAAGAGATCCCAGGCTCTACGTTGATTAATGATTGTATTGCAAACGTCGACGATTGCCCTCTCAGAAGGCCAAAATTATTTTACAGCGCGTCATAGAATTCATGACAATTCTCCACATCGATGTCTGTCCGTGGAGAGGAGGAACGCTGGACCAGTCCAATCGAACCAGAGAACCCTGTCTGCTCACCGAGACGCTGAGAGCTGCTTCTCCCCTTAGAGAGAAGTGTTGGTCCCGGTGAAGGGGAACACATCGCCTTATAGGCGAAGCTCTCAGAATAAGGCACGGGTCTACAAGGATCGTTCCATTATAGTTCCGCTATGTTTTTGCTTCATTTTCCCTAGGGCGAAGAGGCCGACATCGAATTCAATTATAAGCATTCGATTGCCGAATCTTTTCGATTGTCCGCCTGTGAGACATCCGAGGCGGTTCCGGACCCGAAAATCATCTGTTCCGGAGTTTCCCGGTTTTCGTAGGAGACGGACCGAAATTGAGGCTTCATGAATCTGAAGTGAAGAACTAGCTTACCTGACGGGAGGTGAAAGGACCATCCCGGAATCTGCAATCGGAATATATGGGTGAATCTTTAGCTTCTTCCACAACGGGACATTATCCAGAACGAAACACTTGAGCGGGCACGTCACAGTCGCGATCCCAGGGCGCTGACCACAAGAACCGTATCACTGCTCACAATAGAGTTGTCCAATATCCCAAAATACGTTTTTTCCCGATCCCAGTCGAGAGAACGATGATCGAAAGAATTCCGGTATTTCCAGTGCGGTTACTGAATATCAACAAGCTGCCACTGATGAAGGAGGACAGCCGTGAGATTGTTTGGCTGCTCAATCGCTCGAAGACAAATTATGCCGAAGAATATCGGCAGGCGATATTTTGATGAAACGGCTAAGCGCTCAAATTAGAGAAGTTCGAACATCGTTCCCCGACCGGAGGGAAAGCCATAGATGAATAGATACGATTTCGGGCTGCGAAAGAAAGAGAACACACAGACACACACCAGCCTTAGACCTGGAGACTCGTTTCTAGCATGGCGGGGCTCGGGCCCAACCTTAAGTAGCTCCGAATTCTCTTCTCCCTTTCCTCGTCCTCCCACTAGAAGAGAGTATTTCGGGTTGCTGCTTGCAGCAGGCACGAGAGAAAATCGGGCACTGGTGAAAGCAAAGGGTCCGCCACCCAGTGTGAGCCGGAGATTATGTCACCGGCGGGAGAAGAAGCAACACAATCCGGATTTAATTGACCAACGGATCCGAACCGGGCGGGCAGGAATCATCGATGGTACAGATACTCTCATTTCGATCTTTAAACCCAGAGCATTCGAACCTTGAGGTGAACGGGCCGGTCCTTATCGGGTTCTCTATGTCGTGGGATCGGGAGAATCTCCCACAGCTTTTCCCTGCTGACCCCAAGAGAGAAGCTGACGCTTCATTCATGAAGCCGCGTGTGTGATGCACGTGGCGCCGAAGAAGCCGCTGATTCTCCTGGGGTAAAGATCTGGCAAATAGACCTGGGTTAGGCCTAACTCCGGCCCTCGTACTCCGAAAAAGATCGCGGACGGTTTGTCTTGACAATTAGAGTCGCCATAGAGCTCGACGAATTCTTCCAGATCGGATTCATGGGTGGGAAATGATTTTTTAATCCGCCCTCCAGAAATGATTCTAAGGGTATATAATGATGGGGGATAAAAAGACCAATTCGAGAACACCGATGGTAAGTTGGAGATGAGGGAGATGTGGGAAGACTCTTCACGATTCTTCGCCGGGGCAATCAGAAGAAATGGTCAGGCTCATAATTATCAGCGAAGAATGCACAATTACTAGAAGATGCACCCCGAGCATCTTCTCATCATAAAATTGAGCCGGCCCGACTCTTCAACGGGAGCGACCTTGCTTCACGGGTCTCCGCCTTAGGCCTACTTTTGCTGTGCAAGACTTGCTCGTCTCCACTCCGGGGGACTCAATTAGCGACTCGTACGCAATCCCTTTCCGGATACAACAACTCGTCAATGTCAGCTCTAAAGGCTCCACGAAGAGCCTGAATTCAGAAAAAGTGAAACCCTCTCGCCTGAACAGTCCCAATCCTTGCATCTGACGCCTCGATAAACATCCTATTTGAATTTGTTTCGCTACATTCCGCGGATCGAGTCCTCAATCACGTCATGATCCGTGATTTTCGCTGAAAGTTGCCCAAATACCCGCGACTATCCACGTAGCCTAACTCGAAGATAGATACTGAGTCTGCGTCAGAAAACAGAAGGGCCTCGACGTGGTTCCCGATCGCAGTGACTCACCCAATGAGAGTCAAACGGGCAGGGTGGGTACAGGGAGCGTTCATCAGATGGAATCGTAAAATCGACATTAGGAACCGGAGACTGAGACCAGAAGGATCCCGACTCTCGTTGACTTTTAATATCACAACTCTGCTTTGACAGTGTTCATGTCAGCCTCGGCTCTCTATCCCGGCAGGATTTGAGGTCTGAGGCTATCTCGGTGCTATCAAGTTCTGATCCGCATCCCTGATCCGTATAGTGTTCGTTGCTTCATCGAGTACGAAATGACTTGAGAAAGCATCCGGTCCAGGTGGAGAGCCAGCGTCCCGAAAGAGATAGATTCTCGCACGTTTACTTCGCGGTGACTAACACTCTGCGAATTTCGCTAAGCCTCGTCACGGAATCCCTCAATTTTTGAAGAGGCAGAGAACGATCGAATGTGCGATTATATCCCCTTCTTTCGCACTTGCAGTTCCCTTTGAGAGTTATAGGAGTCTTCGCTCGCCGTCTCTCGCCGAAAGTAATCTGGATAGGATTTTCGGAAGGCAGTTGAAGCCCTCCACTCGAACGGGCGATCATCATCATTCTGGCATCGAAAACCATGACAGTCGCCACGGCGTGTTTCGTGGGTGAATGGGCTCTGCCACCTCGACACGCTCTTTCATAGATTGGGGCTGAGAGTAGGAAAACGGTGAGGGGACTTTCTGGCGACACTTTCAACCCGGCAACACGCCCGCAATCCAGCTGCAACTTGCGGAATTCTCCCAGCGTGCCACTGATCGCCCACGATCCTGACCACAATCAAGAATCTTCGGATGCGCCGCACTCCTAAGCCTAGCTGTCAATATTTAGGCCTAGCCCAATGACGCGAGGTGGGTATCCGTGGCGCTCGGTGAGTAAGCCAACACTCAGCTATTCGGTAGGCAGACTGACCGGCCGGCCGGTCGGTCAGTCAGTCAGGAAGCAGGCAGAGCCGACCGACCCTCTCGCACCAGGGCCCTTGACTGACTGGCTGTTCTTGCGGCTCGGTCGCTGCCCGAGTTGTCGGCCGCGGCGGCGGACCACGCTCTGGGTCCTATTCTCGGCACGAACTCCGAGGCATTCACACAGTCGCCAACGTAAAGAATTGGGAGAAGAAAACATGCTCGGCATGTCAACACTACCGTTATTCGGCCTCCGAGACTCAAATGGATAGAGTACATTTGCTATGTAAGAATCGTGAGCGGGAGCCCTCGGGAGCGATCTGTCCCCGCGCTGGGCGAGTTTTCCCTTTACATGTGAGACTTTGTTGACCGTGACCGCGAAAAAAAATCCCTGTGGAGCTGTTTAGACTCTGCGGAGCGGGGGCACGGAAGTAGTGAAGTCCCTCCCATTTGGAGAAAAGTCCGAGGAGCCACGGTGAGAGAATCAGGAACTCGCGCGAAATCAAGTCTAAGGAATGAGCTATCAGGCAACTGGTGGTTAGAGGCTCCCTTTTTTTGAGACGAGCGAATATGTCAGATTACGTCCCTGAGGACTTTGACGACGACAAGCTCTGGAGGGAACCATGAGCACAGGCCTCTTTGCGAACTGGGGACACTTGTATCTTGTATCGGTTAGAAAGGTATGCCGTTTCCCAGGAAGCATGATCATTGCCCGAGATATTGCGTCATGCAAGTGAATCACAGCACAGGAGAATGAGAGTCTTCCTCCGCGAGCGTCAGAATGTCGAAGTAATGAGTGTGTGTTTTCGCAAATATGTTTAGACTCAAGTTCGCGGCGCATTTTGTCGCCCCTCTCAGAGTGGGGCTCAATGGGGGCCACAGCTCCACGAACCCCGGATTATTCGACGGGGAACCTGGGAGCGATCTTTATATTTCTGTCCAAAAGACCTGTCGACCAACCTGGTGCCGGGGGTCGTCTTTCCATGCGTTGGATGAAACGCGGCCTCGAATCCGTCTGAAAATTCATGGAACGTTCGCCAGTTAGATGTTTGAGCCCTTCAAGCTCAACTTTGTCCTGGAAGGCTCGTGAGAGCCATTCAGACGGATCGGAATTCCGTTCCTGACGAGCGTGAGGAACGAATACAGTAGTAGGCACGGAACCCGAAGAAACTAGATGCCCTACTCTCTAGTCCGCTAGCCGGGCTTTCTCCGAGAAAGAACGGATCCTTCGATGGCGAATCATCAGCGGTCACAGTCAATATGAGATCTCTCGGGAATGGCAAAAAAATCAATTCATGTTCGAGTTTGTCGAACACGAAGCTTTCACAATAGAATCCTATGGGAGCGAGGAATCCCCTGAGAAATTTGAAGGCCACTCTCATACGCGAATCTCTATAAGCGGCTCCGACTCTACACTGAATTTGATTCCGAATCAGCGTCAAGGAGCGATCTTTCGGGACGAAATTTTGGGAAGAGGATCCCTTACCTAGTTTAACGAAAAGTGATTTCACTCGTGGTGATCTCACCCACGACTGCACAAAGCGCTTCCTTGTACTGATTTTCCAGAAATTTTCCGAGGTGTACATTCGGCTCGTCACCCCTCTACAGGAGAATGGAGACAGCTCGACCAACCTCTTCGGGCGGGATACAGCGCTGAACCAATCATGCCATGCTTTCTCCGAATACTGCTCAACGCCGCGGCGTTTCGATGGCGGAGATTATTGACACGGATTAACCCGGCGAAAATCAGGCTCGACCCAATAACATGCTCTCACAGGGTACCTATCCACATATCGGCAAAATTGAAGACCACTCCGAGAAGACAAATTTTATCACAAGACACATGCAATGCCGCTTTTATTGAACATTTCCCGAAGTATTCCTCATCACAAAGGATGTCTGTCACCAGGATAGCAACAAGGTTCTCGATGATCTCTCTGCCTAGTGCAAGATTCGTCTCGCCCAATTCTAGGAGAGCGCAGAGACCGAGGTGGTGTGATAATTCAAGGAATCTTCAGTTCCCAACATGCCTTGTTAGTCGCGGGAATGGACCGGACTTTCGCAACACCCGCAGAGGATCAATCCGCACTCAAAGTCTCATAATCCGTAGAGGGCCATTACCATTGCTTTTTCAACGTCCACCGATCTGTAGGAACGCTGCTCGATGTAAGAGTTTCTCTCGCCCCACTTCTTCGAGAAATCCGAGTTCCGCTCGTTGAGCTAGAGGAAAGCGAATTCGAATGAGGGAATTTCGAGAATTCCCGACATCAAAGTCAATGCATCTGGAGAAATTGAAGTTTCCTCGCAAAACACAAACCTGACGCATTGAGAGGTAATCGACAGCTGGTACTGCTGGCTTTGGCGCAAAACTCTTCGCCGGAAGAGTTCGGTAGAGGGGCTCCTGAGGATAAACGTGGCGCACATCAAGTCGTCTTGAGGTAGTCGCTGGAGCTGGTATAGCTGTCGCGTTGATCCTGACGAGTGATGGATCTCTTGAAACCTGCGAATCGATGCCACTCCAATGAAGGTCTTATTTGGAGTTTCGAACTAACATGCATCATTCGGAGGAAACGATCGTGACCTTGCTTTCGGTGAAGCCACGAAAGGAACACTGCCCCTCATCTGAGAGGGGTACGACTGACTGAAAAGCGGGAGACACGTTGGAAACGTCCACGGAAACCGTCGAAATTTTGTCGGAGCGGTGCACTATGGGCAATGAAGGCAGAGCCTGGAACAATTCGGAATGAGCCCATGGTACGCTCCGACAGCGCCATTGTGTTATTGGTCACGGATCGCACGCCGACCAACCTGAGCTGGAAGCGTCGGAGGTGCGGATATGATTTTTGTGTGCTGATCGATGTACACAGTTGCCGACGGTGGTGGGGGCTCCCTCGGAACCGAGCGACGCTCGTGGATCCACGATTTATCCACCTTCAGCGTAGGACAAAGTCAATGAATCGCTGCTCCAGACCGCAAAATATTCATTGCTTTGAACCAAACGCGAGCCGACCCCCGGTGATGCCGAGGGCGGAATCTTCGAGAAGGTAACATTGATGCCCCTCTCGGTCCCGTCTCCTATGCCATCGAGAGCTTTCGACTTGGATCCCCCGCGTCAAGGACTCAAGAGCATTCATCGGAGGAGAATGGAAATCTTTTCGACTTCCATCATGATTCCTTTCCTATACCACCAGACTTGAAATTACTGCAGATGCGGACATCCCCTCGCCCTGTTTACTTATAAGCCTGGATGCTCTGATTCCCAGAGATTTCAAATTCAAGATTTCAATTCCAAGTTCTCTGATGCAGCTCCATAGTCTATTGGAAAACGAACCATTTCTACTGCTTCGTTCCTCTGACGCATTGTCTCTGTCAAAAGCACATTCCTGTCTACGCTTCGGCATCTCCGAGACAAGTCCACCTGCAGAGGGGACGAGCTCAATCAATCAGGGCTGGATGAGGGCGACATAAATTATGGAGGTGATGACAGCATCATCCACTCTTACTGGCTGTGCGTAAGTCGAGGATGAAACTGTCGACGAAACGAGCGAATTCTGAAGTTTCTGCGGAATTACGACAGAGGGCGAAGTGTCTTCTAGTATGCGGACATTGTTCGACTTGGACGGAGCACGAGTGACTCGCTGCGACTCGTCGATACGGATGGCCTTGTCGACGGCTGAGTATTTGCCACCCCATTCCTCGACATGGAGTTCTCTTGGTGGTTTCCTGCGAAGTTCATTCCTTTGAGAGGGCGCCGATCGGATATCAACAGAAACGAGGAGTAAATTATTTATCAGGAGCCTGTCGAGGATAATGATGATGACGATGCTTGACGACTCACTCTCTTTCGGTCATCTCCACGAGCACTGTGGTATCGACCCTCTTGACGCCAGTCACCCTGTGATCGATTTCCTGGACTTGGCACAAGGGTGTCGTCGATGGCGGAGGTACGCTTCTCGTCTCGCGCAAGTCAATCATTTGCACCTGGAATGCGGTTCGATTAGGAGTCTAGGAAGGCAGAGGCTGGGTAATGATCTCGGCAGGCCCCATGGGGCGACGACCCTCGGATCTCAATGATGATTACCGGCTCAGGCGTATAGGTTTTCCTCGTTATGGTAGATGTGTAGTTCAGGATATCGACCGGATCTTTCGTCGGCGAAGGATCTCGCCTGAGCAGATCGATCTCCTGAACCGCACAGACCGGAGTCGGCGACGGCGCATTCGGCTTCTAAGAGAAATAATTCACTCTGATTATTATTGAAATTCGACGACTTCGATTCGGCGGCTTGGATCCCCTCTCTGATGAGAATCTCACTCTCTCGAACAGAACCCCATTCGTACCGTCTTTATGGTCTCTTGTAGGAAGACCGGAGAAGTTGATCGAAGGTCTCGTTTTTCTTGAAGGAGATGGGTGTCCCTTCTCTCAATGTGGCAAATTGGATCCGGCGATCTTCGCGGCGGTGCTCGACGGGAAACATCCAGCTGCTGGAGCGAAACCGTTGGAATCTTCTGAGGCGGTAGAGACTGGGTGCGATCATCCCGAACGACTGTCCGGACGCGTCTGTAGCTCTCGTCGTAAACACTGTAGAACTCGCTCAGAGCCTCCTCGAAATCCCGGGGCTTCGGAGTTTCTACAATTTTTGTGACCATTTTGCATTCGATCGGTTTCTGTTGAATCTTCGGGGGTTCGATGGGAACGGGCGCTTTCCCGAAGGACACCGTTTCGATTCGGGTCATGTTGTCTTGTCTCTGCGTCTGCCTCTCCCTTTGCTCGATGAGAGTGATTTTCCTACAATGCTGCTGGATTCGCTCCTCTTCCTGGCGTCTTATCTCTCTGAAACTCAGCATTTCATCCCGGAACTGTGGGGGAGCGGAGCTCTTCGGAGTGGAGGAGGCGGCGGTGGAGGAGCCGCAATCGGCTTCGGGGGCGGAGGAGCCGCAATCGGCTTCGGGCGCGGAGGAGCCGCAATCGGCTTCGGGGCGGGGGAATGGGCGTCGGTGAGCGGATGGAGCCGATTTGTCTTTCTGGAGGTGGCTTCACTTTCGGTTCCGCTGGAGGCAAGGCAGCAGGCGCTTCGACCTGAGGCTGTATCTTCGGCTCCACTGGAGCTCCTTCCGGTAATTGTTCCGGTGCTCTATAAGGAAGCGCCGGAGTTGGAGGTGTCAACTTGACCATTTGTGTCCTCTCCTCCGTCTTCCGTTCTGTCATGATCTGGAATGTAGCGAGAACGTTTTCGGTGAAGACCTCAATGACCCGTCGCGGGGCGCACCCACGTGATGTATTAAAATCCTGTAAATCTTAATTTGAAAAACTCTCGACTCGAATGTCTTGCCCGACGGGTTATTGCACGGTCTTCACCTTGCTCTTGACTGACGGCATCTCAATGGCGAATGGCGGTGGAGAAGAGGTTCTGATTGGACGCGGCACTTCTTGGAAGTTCGACTCGATCTTCCGCATTTCCACTTGCTGCTTCTGCTGATGGCTGACCACCGTCTTGATCTCCTGTCTCCTGGTGATCTGGGTTTGCTGCTGAACACTCTGTATTGCTCGATGCTGGACGATTTGTTCCATCTCTGGTACCTCTGGACGCACCGCCGGTAAGTTCCCCGCAGGTTCCGGCACTTTAGGTTCAGAAACCCTCTCCGATGGTTTCTGCGGAGATTTCTTCCTTGGGGGCGTTGGGGGCCGCGGTGGGGGTGATGGAGTTCGGAGCCGAGGCGCAGGCGGTGTCGCTCTTGGCGGTGGCGGCCGCGGTGGGGCTTGCTCTGCGGGTGGAATTGGCGAGGGAGATGGCGTCACGGGAAGCTCGACGCGTGGCTTCGGTGAATCAGGAGGCGGTGTCGGTGTGAAACGAATCGATTCGGTCACGTTCTGCTGGATGAACTGCTGCTGTCGGGCGAGAATCTTCTGCGATTTGTGAACCTGCTTCTCGATGCGCTCGTCAATCGAAGTCTCTGACCGGGAAGGGACTTCTGCCGGCAGCGGCGAGGGCGTAAGCTCGATCGCTTGCGGTGTCGATGATGGCGCCGGCAGAGCAGGGACCTGCAGGAGGGAGATTAGCTGAGTCCGTGTCGAAACATCGTACCCCATCCCTTTGACTACCGGCAGGTTTAAAAACAACTCACTTTCGGCGTTACGTTCCTCTCGATGAGCAGGGTGTTCTCTCGGTGCAGATGCTCGGCTTGCACAACGGTCACCTGGTAGGATTGCAACGAACGTTTCTCAATGGCCTCTTCGAGTTACTTCTCTTATAGACTGGAGAGCGGTCCGCGAACAAGTCGATCGATCGAACTCGCGAAAGCTAATCGAATGGAGAAAACGTACCCACAGACTATAGAATATAGACCACCAAGAACTCGACTGATCCAGACCGGAACCCTCATACACAAAATTAAGGTATCTCACTCGATTGGATTTCAAAGTCGAAGGTTGTCTCATTTAAACAAACCTTTGATTCCTCGATGTCATTCGCATACCACTTTCGATTATCTGTTTCACTACGTGTGTTAATCTTTGACACCGGTTTCGCGGTCTGAATTTCAGTGTGATTTGGCTGAGATCGAATTTTCGCATATACAGGCTCTTCCGAGTGTTCTGTCGCTGGTGCTGACGGTTTTTCCTTCTCTACTTCGGGCACTTTAACTATAATTGGTCTACTTGGTTTCGCTCTCGTCTTACTCGCCACGGGCGGTAGAGGGGGAGTTGGTGTCCAAGACGTGTGACCGACTGTCTCTTTAACGAGTGTATCGACAGCTGCAGAAGTGGCGCTCCGTTCTGTACTCGTCACTTTCTCCTCCAGGATCTTCGATTCCGAAGAAATGGTCGTACTCGTCTTTCGGGTCAAATCTTCGACCTTCCCAGGAGGAATGATCGTACCAGCTGCCGGCACTTGATTCTTCTGAGACTCCGGCCAAAAATTCGAACATTTCCCTGATCTGTGAATTTCTAAGTTTTCGTCGGTGAATGTCTGCGTTTTCTGATCGCGAGGGTCGTTGGTGCGCTTCAATATCAAACTCTGATCGTGTACCGTCGTCCTCGAGGTTTCTTCTGAGGTAGTCGAACGCTTGGTGCATTCGCTAGAGCAACGACAGGGAGAAAGCTTGATACGGATCACCGTATCGGGCCTCGCGGCGGAACCGGGTTTCGAAAGAACGCGTTTTTCAGTACTGGTCTTGACGGTCTCTCTAGTTTCAGTGTGGATGTGCTCCTCGATCGGCGCGCTCGCCTTCGCACCTTTGACTTCGATTTCGATCTCTTCGACGTGTTTCTTCGATTCGTCGCAATCACACCGGAAATCGGATGATTTCTTAGAGCACGTGATACATGTCTCACCCGATGACTCTGTCTGTTGCTCTTGGATCGAATGCCGTGAGTCTGACACGTTGCTGTGGTTTTCGATTCGCGTGGCTCGGGGAGAGACTGTGTACTTCGTTTCCCGGAGTTCCGAAGATGAGCTTAGCGTGTCAGCGGGCCTCAGAATATCGACCTTTGCGTCAGAGTGGGACCTGATAGTGTTCGACAGACCCGGGATTGTGTAACACGAAACCGATGTCACTGAGGTCTCTGTGGTGTTATTGGGTGTTGTGAACGCGATGGGCATGCTTGTTGACGTCGACGAGGGCGGATCTGGACTGGTTAGTTGACAAGTTTCCATCGTTGACTCGTAGGATTTGCTGAGTAATGCACTGAACAACGTACGCTGAAACATGCCAAGATTCACGACATACAGACAACTACGTCAAGATATCCATCCTAATTCTACGACACTCTTTGCGATTCAAAATACTCCTGGACAAGGATGCAGCTAGAATACATTCTCGACGATCTCCAGAACAGGATAAGGGTTATCTGCTGAGTGACAGAGGAAATTCCCTTCCGGGAGATTTTCGAAACTAGGTCTGACGCTCCCCACGGAAACACTTACTTCCATCTTCTTCTCATCCTCGATATGATAATCTCGAATGGACACCTGCGGACGAGAAGCATTCGCACCGTTTGCGCTGGCGTCATCAATGGCGGGTCGAGCAAAGCGAGTAGGGATTAGAGGACTCACCTCGCGTTCTTCATCGGACGGGACATCATCTTCGACGAAGATGTCTGCGATCGACTGCGCCTCACCTGCCACGTTCGTGGCCAGAACGGTGATCCTCCCAGAGTCGAGTGCAGTCGCATTCTGAGGGGAAATTTCAACATTTGATTGGATGTCGCAACGGACTCCTGTCGGGAAAGACATCGATCAGGGGTACGCCAGAGCTAGACCGAAGACTTACGCGCATGCTGAGTGTGTGCTTGCTGCCAGAGCTGAGGATTTTATAACGGCTGGTTGTTTTTAAATCCTTCTCGTCTCGGAGCCATCTGACGTCTGGTTGAGGCAGCCCGCTCACTTCGACTTCGAGCGTTATATCCGCTCCAGTCTTGTAGACCTTGGCTTCCAAGCGTTTCGTGAACTGAGGAGCTTCGCGCTTAGCTGCAGGCGGAGGATATTCCAATGTCAGAGCTGGTTCTGTGAAATTGTCTCTCCATTCCGCCATCGACTCCCCCACGACACAATCTTCTACTCACTTTGGACCACGACATCGGCTGCGCTCGATGAGCTGCCCACATCGTTCGAGATAACGCACGTATATCTCGCGTAGTCTTTCAGCATGGCTCTCGGAATAGTCAAGCTGGTGTAGCCTTCCTTCACCGAGATCTGGAGCTCAGCTTTATTCGACAGGGTTGTGCTTCCTCGAGACCATTTAACAATCGGCTCGGGGTGGCCTGCGGCGACGATAACTCTGAGAATGATAGGGCCACACATGCGGTCGATGCTCACTGGCTCAGATGGAGATAATGAAAATAATTTACCGGTGAAAAATCCTTCCAACTTCAGCGGCTCTCCTTCGAAGACTGCAACACTTGCGACTGGCTTTGTGAACTTCGGCGCGATATGGGCTGAGCCAGATCTTTGGAGGACAGACACCTGCCGAAGGAAAACACGAAGATTTGCGGAATTTCCACTCTGAGATGTGGTTGTCCGCAATGAAAACTAGCGGTGATCGTGTTTACCTGACGCGGCTCGGAAACCCTTGTGGTCACATTTACAGCCTGGGCAGCCAATTCCGTAACCGGGAGAACAGACGCTTGTGAGCCTTCCGCAGCCTCGCCTTCGATCTGAGGGAAGTAAGAGTCCGTCTTGGTCATCCGCGAATGTTCGTCATGAGTCTGTGAGTTCTCGAGTGGTTCCTACCCGCCTCTATTGAGCGGGAGGAATGATTCTACCAGCTGCGTAGGAAATCTATTCTGTGTCATTCCGAAGCATATTACTCTCATAACTCGTCTCTCTGACTCATTCGCCTCCCCCACACTTTCTCTGCAGGAGGAAAAAAAGAATGGGATCTCCGGTGAAAGCGGAGAGAAAATTCCATCCGTTTCAGATTTTTGGTATGGCCCGCTCCTCTCGATCTGTCCTGAGAGAGTGTTCGGAGTCGATTAACTCACAGCCAATTGGGTCTGCGTCCCTTCGATTCTGTTGTCCCGAACTTCCTTCGTGTGGAAATGCTGAGGCGGATTCGAGCCCAATCGATCGAAACCGAATGTTTCCTTCGAGTGATACTCTTGGGGAGCGCTCCCTCCGATCTGGAATAGATTCGTCCTCAACAACTTGACGACTGTCAGCTGGAAGTTTTGCCGAGAACAGCCCTCCCCTGCATCTGGTCATGAGCTGGGGAATTGGTCGCCGTAGTCTCGAAAGAAAGACCCCCCGGTGGCAGCCTTCCAAGAGACGAAACGGTAAATTACCTTCTCATATCCGTGTTTCTCAGTGGTCGCAGCTTGGTGTTCTTCGGATTGCACCGTTCGACCCTCTGACGTTACCTCCGTTTTCGAGCCGGAGACTTTCTGCATAAGCATAGTCTTCTTCGAGCTAACGAATGATTTCGTGACTTGGCTGCAAAGAGATTCATTTTACTCAAGCGTTGGGAGTCTGGAGGAAGTCGAGTCAGTGTCGCAGCGGAAGAAGGCCGTGCTATCTCTAAGCTGGAAGGGCTCAGATGCATCGGAGTGCTTCTCAAAAGGGCCGGAGGGTTTTTCACTCGAATAGATCACTAATGAAGATTCTCTGTTGAGCATCCACTCCGATTGGCCCCCCTCGATGCCAGGATCGCAGAGAAACGAACTTCAGTTGGAAGGGGGGAGAAAAATGATCAGCGTGGCCGGATCGGTTCGCCGTTTTCGAAGTTCCCCGACCCGGGCATCAAATAGGGTTGGCAGGCCCAGTGACTGGGAAAGGTATCAGTGACTCCAGAAAATTCAGAGGAAGGATTGCAGACGGATTTCCCGCGAAGCACTCACGTCGAGACAACGTCGCTAGCTCCGCCAGCGGCTCTAATCAGAGCGAGCGAGTCCTCTGGAGGCGGGTCCACGGTGACTCGACACGACGAATGACGACTGCCAGTCGGATCGCGCACTTCGACACTGGAAAAATTGGTGTTTGATCGTGGCAATAACTTCTGAATTGAAGCCTGCCGCTGCACCCGAGCAAGGATCCGACGAGATGATGCTGTTAATCGACGAATGCCTCAACTGACCTGTATGTCCCAGCGTGATCCAGAGTGCACCTCGGAATCCCGAGGATGTAGGATTTACCAATCTGATCGAAGACGAAGTCTGTGTCTAGTAATATCGGACGCCCCTAAAATGTCGACAAAGGGACTGAGAGTTGGTCACCTCCGATAGCGATTTGACTTAGTGACAATGACCGAGGCTGATGATTGACAGTGATCGTCCCGCGAATTCCCCGTGATATTCTTCGGTGCAATAGGAAGGAGGAATTCCGCGAATTTTGCGATGCATCGCCACAGACCACTCAGAGCTCGATGTATCGTCAATGAAGTAAGCGTACGCACCTGGAAACTCCATATAACCTCGGGTTGTTCCGAGCTCTCTACTTCGATTATGAGTTTGAAATGGTCCCCGTGTCTTGCGTGAAGATCGCTCAACATACGGCTGATTCTCAGCGATCGACTTTGGCCTGCAGTCGCGACTTCCATCGTGGGGGTCGAGCCTAGAAGCGTCAGATTACAGAGGGATTCTTTCGGAGGACTCAAGAGCCGATCGTTCGATGCGGGGTGATATAGTTAGCTTCGACTTGCCTGTGACTTTGACTTTACAGTTCGATGAAGCTTCTCCTGCTGGATTGAGGGCTTTGCAGCGATAGTTACCCTGATGCTTTTCCGAAACGCAGGGAATGACGAGTGAGCAACGGTCTCCCTCGAATAAAAATTTGAAGTCCCTCGATTCTTTGATCGGCTTGCTGTTATGATACCTGGGAAGGCGGAACGCGGAACGTTCGGGAATCGGAGACTTGAAGTGACGATTGAAATTGCAGCTCAAAGATACGCGAGTTCTGCTCACCAAATGACCTCGGGCTCAGGTACTCCAATTATCGTACACTGGAGACAAGCCTTGGTTCCCGCTGCGACGTTCTGGTCCCTCAACGCTTGGCGAACGACAGGTTTTGATAGCTCGATATCCGAAGTGAGTTCTGAATCACTGGAATAAATCCGGGTGTTCACGACGGGTATTTTCATCGGAGTCTCGAGCTCGAATCTGCTCAATGGGCGAGTACGATCTATTCTATAATATATCGATCCGAATCCTTCGGCCGGATGTCATGAGAGCTCTGCCCAGTTTTTGATGCGAGCATTGTCCTAGACAATATTCCCTCGGGGAACAAATCCGCTCATTGCAAACCTCGTCTCTGGTGGAGGTCTACTGGCTAGGGTGACGTTGCAAGATGTGTAGGTTTCGCCGGCCGCGTTCCGAGCTAGGAGAGTGTATATCCCTGCATGTCGTGGAAATACTTCTCTAATCTCGATGGAACACAACCCAGTTGCTCCGGAAAAATTGATCTGGAACGATTGAAACTCAGCGGAGAATCTTTTACATTGTGCAGAGATGGTAATTGCCGGAGTATCTAATTAGCAAATTCTCCTCACATGGACATCTCTCGCATCAGCAAGATTTCTCGAATTATGGAGCCAGACGAGCGTCGGTCGAGCTCCTGCCACTTGACATTGCAGTTTCAGGTGTTCTCCGGCACGTATACAAACGTTCGGGAGCGGATTCTCGATTCGAGGTGGTTCCATAGCCTGTGAAAGTTTTTCTCGTATCTAATACAGAGTGACGGCGGAGAAATGTCCCGGAGGGACTCGGGATCGCTCTATGCTGTGAGTTCATGCAAGGAACTTGGGGCGAGATTAGCGCACCGGCGTTCGACTGAGGACAAGGCCGGCGCCGTCGGGTGTCAAGAATCTTCTCCGGATATTCCTGCTCCATCAGGGAGTAGGCGTTTTTCAGACAGTCGCACAGCCTCGACTGTTCAATAATATGGTCGGGATATCGAAAGGAAAGAAACAGCACGATGGAGAACGTCTGGAAAGGTACCCATGAGGAGAATGCGTGCGGTCCACCAGAAGTGTGATCTACATGTCTCGACTGATGAATCAGCGACGTCGACCAAGGTCTGGGCTCTGGGTAGACATTCCTTCCCATTTTCACCATCTCGCAAAATCGTCCGAGGACGGACTCATCCGGTCTACGGGAGGCCCCCTCGTCCGGGGTGACTTCTCATCCCATCCCCCGAATTAAGTTGACGAATTTCTGATACGGAATTCGTGTTTGCTAAGGAGTGCAAGCGGTCGATCTTCCTCAACGGCAATCCTGCACTAATTCGAAGCGAGCTGTGGTACATTTTCGTCCGGGAATCCCTTAGTTCGTCATTCCCTTGACGTCTTTCGAATGAGTCATAATCTGGAAGATCCCCCCAGCGGTCGAGAATCGAACTCCGATATCCCCGAAGAGAGGTAGAGCATGGGCGATTCGTCTGCCACCGACGGTTTCGCGGAATATATTCGTGTTTTGGATAATCTCCGGAGCTCTGATGAGAGAGGATCCCCCATTTAACGTTCCGAGCTGTGATTTTGGAGTGGTCCCCGTGCTCACCGCATGGGAACCAATGTTGGAGAGCAGTCCCGGAAAATTCCCCAAGATAAGCAGAGCACGGTAAATCGGAACGCCTCGCGTCCTGATTGTGCGTGATCGGACGAACGAGACCAGTGTCCTCTGGGGCCGCCGCTGAGAGAACCTCCGCTGATGCAATATCGAGTCCATGGAGCGAAGAGGGCAGATGTTCCGAATCTCGACTCCTTTCGAGCATTAGAAATCGGATCCTCTAGCTAGATCTCTCAAAACCGCCCGGCTCTGGCGCAATATTGCGCTCGAAGTGATCCTTACTATGGGAAACAAGCGCTGATTCAGAGCCGAGCTGCACGCTCTCGTATTGCATTGCTCGCATTTCGGGGACGCGCGATACGATTCTCGGCCGAGCGAGGAAGACAATTACTGATGAAGACTCTCCAACGCAAGCACTCTTCTTCTTCCGCTGCTCTCTCGAGAGGGCGATCTGGCTCGATAAATGTCGTGTACAAGCTCAAGCTTCGACTTCCGATCGACCACCGCCCTCGCTGCGATCAAATCGCCCAAAAATATCGAAACTGACCACACAGCGAATTCTGGTGACGTTTCGTGAATCGCGAGACTGAGAGCCAAAGAATCTGCAGAACCCTTCCGAGGTTTCGAACTTGGATGATTGCTTTCTTATCGCCTCCACTCGGATGGGGAGGTTTCATTCCCCACGTTCAAGTATGCAATCACATTGGGTGCTTTCAATTGATCTCGCGGCCGCGTTCACAACCCGCGCAGAACGCCTCCGCAAGGAACAGGTCCTTTTCGGTTCGCGCCTAACAACGAGATCTCCCGACTGCTGGATGTCGTCCTTGATTTGAATCAGAAGCTCACCTTCTACTTCCTTCACCACCTCACTCCCGGATGCATCTTTCCGCTCTTCTTCCCAGGGCCAAATTATGTCACTCCCGAATCACAGAAACTATTCGAACAAATTTCCGAGCAAGGGCCCTAAGAGACCTCCGCAGGCCGGTGTTGTGGGCCGATTGGTAGTCACCAAGAGAAGAACCGACCGACTAACGGCACGCCCTACTGAGAGAGACACACTCTGAAGAAGGGTTTGACCTCAACTCTAGACGTTGGCTCGGTAGCCAACGATTCATTGAAATACACACAAGCAACGACCAGCAGCTAGATCATGTGTGATTCAGATCTTGTCGATTTCACAATCATGTGAAGCTCTTGGATTCACATCGAGACGGATCGAGGAATCTGTTTGTTCCCCCCTTCCCCTTGAATAATGACCGCAGGGATAATAATGTTTCCGCAGGGAGCTCTCCGAGGATTCCCGTCCACTGCCGCGACTACCGCTTGAGAGAGATCCCTTCAAGTGCTCGATTAGAACCACCTCTATACATATCCTCGGCGTTCCATTGATTGAACGCGCAAGGAGGAGAAATCTCTTGCAAACTTATGGGGAATATTGCACTCAGTAGATTGATGATGCCAAACGTCACAGATCAAGCTCGCACGGCGGGAGCTACTTCCCCTGACAGAGTACGCTCGATATGCGATATGCAATGCATTTCCTCCTTCGCTCTCTAAAATTAAGGAATGGGTTCGTAAATATACATATGTACCAAGTTAATGTTGGCATATCTCCCTGCCTAGGTGGCGTCAGATAGCGGCGGAGCGATCTGGAGACGCCGCTATTGGTTTCGCTGTTGTTCGCCGTTCCGCTTTCAGCCCTCTGAACTCAGGGAGATTGTCTGACTGCAGGTCGACGTGATGCGACCGTGGGCAATACGTGGCTGTAGATGCCTGTCTCATGAATTGATTCCGATGAAAATAGCACACGATATCTCTGGATCCCTTGATTTTAGGCGTCACGAAGCGCTGAAGGCCGCTCATGGATCGCGGTGGTGGGGGCGGTTTTCTCACGCAGGTCTCATACACCAAATATTCCCTCAGTGTTTTTTCTCGCAGCATAATCCCAATCCCACCGAATCTTCTCCGCAGCTCGGGGAGTTATGGGCTGCCGCGTTCCGTCTAGGTACGCCGTCCCGACTGGGGAATATTCACCGAGGAGTCGGTCAATCGTATGTATGTGGATAGAGCGCAAACCCGTGATCGGGAACGAAGATATTAATCCCTGTCAAGAGACGAGAACGTGCATGTGCTCCTGAATGATTCCAATGAGTGTATCCAGAAGACTGATTTCTATCGCGGAAACCGGAATTTACTTGTGACCCCTCCCGGGGCCGTCATCCCCGCTTTCGGTTGACGAAGTCACTTTCCTTTTTCATCTGCGGGTCACAACACCCCTGTCCCGTGGAGCGCCCCCGGGAGCGGCTCTCCGCAAGCATAGATCATCATCAGCACCCGCCCGCGCCGCTGCTGGAGAATGATGGCCGAACGTACGATAGTAAACAAATCATCACGTTTCCCTCAGTGTTGCTGAGTCCAGCCTCGAATTTTCCTTACGTCTCAACTGGAAAGTGATACAAATCTCGCGGGAGGCTGCCACGAAACTTGCGCGTCGCGAGTTCTCGAGCGGAGAGATTCACGCGGCTGAAGTGTCCCTAAACGTCTTCTGAACTGGGCGACCTAAAGCTCCAAACGAACGATCTCTTTCACTAGATGTCCGAGAGAGAAGAAGACGCTGACGCCGACTCTGTTGAAGCTACAAGGTAAGCAGCAAGTCTTCGAACTCGGCAATCCGGGAAGATTAGCCAGCCTATATAGCTAGCTGAGGGCAGTGCAAAATTCCCTCCGCAAAATGCTCGATTCCTTGGCGAAGCTCCGGGTTGGAAGGATAGTTGCTTGGGAAGTTTCCGAGCAAACGACAGGTGTGAGCGTGCATTCCGCTCATGGTCATCATACAGTACTCAGAAAAGAACTGAACGATTTCTAGGAGTGGACGACACATCAAGAGACGACGATTCGACGATGAAATCGTCGAGAGCAGTCTAGGCGGTGTATCTAAATTGGGGGCTCATGGAACGCTGCAGAGTACACCGACAACACCGACACCGGTCGCAGCCATAGTCAAGGTATTTCGGCTTCGACTCCCGAAGATCTTGGCTAAGATTCCGATTCCTGAAGCATGCTCCAATTTATTATATACGCCATCAACAGATGCCGAGACCGTCGAAAGAGAGTCGGAAAAACTCCCCCCCTCGCTCGCTGCTCGAAGTTCCCGTCGCAACTCCGGTGAAGGAAACCAAGGTCAAAGATCTGAAAGGGAAAGAGAGTCAGAGCCAAGCTGCGCGACCCTCGAAACCCGCTCAGAAATCTTCCAAGAAGCGCAAATCTGAGATTCAGGTAAGGAACTTTCCGCACATGCGAAGGAAAAAGGATCGTCGATAGGGACAGCGAATTTAGGCTGCCATTGCATTACAGCTCGATGAGATCCTCGGTTCAACCTCGAAACCCGCGTCCCCGTTCACGATTTCGAGTCCTCCGTTCACCTGTCTAAGCGCTCCACTAGACGATTCTGAAGACGAAATAGACTCTTGGAAGCCGTCGGATGATCAGTTGCTAATGCAAGCAGTCATCCAACTGAAAGACTTGGAGCTGGTTCACAAAGGAACGAAGTTTTCCTATCCCTTCAGTCTCGAACAGGTCGGTCGATTCGAGCGATTCCCGGCTCGGAAACATACAGCTTGTATATTCGAGGAGCAGAGATCATCCGTCCTCTGGCGGAGCGCTTTGCTGAGAGACCGAAGGGTTGTACTTCTTTACAGGTGACTTCTCGTTGGAAAGCATTGCTCTACCCACCTGGCGGGTCCTCGGACAATTCTTTCGAGGGAATTGCGGAGCTCCATCCCTCCACAGTGGAGTATCTCGAGAGAAAATGCCCATTCAGCGAAGAAGAAGAAGCGATACTATCGAACATCAGTAGTTATGACGATCCGAAAATGTTTCAGTCGATTCTAGACGCCCACAAAGAGGTTCGTACCATATCCGTGAGATGAGAAACGCTCCGACGCAATTAACAAATTGAAAAAGTTGGGGAAACTCTTCCGCGAGATATTTCGGGAGGAAATGGGAAGCTCTCTCCGATTGATATAATCTTGATGATGTCATATTTTTGAAGGTGTTCCATCCTAGACGTTCCGCGAAATCCTTATTGAAGCATTGGCAGTTGATGAAGCAGTATTACCTCTTAGCCGATCAGCATATTCCGGCTTCGTCGGAAAAACACATCTACTTAAATTTTTCCGACGTCGAGGACGAGTATAACGACGCAGAAATGGAGTCGGTGAGTATCTCTCCCCGTCTGTCGTTCTGATTTCGACGGACTGTGCACCTCCTCGACATTTTATTCGATGCCTCGCCTCCTGGAACTCGTTTTCTGCGCTCATGATATATTCCGCTAACTCCGCCTCCCACCTCCAACCCTCCGCAGCGATGCAAACGTCGACGAGACTTCGCTCTGGACAACGAGCTGCGCCAGTTACAGCGATCCGCCCGGAAAGAGATGAAGCGTCTCGAGTCTGAACTCCCGCTCTGGCATGCGATGTCAGCTGATGCCAAAGACGATTGCAGGAAGAAAGTTGTGCCAGATGTGGACAACCAGACCTTGGCGGTTCTCAGGTTAGCAACGATTCTGTCACCATGAATTTCCCAGGAGGGGGAACCCGCGAGCCGGATCGCTCATGTGGCAGCGGGTGGCAAGTTCCCCCATGGGGAGCTTTGAAAACGATCACAAGTAACTCGCTCGACTTGCAGGGGAAGATCGGTTAGATATCTGATGAGATCGAAGGAAATATCACTCGGCAGGTCTTCAAGGGAGATCAAAGTTGATGTCGACTTCAGTCTCGAAGGTTATGCGTACAAGGTCAGTTTTCGGAGAATAGCTGCTATCATATGTCTCAACTTGTAAAATGCCGTGCTGAGCGACCGCGACGCGGCCGCAAGTAGGCCGAGAGGTTCAGAACTGAAACCCACTTTCCCGCTTGCAGATTTCTCGACGCCAAGCCATCATCAAGCTCCGCAATAATGGGGAGTTCGTATTTGCTAATGAGGGCAAGCGGCCGGTTTACGTGGATGGCAACCCTGTACTGACTGGGAACAAGCTGAGGTATGTTTTTCCCCGGGCTATCGCTTCTAAGGGTCCCGTGATAGATGTAAGTGCGATCGGCAATGATCTCTTTGAAATCCATGGGATCGGAAGTGTTGCAAACCATCTTCTCTCGCGACCCGTGCGGTCCCGGAACTCCCTCAAGCTCCTTCGTGATTCGTCGGAGCGAGCGGAAGGCTTCCCCAACTGAATTCCCCAAGAATTCAGTCAGCTCCGGGGGTACATCTTCCTTTCCGATATTCGTCGTCTGCGCCAGCGGACCCCCATTCTCTTCTGCCCGGGCCCATGCGATAGACTCTGCCGAGACTTTTCTGAAAATGCGTCGCGATCCAAGATCGAGGATGTGAGACCGGAGGTCGTTGGTCGGAGACGAAACGGCAGATCGACTATTGGAAATGAACTTATTCTCATCATCCCTTCTGAATCCTTCGCAGATTGAATCACAACTCGGTCGTCGAGCTCGCAGGACTTCGTTTCGTTTTCTTGGTGAACCAAAAATTGATTAATAGCGGCATGGCTAATCACATCCAGTGAGTCGATTCGCTGGGAGCATGAAGTTCTTCTGTATATATCGTTGCTCCTCTCAGTCGGGGAGTCCTACACTCGCACCTTATTCTTGATCGTCACGAAACTTGATTTGGAAGAAGCGATCGTTTTGTTACCTTAGTCATGAGGCTCCATTTGACGCATCATAAAATATCTCATTTGTTGTTCGTACAATTTCCACGATATCCTCATTATTCATTATCCATCAAATCGGCTCTGCCGGTCCCTCTGCGGGGGCGGGGCTCACCGGGTTATATCTCGGTCGGCATCTGGTCGGTACGACGTCGAGCTTCGCTCGAGGAGCGATTTTCTGATTGCACGTACAGTGGAACCCCGTGTTAGTGCACCTCAAGGAGCTAGTGGAAAGCGCATACTATGAGCGAGAACTCACTAGAACGGAACAGGTCAACATGGGTATTATGAAGGTTGAATTCGGGGGAATCGGTTCATTGCAAGCGAGTCCACCATAGCGGGATACCACTGTAGATCAAGATACCATTTCTACGGACCAGCTGGCGGCCAGAGAATCGTCTCGGCACTGTCGCGATGGAAGTCAAACGACGCGACCGCTCTTGAACTCTGGCACGCGGCTCACAGGAAGTTTCCTCCATTCTGAGACTTCCCCTCGGGGGGACTTCGGAAGCAGAGCCCTGCATTCCGTCGAAGAGCTTGACCGTCGTAGGTGACTCGAGCGATGAATATCGAGCAGCAACAGATCCCGAACGGTTTGAAGAAGGAAGCACTATTCCAGTCAGTGCAAGCAAGTGATATGACTCATTTCGGTGCCAAAATTGATTATATTAGTAGTCATATCATTCTCGAGCAATACGTTCTTTGCCGGATCTCGCCTTGGTTACGATTCGAAGTTCCGTCAGAATAGACATTTGTACAGATCACTTCTTGCGGCTTGGCGGCTGCTGCTGTTGATGCGTAGATTGGAAAACCGAAGAGGCTGACATGAGATTCTCTATGTATTGCCCTAAGACTTGATTCTCGGATTTTAGCTTGAGGTTTTCTTCTTTCACACAGTCCACGCGTTGGGACAAATCTGTGAAGGATCGGAAAGACAGTGAGGATTCTGTTCCGGCTATCGGAGGTATTTGTCGGATGAATTCGGGAAAACCATTCCTCATACGTTGTCTGAGGAGCTCAAATCAAAGCTTACTGCACTTGATCGATTCGAAAGAAACATACCGTCTAAAGTGTTCTGCAGCTCTAGAACTTGTGAAATCAGCCGAGACTTCTCCTCGGTCTCGTCTGCGTTCAGATCATGATCCAGTGCTGCAAGAAAGGCATTGCTAGGAATCAGCACCGATCGGCGATCCTCAACCCTATGCTCCCTGAAAAGTCTCGCTGAACTCACATGAGAAAGTCGACCCATCGTGATTCTCTTCTTCGAAGTAAAGATGCTCGTCTACCACCGGGACACTGCCGCTCCTGAGGAAGAGCGGTCGTCAACATTCCTGTGATTTCTTGGATCACATGGATAATATTTCCGAGCGGAGAGGAGCCATCGCATTTGGTTCTCCAACAACACAAGTGTCGGAAGGGAGTGTTCCCCCCTACCGCGGGCTCTCCGAACGAAGTCCTCCGCACCCATCGGACTTTCAGGCCGAGAGGAGGGCTCAACGCTCACCTGGCAAGGCCAACATCCGGCAGGCCATCTGGAGTGGAATCCTTCACTTCTTCACCGTCTACGTCGGCAAGCGGGATATCGTCATCTAAGTTCAGACCGCTTGCAACAGGTGCCCGTTCTGCCATACTGGAAGATGAATTCAAATGTGTGATGGGATCGATTGGAAACAAAAGGGGTGTGCAGAGCTCGAACACAGAAAGCCGTGTCGCGGCCTCAATGGCTCCGGCGAATGAGAAATCTTGAGGCGACGGCGATAAACGTCTCGAGTAATAATTCTTCCGGGCTGATCGGATTGAGCCGAGCCCGCAAGCTTCCTCGACACTCGATCTTCAGCAGAAAATCTCATGTAAGACAGATTGAGAAAATATCTCGCCGCCTCGGATGGAGCCCAACTGTAGCACGGCAGCCCTTCTCAACACCGTCGATTATCTCATTCCAAAATAAACACCAACCTCCCAGAGCTCGTTCTCTGTTCCCGTGCAGCTCTCGGAGAGCGGTCAGCTTCTGTCAAAATCTCCCGTTCGATTCGATGAGCTCGTCGTCAGCAGGCGTAGGACGAGTGACGGCTGGGTGCAGCAAGTGGCTGTGTCCTGGGAAGGCGATCAGCAGACGCTTCCTCATCATCATGGAGGGGTCGTCGACATTAGCATATTTCGGAACAGATATCGGACGCAGAGCCTTGCGGAAGGTGAGGCTCCTGGACCCGGATTGAAAGCGAGCTTACTCTCATCAGAGGCATCATCACTCATCACCAGGCGCGATCTTCTGCTGAGGAGTGGGTGTGTGGGATCTCGCTCCTGCGGTCCTGACAGTTGTTTCTCCGGTCTTATCTAGGAGATTCACACTCCTCTTCTACCTCAGATGATCGATCCTTCGCTCCGTCTCGTCGCAGTCTCCCTAGAATTTTTGGGATAATCTTAATCCAGAGTGCATCTCCGATACAAATACCCTGACATGTGAGCCAGCCCTTGTCGTTGTCTCAAGAAACTGACCGCGGTCTGGTCATCTGATCTCTCTGAGCGGTTCGTTCGAGTGACTCCCCGCTCCGTGAGGTTATACGCTCAGCTGTGCTATCATGCAGATGGATCGGCAAAATGATTACCGCGAACTGAGGAAATGCTATCTTGGTCTATCCTGACGCGGTTCTTCGGAGTACGCATGATTTCCTTTCTCCAATATTATTATTATATTCTACATGCGCAAGATATCCGCCCTCCCACGTAGTGCGAGGAACAATCCCCTCTCAACAACTCGAGTCCCGCTATATCAACGTCGATTTTGATTGAACTGAACCCCGCAGAGGCAGACTCTTCAATGGGACGCGCGCCTGTAGTCCTCGGTGCAGATAATTGATGAACTTGAGTCCGACGGATGACTCGCGAAGAGAGAGATCCCCGCCGAGCCGTTCGGTCTGAAAGAGATCTGTATGCTCTGAAAACCCTGCATGTTGGCTCCTCCAGTCGAACCTTCAGTCCCTCGGATACGTAACCCAAGGTGCAGCCAAACGCATCACGTTTCCCTCTCACTCCGTGCATCGCACCCGAGACCCTTTCGTAAGTTCTTATTTTGTCTCGATGACGACTAGGTACTTCTCTCATCTCGATGGAGTACTTCGAAAGACAACGATGTTCTCCATCAGCAGATCTTCGATGTGTGGCCGGTCGGTGAAGGGGCGCAAGAAGCATTGAGTTGGAAACCGCAGAGATTCCCGTATTTTCGGAGAGATGGGAGCTCAGCAGAGTATCGCGGTTCAGCGAGAACTCAAACAATTGAGAGACATAGCATTGCTCGACAGAGACACCGTCGCGAAAATGATTATCGATTTGAATGAAGCCGGTCTGAATCTCAAAGGACGTGAGGTAAGATTAGCTTCGCTCGAGTGTCCCGTACATATCCGTGGAACTTCCGATCGAAGTTTTGCGATTAACGTAGAAGTTTCTCAATCGAATCATCCACGCCCAGGTGCGCGTCGATGTCGTTGGGTACACTGATGATCAAATCCTCTGGAGGAGGGGAATCCGTTTTACGTGCCGTGTAAAAGATCTCCAGTCCAACGAGGAACTTATCAAGGTGAGTTCTCGCCGCAGTCATGACTACGCTTCTCACTTCCTCCGACCCCTTATCTCCGACTGGAGTCTCAATGCTTCTCGCGAGAATGCTCTCAGAAGAATCTGAGGATTCCTCTATGAACGATTCCATCTCTATTCTGCAGGAGATAAATCTCCGTCAGTTCATCACTGTGTACCATAATGTCATGATGAGCAAGCAGCTTTCAAATGTACCATTGGCACCTCCGCCACGTAGCAGAAATTCCTCTGGTGAGTAACGAAGATGCGCCCGGGAGGCAAACACAACCATATTCGAGCGATATAGTATTGAGAGGCATGAACGTTGCAGATCCCTCAACAGACGACGATCTCTGCTGCGTTTGTTTGGACCGTCTTCCTCAAGTTTCTCTACCCTGTGCGCACTCGTTCTGTCCAAATTGCATTCAAGAATGGCAATTGAGGAGCAATTCGTGTCCGCTATGCAGAGAAGAATCTTCGGTGGATGAGCAGTGGCTTCTGGAGGAGGCACCCGATTTGACAGAAATGGAGAGAGAACTCCGCATAACTCTCGCTAATTTGTTACGCTCCTAGATGTTATCTGAACGTTCCTGGAAGTTATCCGTAGATGGAATATTGAGCCAATCGCCACCGAAGCATCCAAGAGCTTTTATTACGAATGCAATTCACTCGTGGTGCCAGACCCTGAATATAAACACCCCTGTGAGTGTTCTTCACAGTAATTCATGTGCCTTTATTGAGAAGAAGATCGAAGATTCGCCGAGGGCGATTCCGCGGTCCTAGGGGTGGAAGCTTGGACTTGGGCCGCCATTCCCGGAGAGAATCGGTGAAATCCCGGACGATGAGCCGTACTCCTTGTCGAGGAGTTAGTCGAATCCCTTGAAGTCCTCGGTGCTCGGTCTATCGTCCATCCTAAGCAGGGAAGGCGAGCTTCATGGACACTTCGGAAGAAGCCTAACTCTCCGTAGGCGCAGGAAACCCCAACATTCGGCAGGGGCTGGAAATCAAGGGGTCGAAGGGGCTCCCAGGCTCAATTCAATCGAGAATGCGCAATCCCCAAGCTTTTAGATGGATCCATCAGCCGCGATCACTCTGCATCAACAGGGAGAGCGATATACATCGAGGTTGATACCGTATCTCTTCCGAACTTACTCTCCGAGCCAGCGGTCACAAACTACGGAGAATTTAAGCTCTTGGAATAGGGAAAGCCAGCGCCACGAAGGTATCACCATCGTCGGACGACTCTGATGGTTATCGATCACAGAATACGCACCAGCTTCCTGTGCAGCCGAGTCGTTGAGAAGCTGAATACTATTCATCAAGTCCTGTGTCTAGAGCTTCGCCGAGTAGTTGGGAGATGGTTAAAGGTACACGGGTCGTGCATGGAAATTCGATCAGGCTGGAGATTCGGTAAGCTCTGAAAAGCCATACCTCGCATAGCGATGACTCCCTTCCCGACCGGGAGGCGCGGTGAGCCTTCACACAAGTAGGTACATTTCGGAAGGAGTCTGCTCACCAGGTGGTCAATCGCTCGAAGGAGCCGCGCTCCAACTCCTCCCTCGACGACGGTCGCGAGAGCCTCCGCGACACACTCCCAGAGCAATCTCTCTGCGGTGCAAACGTGGGAGAGAAGAATGGACTTATGGATTTGAATCAATTACATTTCGTATCAAGGATCCGCGAGCCGAAGCACGCAATACGCAAGCCCAGACCTTCACGCCAGCTGGCATTTTTCTGGCTCCCTCGTAGCTTCACCGCAGTACCGGATCAGTAGCGGATTCTGACGGCAACGGAAGTAAGCAGTGAAATCCGTCCGCCAGGATACGACCGCTTGGCAAATGAGACGTCCCAATTCGGCCTGAGACGAAAGCCGAGCTCAGCTAACGATGATCTCCGGATACGGAAACATGATGTAGACTTCATGCGAGCAGCTGATCGTATACCCGCCTCCGGCTTATCTGAGACATCGTTGCAGCAAAGCGAGAGGCAGAGCCGTTCGTAGAGCATCAGGCGGCCGTCGGCACATAACTTCTTGGAACTGAAGCGCGAACGAGCTCGACTCGGTGGTATCGGTATCTCTCATACAGCTTCTCTAATGGCGAGTCAGACATACTTAACATAATTTATGAGGAAAGAAATTCGATCCATGACACGCGTTCGCATCGTGTGGTTTCTGCCCGTGACAGCCTCTATTTCGGTTCCGTATTCGGTTAGTATGAGCCGGTCACACGATGACCTCCATCTCCTCTATGCGAATGAACGAAACGTATCTCAGGTAGAGCGATCGAAGCGATCACAAACTATTCGCGGGGACAAATTTCCGTGCGAATAGTATCGGTCGCTATATCGATCAGTTAAACGAATGTCGTCGAGTCTATTCCCGATTCACTGACCGGTATGTAGCGCTGGTCGGCGTTGAAGTGAATGAAATCTCTCCAAATCACCTGACTCTCGGGACTCAGATCGGGATCGCAATCCTCGTACCACTTTTTGAAGGTTTCCGCAAAACATACGCCTGGAGGCAATAGATGGCAGATTCCGCCACAAGCCAACTCGTAGTAGTTGCTGCAGGCGTCGCCCCGAACCTGGAAACCGATCGTTCAGTTCTCCGGTATCAGAGGTAATGAAAGTCGTTCGGGAGGGCACACCGTCGGGATGACGATCCGGGAAGCGGATTCTCGTTGTGATTTGGAGCCTCGCCTGATAGGGTCTCTCCACGAACTTTGAGAACTCTCGATAGCTTCGAGGAAAGTTCTGGCACATGTTGAATTTGTTGACTTTTTTTCTGGTGTCATGTTCGTTCCATACAACTTCTGGGCTATCGCCTTGAATTTCGACACGACGATTCTTCGGAGGCTCTCTGGAAAAATGTATGACTCGAATTCTCGCTCCCGTTCCAATAGCTATACCGGATAGCTATACCGCCACGGAGAGGATCATCCTAAACTGGATGCTTCCTATACGTCTGCGTTTCGAAGAACACCCAATGCCTACGGACTCCCGCGGAGCTCGACGGAATGTGAGCCGCTGTTTCTCATGACTTGAAGTCAACCAGAAAATATTCCCACCTCTCTGTTATGAAAGCCATCACTGCTGTCACCATCATCAGACTCAACACCATGAATATGGAGATCGTGGTGATCTCAATGAGAGCGGCTCGATGTCCTCCCAAGGAACCCTCCGCTTCAGTAGGTGCTGTATCACCATGAGTCACCTGAAGCAGAAAGCTCGATCACCCGGTCGGAAAGTATGGGGCTACCAAAACTCGCAAATCAAAAGTGAGAGATCGATATGCCGATCGAATACGATTACTGTGAGCACCTCCGAGACTTGCGGTGGCGAGAGGGCATCTCTCCTTGGCATCCTTCGGACACGGGGGCTCCTTTCACTAGGGAATGGAATATCCGTAACTTCTCGAGCTCATTGTCAGGAGTGAACTCATGTGGGTTTGATACGAAGTCCGGATGAAGGAGGCTTCGTTGTCCAGTAGCTTCTAAGAGGGAAGTCCCGAAGGTGCATCTTCATCTCTACGGATACTCCGCGTGGATGATCCGTGCCGCCGACGCAAGAGCGCTCGAAAAAAGGTCAGGACTAACAGATTCATCTCACAGGGAGTTCTCGACGGGTTGGTCACTGCGCCATCCGAGAGCATGATCCCAGCAACAGGAAGGCGGTGATAGAAATGCCCGGAATCGTACCAACGTCAGCGTCGGCATATTCTTCGCGAAGTTTCACTGAATGAATTACGAATAATTGTTCGCCTCTGATCAGTATCTAATGCGAGTCTCGTTTTTTGCTGGCGATTGGGTCCCTTGGGTGCACGGAATAGAATAGGTTGAAAAGCATTAATTTATCACTTCAATGAGGAAACGAAGACGGGAAGAGTGCCTTGGCCGCAGCGGACTTGTCGGAAAACGCGCGAAGAGACATGACTTCGAGGATTCGGGAGAATCTCAGATTTGTCGCGCCGCGAGCTTTATTGTGAGCTCGGGCCTGGACGCCGAAGCGTCGGCTTTTCAGGGAAGGCATCTGGACTAGGTATGTAGACTACGATACTGGCAAGACCACAGCATCGATATAGAATCAGAAGAATGAGCAGATGGACAGACTCCAAGCTCGTTTTATTCAAGGGCACTTTCCGTGAGGTCCTGGTGACGAGAGGGCCTTAGCAGTTGACGAGCTGAGCTTACAGGCTCCCTTCTGGCAAACCGTCGGAGGAATCAAGCTACAAGCTTCACCCGAGCACTGTGGAATGATAGTTGTAGCCTGTTAGATACACAGGGTCTCGACCATTTTGACCATGACGCACGCGTGATGCAGCTCACCGTGTAGCATGAATCACAGCATGAGCAGGTGGGTCTGTACATTCCGCAGCTGCAGTTGAGCGGTTCACACTTCGCTGACGAGCAATCCAGGTCAGGACAATGTGCGGGGGACGTGGATGACACCCTGATTGAAATATTCATATTTGTCGTTTGTCTTACACTTTAGGTTGAGCTAGGTCCCCTATCTCGACCGATTAATTCAACCTCAAATGCCGATTAACTCGCTGCTCATTGTAATAGGGGTCATTGGATCTTTGATCGATCAGATGCGAGTCGGCAGCATCGGAGGAAATAGGGATAGGATTAAAGATTTCGTTTTCACTCTTTGCTCTGAGCATAGAGCCTCAGCGAGTGTATTTCCGGAGAAATACTCACAGGACTATACAGCAGCCCAGCAGCGCTAGCGTGAGAGCGCACCCGTTCATCCTGATTTTCTGGGGACGGAGATTCATTTTCAGCATCTCACTCGATTCCTGATTGGACAATGTCTGATTCTGTCGTCATCGGAGACGTTCCGCCGAAGTATACTGCGACGTTATGTAGGAAAGTATGAAGATCAGTGAGGGAAAACGATCGACTCACCAGATTCACAGAGGAGATCGTTCCTTGGAAGAAGTTCCGAGTGTCCACTTCTTGAGACGCTGTCTTTTATTCTCCTACTATACGGAAGGGTTCAGAGTAAGTCTCTCTCCACGTCTCTTTCGTTCAATTTTTCGCTTCATACGAATTTGCATAGCCTTCCGAAATCAATTCAGAAAAACTCACGCCGGAAGCTTCGAGCGTAGCGAAAACAGCTATCGCCTAATAAATCACATGACCGCTCAAATGTCCGTCTGATAATCCAGTCGGTTCTCAGCACTCACATCCTTGGCAATAATGTTAATGAAATTCTGATCCATAAGCTCATTCACTCCATATCCGCATCATGTGACGTCGCCGCAGCGATTCCGTTTCTGTCTCTTGACGAATTCCACATCTGTTTGTTCCGAATATGGGAGCTTACCACAAGCCGTATATTTGACCCGATCCGCGGAGCTGAACAACGGAGAGGGACCGTCAATTATTCAAGCCCCTATTTTCTGTGCACCGAAATAGTCCACCTGTATGCAGAAGAAACAAAAGCAGAGAGGGGCATGCGCTCTCTCGACTACAGCGATTTCTGAAATTGCGGATCCAGAAGACTCGCTCAGAAACGAGCTGTCAAGGGAGACGTGATCGAGCTGCCGAACCTAGCAGCAAGTAAGCAGGTAGTCGTCGCATTTTGGAATATACTGTCGAATTCTGTCGATAAAGAGGACGGCCAATGGGACCCATGGGCAAATCGGCTCAGCTTCTGAGAGCAAGGATGCGTTCGTTCGCGATATCCGGGCTGAAAGCATAATGAGAGAAGCGTGCGAATGTTTATCGAGATATAATCCCTCAGAATTCCCCAGACCTGGAGAGAATATCGGTGATTCTTAAGGTCGCAGCGTCGTGAAAACACGCTATCGATACTCAGGGGACTTTGAAGGAGCGACCTCACTCCACCAGCTCATTCGGCGCCTGCACCTGACTGCGCCTATCCCCGCAAATGCAGAGCGTCCGTCGCGAGCAATGCCCTCCGAAATTGTGACGCTGGCGATTTCTGATGTGAGATGAGTCCTTTGCGGATGATCGTCCTGGTTCGGGGAGTTCTCTCGGTTCTGATGGAGTCCCTGACGCAACGATCCCCAGAGAACCGATAGAGCAAGCGACAACCGACGAAAACAGATTTCCGTCCGACTTAGCGACAAGCTCGTATCTTACCAGATGCGATCGAATCATTGGCCGCGAAACATTTGTAGCGTTCGAGGGAGGAGGCCTGAACTCGAGGCATTTTCCCGAGTACCGTTGTGTAGAGAGATCACATTATATTCATTGGACCGCCCTACCTGACGGCACTTCTTCACCGAGTCATCTTTCACAGTCAGTGAGACCTTGAATGCAAGGCGAACACGGTTGTGCACTTGCGTCTACGGCTCCTATCTCTCCGCCCGTGAGATAGGATATTTGTCTTGGAAGCCGCAGGAAATCCCCGCTTCGAAGAATCGAATCTTTGCATGGATGTCACGCGCGATTCCGCGACGCGTCTTCTGTCAGGGTCTGTTAGCGCGCGAATCCGATTCGGCCGAATTTTTTATTGCACGCCATACACCAATTTCGTCCGGGTACCGAATTGATTTTTCCCATCGTCAGCGACTCACCCCTTCTTCGGCGATCGTACTGATTCGCTCAGACAGGCGATTACTAATACTCATTGGCGGCGAATCGACAAAAGAACCCCGTAGCGATACTGTGATTTTATTTATTCATGATTTCGTCATTCGAAATGTGTCGGACATATGAGATTCGTTCGACGGGACTATGCGCGAACTGGGCTCCAGGCGGCGCCACGTGTCCTAGGAACTCTTCTTTCTGGATTTCTTCACGGGAGCACCGCCAAGATCCTCTGGAAAGTATCGTTGGAACTTGAGCGAACGTCAGAAATGGATATTGTCAGGACCTCGCGGAGAATGGTTCGCCAAAATCACCTCTCGTAGTTTGTTGAGAAGAGACTGCGGGCTCAAGTGCAGCGACAGCATCGGCTTCCATCTTCTGATAAGAGGGAACGCCGAGCTTCACGAAAGCGAACCCATTGCCGTGAGTGTGACGATGGTGGAAATTATAAGGCCCTGCGGGAAATATCTTCTTATAAGTTCTCGATCAGAAAAATGTTACCGGGGGTGGACGGTGAACTTGGCTATGCCGCCTCCTCACCTTCATCGATGTTCCCAATAACGACTCTCACGGGTCCATCCGATCCGTTGGACGACAAATTGACTCCGTACGGATTCTCAATCTGGGTTCGAGTCTCCGCGGCTACCTGCAATACATGCGGCTCATTTAACAGGAGCTCCGCTTCCAGAAAACCGTTTCTTCAATCTAGGAGCCTTCAAAGTAGATTTAGGACTCCTCCTACCCCTCCGAATGATGAGAAATTATCCCCCAACCTCCACCGAGTTTGGTGCCCGGGAACTTTGGTGAGCGGAAAGTTTTTTTCTCCGCAAGAACCGCGGTAGGTGAAGGGGTCATCTCCTTCAGAACCGGATCAATTCTGTTCTGTACAATCATGGTTCTCTGGTACGATCATGTCTTCACTCGTTTGCTCCGGGGATGTTGCATGTTTCTAAACGATGCGGGAATTTATTGCCGACAGGTCCCGTTCTGTATTTCACCCGCACTTTTCGCAGTATGTGCCAACGTAACGATTCGCGCACGTTTCCTATCCGCGTCGACAGAATTCCGAAAATCGTCGCTGCCACGTTTAATGTTCGAAATGTGATAACCTTCATTTTAGACCCCCGTGGCTCTATCGGGAACTTAGTCTGCGATATCCAACTTTCGCGGGCCGGCCGCACACTAAGCGCCGCTCACAGATGAAATTCACAGATTTATCGGATTGCTTCGGCACAGAAGCAGAAGCAGAACTCGAGATATTTCTTGCGTTTCCTCAACATTTAGCATGCATGAGACTCCAGAAAATTATCAAAATATTATTTCGGGGAGACCCATGACATACCCTGGGATCGCCGGAGATGGCCTCGCTCGATACTCGGGTCGTCTTACTCGCGGGCCCGGTCTGCGATAGTAAAGATAGATTACCGGATAGATTACCCATGGAGGACGGCATAGGACAGATGTGTATGTATCTCATCGTCGGTCGCCAATGTGGCCGAATCTGCGAGAATAATTGGATGGTTTCGCTCGAGAAGAACGACGCTTGTTGTTACTCACCGTCCGATCTGAGGGAAGTTCGAAATCCTCAAAATCGCTCAGATCGTTGCCGTAACCGCCGGATCCCGTCGGAGCGCTAGTTTTCCTTTCAGGAGGCGACTGTGGAGTGAGAGTGTTGATACGTTGAAGTTCCACCTGGGGCTGGACACGTGGTGGAGCTCGGGGCGCTTGTGGCCGATTTGTCAGAAGCGTGGTCTCAAGACTCCGTGTAGGCGTAGCGGGCCGATTCTGGGTCACAGTGACGATTCGCGGAACTTGTTGAACGACTCGATAGGGCGAAACCGGTGACCGAACTGGCTGTGGCTCCACTCGGCTCACTTGAGTGACTACCCGGGGAGGTGATTCTAGAATCTGAACGAACCTCCGCGGTTGCTCCACTCGGCTCACTTGCGTAACTACCCGAGGAGGTGATTCCAGAATCTGAACGAACCTCCGCGGCTGCTCAACAATATTGATCGAGTTCGCTGGAACTCTGGCTGGCCGTTGTTGGACCGGAACGTCATAGCGGACCGGAACGTCGGACACCACTGGAGCCGGTGTCACGACAGCGACCGGCTTCGGCGGGGCGGTCTGCTGGTTCAAGTACACAATCTCTGGTCGCGGTGGCTTCCTGGTTGGTCCGAAAGAGCTGTCCGGCGGTGGTGTCGGATGGATTCCGTAGAGACCGGGCCGGCCTCTCACAGAGACCACGACCCCGGATGGTGTCCTGACCCGAACTCCTGCGGGGACAAGCTCAGGCAACATCTCTTTGGCTGGAGCGACATTGAATCTCTCCGGTATGACTCCGTTATCGAAACCGAAGCCTCCGAGACGCATGAAACTGAAGCCGCTGGGTTTCTCTGGCGGTGCGTCCTGGCTGGACGCACCATTCGCAGGTGGGACGGACACTGTTTTCTGGACAAGAGGTGCGACAGGCTGGAGTTTTTCTCTCGTTATCGCGGGAACGCTAGACGGTACCGTCACAGTGTCGGGCCCGGTTGTGGGAACACGTTGCGGGGTGGGAGCAACACTCAGTCGGGTACGGACGATCGGCGCTCGCGGTCCGTCGGGAGCTCCGGGCCCGACGATGATCCCCCGATCGTTTTCTGGACTCTCTGTGCGATATCGACCAACGTTCTGGGGAATAGCAGATGGCGGTGGCAGAACCACCCTTTGCCGTACGGGAACGACATTCTGTTGTATCGTCTCCGGTTGGACCGGGACAAGACGCTGTATCTGAACATTCGAGGGGGGTTCTGGCTGTCCGTAAACGATCTGCGGTGACTGCGGGATCGGCGTGTCATAGAGCTTGGCTGGCTGCAGATTCACGAATTCTCTCACTGGCGATTGATGGACCAGCACAACTTGAGGAACCGATTGAGGTGAAGGCGGTGCCGATAGGGGCCGAGGTCCTGGTGCTTGTGGCGAATACGTGACTTCTGGGCCTGACGTGATCAGAGGTTGCTCGACAATGGTGCCCGGTCGTAGACCATCGGCACCGGTGATCCTTATCGGGCTGGGCTCTTTGATGTCTATTGGCTCCGTGGCGGGCGTCGCCTGAGCGATAACTTTTGGTGTGAAGGAGATCGAAGGTCCGATCGATACTTCGGGCGACTGAGCGCGTGGACCGCCTTCTTGCACGACCAGGTGGGGTTCGACGATTCTCGTGAGTTCCGGAATAGCGTTGGGCCTGCTAGCGACGAATGAAACGGGTTGCTGTCCTTGAATGACGTAAGAGTTCGGCGTTGCCGTCGGCCGCCTAATATCATTCGGGGTTACCGCGATCGGGATCTGTGCGCGGTCAGTCAGTTGGGGTCGTCGAGGAGCTTGTGGGGCGAACCGAGGGGACTCTGCAACAACTTGTACGGGACCCTGAGGGGTCAGTGGTCGAAGTCTTTGGCCGAATTGACCCGAAGGAGGAACTTGGAAAATCGGTGGCCCATCCACGACAACACTTACTGGCCGAAATCTTGGAGGGGCCTGTTCAACGAAGATCTGAGGGGGATTTCGAATCGCTTGTGGCTCGTTGGCTGGATTGACGATCGGCCGCGAAGCGAACTGCGAGTCCCTGCCCCGTGGTAGGGGGCGAGCCGGCGGACTCTGAATGAAGCCTTGAGGAGCCCTTAGGGTTGGCGGTATTGGGCGCGGTGGGGACGCTCCTTCCTGGACTTGGCTTGGTCTTCTGACATCCTGAACGAAGGTTGTTGGAGGAGCTCGATTCACCTGCGGAGCGGCGGGACTGATTGTCGGGGCTCTCGTTGTAATGGGTCGGGTCTGCGTCAGATAAACAATCTCTGGTTTCGGTGCTGGCTTGCGCGGCCCGTGATTGATATCGGGTGCCGGTGTCGGGTGTATGCCGTAAAGTCCTGGTCTGCCTCGGACCGAAACGACGACGCCGGAGGGAGTTCTGACACGAACTCCGGCAGGAACGAGTTCGGGCAGCATTTCTTTCGGTGGCTCGATGCCTTTCGGGACGTCACCGTTGTCGAAGCCATATCCACCGATTCTCATGAACATGAAATTTCCCGGTGGCTGAGTCACAGGGCCTTGGAGCGTCGGATAAAGGCTGGTGTCAGTGACGACCGCGGCGTTCTGGAGTGGTCGAGGGGTCACTGCAACGTCAGGACTCACTTCTGCTCCTGCGTCGCCTTGATTGACTCGTTCCGTGAAGGATTCCGGTGCTGGTGTCGGTTTCTTCCGCCGACGGATTGTGACTCTGCGAGGCGGTGCTGGCTCCTCGTCTCTGCTCACGACTCCGTCCTGTACCTGCGGGAAAATCGATTAGTTCACCGAATCGATCATGTTACAGCGTTGATTCATGTTTATTTTCGATTTCGCTCAGGCAGGAAAAGTGGGGTGAATTTTAGGCGGTAGATTCCCTCGAGAATCGAACCGATGCTTTAAGTTGTAAGTTTTGCCAGGAAAGCTTGTTTCATGGCAAGGAAGGGTGCTTCACGTGTTCTCCTGATCGGAGAACTTAGCGATTGGACATCGCTACTCTGAAGGAAGAATGCGCATAAGCAAACATCCGGTAGCGACCACATAGGACGGATCTTCCGGATGTCGCAGCCTCGCAGCGTAGAGACAAGCAGATGTCACCAGTGAGTTTAAACAACAACCCGCGGGGGTCATTATTTACGGTACCATTCAATCAGTGTTTACCTTCCCGAATTCGTTTCGGATGATGCGCAGTACGGTGGTACAGATTTCGAGCGTTCCCTGGCATGCCCACAGCCTGTGGAACCGCTTTCCGAGACCTACTCTACCTACAGGAGTTCCTAATTCCTAGGTCTGCGAAGCTGAAGGAGTAGAGGGAAAGAGCGTTTTCGGCACCGTCTAGGCCGGTAGCAGGTCGAGCTTGATTGGTATACTGAGTTAGGAGCCATCAGTAGACCCATCTGGCTCCGTGCGATCGAGGCTTGACGAAAAGTCCGTTGCGCTCTCAATGAGTCGACCTACCATGAAACAGTCTCGACAGTTTCTCAACATGATGAAGAATACGGTGTTGTTTCCCGCTGATTTGACATGAGTGTACGTGCGTCTGGATGTGGGGATAAGACTTTATTGTTGTTGGAGAGCTCCAACTCTCTGTGGGAATCAATTCTGTTAAATCGTTCAGAGCTCGAAATCATCGAAATCGTTGCCATAGCTTCCAGAACCAGCGTTGCGAGCCGGAACAGTGGGCCTGAGGACTGGGGCAGGAGCGATGGGTCTCGGTGCTGGAGCGATGGGTCTCGGTGCTGGAGCGATCGGTCTCGGTGCTGGAGCGATCGGTCTCGGCGCTGGAGCGATCGGTCTCGGCGCTGGAGCGATCGGTCTCGGCGCTGGAGCGATCGGTCTCGGCGCTGGAGCGATCGGTCTCGGCGCTGGAGCGATCGGTCTCGGCGCTGGAGCGATCGGTCTCGGCGCAGGAGCGATGGGTCTCGGCGCTGTAGCGATCGGTCTCGGCGCTGGAGCGATGGGTCTCGGCGCTGGAGCGATCGGTCTCGGCGCTGGAGCGATCGGTCTCGGCGCTGGAGCGATCGGTCGTTGAGTTATGAATGAATCCATTTGTTGGTTTTGGGATATCGGTTTCGGGGCCGCGGGTCTAGGCGCTGGAGGAATCGGTAGTGGCACTGGCGCGGGTGCTATCGGTTCTTGCGTGGGTCTAGGTCGCGGTGCGGGCGGGATGGGTCTCGGAGCTGGAGGCGGCGCTATCGGTGTGCCGTCTTCGAAGTCGTCGAGGCTATTACCATAGCTGCCTCCGCCACCTATCTTGTTCGATGCCGGCAGCACGGCGGGCGTGAAGATGTCCGGCTGTACGGGGCGCGGCGCCGGCTGAATTGGTCGAGGCTGTGGCTGAATGGGGCGCGGGGCCGGCTGGATGGGTCGCGGGGCCGGCTGTATTGGACGTGGGGCCGGCTGTATTGGACGTGGGCCGGCTGAATTGGGCGTGGAGCCGGCTGGATTGGGCGCGGGGCAGGCTGGATTGGGCGCGGGGCAGGCTGAATTGGGCGCGGGGCCGGCTGAATGGGTCGAGGCTGGACGGGTCGGGGCGCCGGCTGGATCGGCCGTGGTGCGGGAGCCACTTGGCAATTGACAAATCCTGAGCTCGGACCGAAAGCGCCATCCTGGGCGCAGTCTGGCGTTGCTACATTCTAGGATTCGAAAAGCATTTCTGTGAAGTATCTCCGATGATCTACCGGAACAGTCCCGAAGGCCTCGCGAAGAGGATTCCTTCCAAACCTGAGACACCCAGGCAATTCCGCGATGGAGAGAATCCCGACAAGCGATGGTGTAAATAAATGATGGTGCATGAAGGACTCTGGGATCCTTCCTCCGAGACATTTTTTTGTTCGGAATAATTGACACTTCTTGCAATCGTTCGACGAAGGAAAGACGCCTCCAAAGCAAAAACGGACCCTGTGCTGGATGGACGGGCATCCAGAGAGGATTGGCATATAGAGAGGCAGACCAGGAGAAGTATCATGGTTCCGAAGATCTCCGCGAACTCTCTCAGCCGCAGAAGCATCTGGATTGGACCTCGAAGGAATGCTTTCGTAGAAGCGCATCAGAGCACGGAAACCGAGGTCACTTGTGAGCCCGAGCAGCTGCGACTTCACGAGTGAAACGGGATATGAACCAAAGAGACGAAGAGGGCTTCATTGCTCGTTCATCGGGTTCTCGGAGGCCTGCGGCCATTCTTGCTGAGCGACACAATCTGCAACGCGATTGCTGCGCTCTCGAAGCTGAGTTGCTCAAACCGATCGAGCGTCAATGCAAGAGGCCCATCATTACAATATATGCCCACCCAAGGCTCGAGGAAAGGCGACTCTCGAACTTCGGATGCGTCGCGGAACAATCGATCTGGAAAATTCACATCACAATACCTGAGGACGAGCTGGCTGGAGGATGGGCGTCTGAGTCACCGTGGTCGCGGGTGGGATGTATCCAAAGTCATCGTCATCATCGAAAGTAGGCCGCGCATACTGAGCAGAACCATCATCGATAAAACAAAAGACAGCGAGTGCCGCTAAGAGCAGCCGCAACACTCTCATTGTCACACAGGCACAACGAAGCAAATGAACTTTCAACTTGTCCTTGCCGTTTTATAGCGAACATTTGCAGAAGCGCGGGTGAAGGAGAGAGAGAAACGCACTGAAGATGTTCTTCTTGAAGAAGCGTACGCGGAGGGAGAATGTATCAGCGATCGCATTGATTCGTACTATTGACAAATACGAGCATATCTTCCCGCTGTTGGAAAGTCTTACGATAAGAGCGCGTTACGCATCAGTGTTCCCCGTGCAGAAGAAATAAACTTGGGCACGAAGCGACCCTTTTTCAATTACAGTTCTGAATACTACCTTATCTCTCCAATTATGGATTAGTAGTCCCGAGTGGACAGGCGCTCTTCATGATAAGGCCATCTCCATTACAATGGTCACAGCGAATCGTAGATCGAGCTTCTCTCTTTCGAGTTTCTCTCCCCAGGTCTGTGAAATTTACTTTCGATCGGAAATATATTTTAGCCTGGTGCAGCTGAGTAAGCATAGTACAGCGGATCATGTTATATGCTCTTGAGATCCATTCAAACCTTCACTCGGAGGAAAGGCCGGCACCCTGTATCAGGAGAGCACTCTCCGATGGAGCCGGGGAGGTATTGAAAGATAAGCGAAGATACACTCGCTATAGAGGTGCATCGATTAGTTCGGACGATTCTCGTGGATATCCGGGCTGATTATGCCACGATAGAACATGTCCGAGAAAAGTCGAAGGGGCTCAGCGATAGGAGAAAGTCTCAACGCGAAAACGATCGAGAGCCTTCTTTCCGAAGGTAGTCCCCGAACCTACGGATGATTCGGAGGAGCTCTTGACCGGGAAGAATTCTCAGGGGAAAAGATGTTCCGCCCGATTCGAGGTTCCTCGAGGAGCTCCGAATCGGTTCTCTGGGAGGAATATTTCGCGCAAGCGATAAAGCCCCGATCACCTGTGTCTGTGTCAATTCCTTAGAATTCGACCCCGATTACGTCAACTTTCTGATGTCGAAAATTGAAGATATACAACTCAAAATTCAAAAGTTTCCTATGATTCCATGATAGTACTACCCGTTCCCGGAAGTCATCGGCTGCTGTATTCGAGGTTCAGAACAGGGTTCCTCCGTCGATCGACATAGAGGGAGTTCCTGAATGCAAGTCCTAAGAGACGATTGCGTTCAGAACTTTCAAACAGAATCGTTAAGGAGTTACGGACTATTTTTCTCGCGAAAACTTGGTGATCCTTCTTCCATACTAAATCGATTGGTGTTATTCGGCATTTAATACATCAACTTTGAGGGGGCATCCAGTCTCCGCTGAAAGTCGTTCTATTCTTAGACAGTCGTTCAGTGCACCACGTCGATTCTCGCCATCACCCGGTGGGAAATGTGCATTCATGCCTCAGAAAATTGAAATCGTTTCTGAAGATCATCCAGTAAGGTCAGGGTTTCTAGTGCGATGAATCCGGTTCGCGTAAAGATCAGTATGTGGTCAGGCCATGGAAAACAACAGCTTTGTCCATATTGATTTTCTGTTTATTATGTTCATCGCAATAAACATGCGATTAGACACACTGAAAAGATTGGTTTTGCGTTCACAGAGGCCTGCTTTCAGGAAGATGTCGGAACGGAGACGATGGAGGTGATATCGACCACGCCAGACTGCGGAGCACAGAGGGAATTTGAGTGAGTCTGATCTTCGCTGTGCGCTCAGGAGAAATCAAGGATAGCGAGATCTCTCCGCCGCTGCGGCCTGGAATGGAGAACGGCGACCGTGGATCGACACGGAGGTTCAGAATAATGATTCTCTCTCTTACCTGAGGAGCAGAGATTGCTCCAAGCTGAGAGCGATTACGCTGTCAGTGAATTTGCGCTCGACATGATTGATGACTCCACCGAAAACATTTAGATCTAATCCTCTCCTGCGAGAGCCGTCCAGCTGGGTGATCGTTTTTGCGCGGTTTCAAGTGGTCGTTCCTGGATTCGTATCGCTGATGCCAAATACACAGTTCGGAACCGGGTGTGCGGATTGTTAGCGTTGAAAGGAGACTTGCTCCGACAGACGTTGATTTTCCACAAACTGGAACGTGCTCCATCGGTGAGATCATCTTGCGCTTCGAATCTTGGACGTGAGCCACCCGGCTGAGATTGGAAGACCTTGAAACATTGTGCATGATTTTCTAAACGGCGATCCTGTCCGATCCGGCGCTCTCGGAGGGAGTCTCACCGCTAATCAATGACACAGTCGCTCTTTCTCTGGCAGGTATAACCTCGTTTGTCATATAAAGTTTCGGAACTCCTTTGCTGAATATAGGGACGAACTGTGAAGCCTGAAGCGCTCGTTCTTCCGCTGAAATCGCAGAGACACCTCTTCGGAGACTCTTCCAGACTCCAGGCTCGGGATCGTATCGATCTAGTCTTCTCGCGATGCTCCTAGGAGTCACCGCCGGAGGACTTCCGCGGAGCTAAAATCAATATCGGTGGATATCGGATGGGAAATCGTCTCGAAGACGATGAAATCAATAATTCTCCCAGAACAAAGAGCCCCATCTGTCCCCCATTCCGAATGAATGAGTAAGCGTTTCTGACCGAAAGTTTCCACCAGAAAGTTTCGCTCCCCGTACGCTTCACGGGTGGTCTTCAATGATGTTGAGGGGCCCATCAAAGGCTTATCTCGCCCGAGTGGCGCCCGCGGCAAATTTGACTCTCGTCCCAAGGAAGAAACTATCCCCAGAGTTGAGCGTTTTTGCGAGGCAGCGAATCAGCGAACGCCCTCTCAGAGATCCGGCGCGGTCGAAGAACAGAAATGCGTACTTTCCGTCTTAATTTTTTGGAATGGCACGCTCCGCTTGGAATATCTCTCTCTCTTCCCGGGCATCGAGGTCGGAAATCGCGCTCCCTGGGAAGGGCTCGGGGCCCGAGGCCCGCCCTCTCTCCCCGCTCCCTCTTGTCACGCCTCGAAAGCCCATAGATGGAGGAAAATGCTTCGTCGAATCATCCGACTCGAGCCATGATTCAGCCCAATCTGACATATGTACATACGTCAGAGGTGCGCATGGAGATGTAATGATTGGCCTTCCGCTCACAGTTCCCCCCGTCGGAAAAATAATGATAATAGTCGTGGTATTGATTCCTTGGGGAATTACAGTATGAATTTATTTGCGATCGGATACCACGCCCTCCAGAACGTCGAGACATTAGAGGGGATCCAGAGTTGCGAATTTGTGATTATAGTACCCTGTCAGATAACTAGTGAGCCGAGAAGATAAGACGTTAGCGAGGCAGTATTCATGAGATGCGATTGAGCCAGTTAGTGTTTAACTTATCAATAAAAGCAGCTCGAGATGATCTACACAGCTATGTATAGTCTGTCGCGCGGTATCGCGTTCTGTAGCGGCCTAGAATGCCTGTAATCTGTCATCTATTCCTACAGTTCCGCTCATCGAATATTGAGCACGCCTTCGCTTGCTCGGGAGCCGTCGTCGAGAGCGACGTAGAATTTTCTGCGTCTCAATAACTTCGATGCTCCACGAGAGGTTTCACACCGAGGGATGATCACACGAAAGATTTCCCTTCCAATATTGGAAGTATCCTGGAACGGTGGGCTTTTCAAAAACCGGGGGATCTTCCACGAATATACAACCAAATAAAATGCAAGACTCATATTGTTTACACGTGTTGTACACAAGGATCCTCCGACGCGAGAAGCTGCGGCGGAGTCCCCTTCCGGAATGATGTAAACATTGAACAGAGAACTTCAGCCTGTGTGTTCGTCTTTCGAATCGTCTTTCCTGACGGGAGATTCCGTCTTCGACGGCGATGGCTCGGTTTTCGAGTCTTTGTTCTCGCACTCCTCGCAGGTCCAAGTGTAACCGCGAGGTTTCGGGTTTTTCTTGACAGGTGGTTCGAGGCAACTCCAATGGATCCCACGATTGCATTCGTCGCATCTGAAATGTCACAGAGAATCGTTAGGCGCCAAAGCTCAATCGGTCGGTCCCCTGGGCTCAATCACCAGTGATCTCCACGAGCGGACCATGGGCTACGTCGACTCGGAATTCGTTCGCTCCAATCGGAGGACGTGCTCGGAGTTTTTCTAACTGGCCTAAAAGGCGGAACAATGCAGATGGGGAGCCCCGGGCAACCGGCATTATATACATAGGGCACTTACACCACGATTTGATTCGTATCGCTGCTCTCGCATTTGACGCAGTGTTTCTTTCCAGACGATTCCGCATTGCAATCTTTCTTATCGCTCTTGGTGTGAACCTCGGTCTCTTTCTTCTTGATTTCAGCTTTTGTTTCTTCATCCTTGGATACAGGAACATCCATGTCTTCAGGTTCGTCCGTCAATTGCTTTTGAGTTTTCAGATCATCCGCTTGTTCGCTTTCGGTTTCAATTTGCTCTTTCGTATCGGTCGAGTCGACTGCTGCGGATTCAGCGTCCTCTGAGGCGGTCTGTGTCGTCGACTTCCTCTTCTTGGATGCCGAGCCCCCGACCTTCACCGGGGTTTTCCGTCTCTTCCTGCCCTTGGATGTCCTAGGAGCTTTTTCGGCGGGACTCTTCTCTTTCTCCGTCGGAGACTCGTCAACCGTCTCTGTCTCGGCATTTTCCGAGCTCGCCGTCGCCGTGTCGGTGGGAGCGACCGCAGCTGTGGCGTCATCTTCAGTTTCAGGGTCGGTGGCCTCTTTGGCTTCTTCCTTGCTTGTTTTCTCCTTAGCTTTCGCCGCTGATTTCCTCGCAGGTTTCTTCTTAGCTTTTCCTCGCGGCGGTCTAGACACACTCTCCTCACTTGTTGCTCGAGCCATGCGGGAAGACTGTTGTCTGGATCTCCGCGCCGAGGGTAAGGCTTTCTTTCGTTCGTGAGCAGTTTTGTTCGCTTCCAAACAATCTTCACACAGCCAGTTGATGCCTTTCGTCTTCTTCGGAAACCTCGTCAACGGCGGGTTCAAACAGAAAAGATGGAATGTGGCGTGACATTGTTCGCATTCGATTTGTTGGTGTTGTTCTTCAACAGAACTGCATACCTGAAGGGCAAGATAGAGCGCATGTCAGTTCTCACGTATTTCCATAGTCAATTCCCAATTTCCAATCTTCACCCGGGATTCCGGCTAATTGAGCGTTGAGCCTCCTCGGGAAGCCGAAACCTACCTTGCAACTCTTCAGCATTTTCTGAGGGGAGGTGAAGCCTTGGCGTTCCGCATGGTCGCGCAGCATCTGGGGCTCGAATTTGATTCCCAGCAGCCTCAATGGCGCCCAGAGTTTATTCAGAACTTCAATCATGTGACGGTTGTGAGCGCGCTCTGCCTTACAAACGCCAGACACTTTTTCGTAGAGTTCACTCATCAAGGCCTGCTGTCTTCGGAGCATTGTACTCTCTTCGATCATTTTCTCGAGAGTTTTCTCAGATTCCTTTATCCGGCGTTGTCGGTCGAGGAAGTAGGAGACGAAATCGACTGAGAATGATACTTGCGTGTGCCACCTACGATCTTCCGGAGGTGCCACGAGCAGATGAGTTAAACCGTAGAGCTCTGCTTTTTTCCGGTATTTTTCAATAGCAGTCGCCGATGAGGGCATGAAGCGTGGCATTTTCTGCGTCGGTAGCCAAACTTTCGTATTATTCTCTTTCTTGATAGCGTACCTGGAAACCGAAATGAGTCAGCGTTCCCGATTTTCGGCTAAATTCTTCGACAAACAGATACGGGTGAAAAGATCGAAGTACGGGATGCGTGATTTCGCTCACCTCTCCCTCAGCCAATTGAGCTTTCTGAGTATTCTCTCTTTTTCCTTGGGCGGTTGTTGGCCTTCGAGTTCCTCTCGTTGTTCCTTTTCTCGCTTCATCCGGACCTGATACTGGATGAGGGCCCAGTTCCGTTTCTTAGTTCTCATCTTCATCTTATCTACGTGTACCTGCGGCAGTTAGGAAAACATTGTACGACTCCTCCCGATCGAGTCACGCCGGATTCATCCGTAGATGGAGGTAGATGTGGACACGAGGAAAGGGATTCGGACTAACTTTGCAATGAGCATAAAACGGATCCGCGATGTATTCCGGGTTAGCATCAGAGAGCAATCCTTGACGTTGCGCGCATGTGACATGGAAACTGATTCGACACATGCCGGCATCGCAGTTGATCGTTACACCTGCGAAAAATGAAGAAATAACCGTCATGAGCTCCGCAGAAAAGCGCGGGTGACCTCAACGTCGCCAGAGGAGCGAGATCATAGGGGGAACTTAAATGAGATAATATGCCGGGGATTCACCTGTTCTCGCCATCAAAGGATCCTCGCAGAGATGACAAGGCTTAGCTCCCCATTTGGAATACTGCATCTCGAAAAGTGTGACCGGTGTGAGTTTTTCTGTTGAGCCGAACGCGCACCCAGGCGTGTACAGGGCGCACACTAGATGCACCCAGCGTCCGGCATCCGTTTCTTTGAAGATTCCTGTGAATAGCGTGTTGTTGAGCCGGAGTTCGTCACCCTTGTCCGTCACGGCGGTCAGGTGAATAAATCGGAACAAACATACATGAGCCTGAGCAATAATTATATCTCATATCGCAGTCGGAACCTACCTCCCATGTTTGGACACAGTTCACACTTCGGTTTCTCCACGCCAGCTTTACAGCTGTCGCAGAACCACGGTTCAGTAGAGGAGGAACTTCCCGTCGAGAGCACAGAATCTCCGTCAGACACACCGTAGCAGCCCTCGTGGACGGTCACGCCGCAGTTGTCGCATTCGACGATTTCATCCGTCTCACCAGACATGTCGCCCAGGCAGATGTTACAGACATTCACTTTTAAAACGCCGTTCGTCAGACCTCCCTCTGAAAGTTGTTTTGCCTTCTCGACAGCGGATAGAAGACCATTCATGCCTTCGGATTCGCTTTTCTTCCGATCGCTGGGATCGCCGCCGTTCGCACAAGCATCTTTCGCTTTGCCGTCTTCATTCGTCGCCGCGGCAGCCTCGTCATCGTCGTCGGTCGCGTCGTCGTCATCGTCTTCCTCGTCGTCATCGCCTTGATCTTCATCGCCATCGACTTTGTAGTCGGAATCGTCCTCGGAGTCTTCTTCGGGAAGGTTCAAGTCCATCTCCAGAAGCTGAAGGTTCGGTTTGACCCTGCGCTTGCCGGGCTCCCGCTGGTGGCTTCTGTAGAGGTACTTGACATTCTCCTCGAACTGCCTCTCTTCAGGATCTTTCGACCGCGACGTCGAGGAGCCCACTTCTGCCGCCGCTGCAGCTGAGATCGCCGCTGCAGTGGGGGCTGCCGCAGGTGTCGGCTCCACAGCCGCGGACGCTTGAGCAGATGCCGGTCCTTGTCGATTTTCTTCCTCACTCTTGAGCGCTTCAGTTTCGGCGGGACGGGGTTCCGGGTCGGGTACTTGCTCGTCGCTATCTTTCCCGTTCTCAGCTAGGGCGGTCGACGCGTTCCCGTCCGTTGATCGAGGGGATCCTTCTGAAACTTCGGCGCTCTTCTGGTCGAGAGCCCCATCCTCGATGTCTGCATCGACTTCTTTGTCTGAGATATCGTCGCTTGCCTTGTCCATCTGATCGCAGATTATCCGCGGCTAGCACAAGCTGTTTATCTGTGGAGATGCCGCCACTTCTCCGCGATCCCAGGGGGTGCTTCCTCCGAACACCTTGAAATAAGACTTAGGATTCAGAATTCGCAGTGAACGGGGAGAGCCTCCGGTACGATGGATGGTGCGAACACAGAGCCAGCGAGTTCGCATCGCTCCGCGAGGCGAAAGGAGCATCGCTAAGCTAAATTTTCTGTTCCACAATTTTTCTTCCAATAGGAGCCAAACATGGTTCCATTCGTTCGGCGAGTCGGCGAGAACGTCAGCTGATAGCTGAGAAACCGCAGCCGGTATTGCTCCCGGTGTCTACATAATCCCTCAAAGCCTCTAAAATTTCGTTAACACTCACTTAGTGCATGAAATCGGGAAGTTCTTCAGCTTTTCAACATTTTAAGCGCGATAGCGGCGTCGGTCCAGCGAAGTAAACAATTTCGCTCTTCGTATCCATTCAGAACAATCTGTGTAGAAATGGCTTCTCTCCTATAGAGGAAACGCTCCTCGTTTAGCGCTCATCTGGGATCTGACAGCCCCATCCGAGAGTTTGGGAATAGAAATTGGACGATCACATCGCTCTTCGGACTTCGGAGCGCCTCGGAGCTTTTTGTTCTTTCGATTCTTGGGAGGACTGCGAACCCATACAGGGAATCGAGAGACAGCCGGAGGGAGTTTCATACAGCGGATAGTCGATGAGAAATCTGCGCGCGCTCTCCTCTGAAAAAAAAACGGAGAGCAGACAGCTGAACGAAACGGGAGGAAATCTCGAAATCAACTCAATTGATTGCAAATTAAAGAAAAATCGGACCGATTCATAACCCCGGTTCCGGTTCAATCTACGAAGCGCCTCAGAGACTCTCCGACGGGAAGCGATTGCCATTAAGAGGAGTTTTCGAATATTGCCGCTACACTCTTGGCCATATGATGATGACAAGACTAAGTGGACAAGTGCCGTGTCGCCGTCCGTCAGTCGTGCTCAGTAACTTTGAGTGATTCGCTGTTGCAACGATCCAGTTCGGCTCTTATACTAAGCGTGGAATCCGCCGAGGATGTAGTTCGACAAGAGAACCCTTCATTCAGTCGGGAAGCCATTTTGACATTCCGCCAGAGCAAAACCTTTCGCCTCTCGACTGCAGGGGCGAAAGATCTTACAAGTGTTCGCAGACTTGAGTGTGGAACCCCCTCAGGGTCTGTGAGCCTCTGTTGAAGTTCTCTCGTTGCGAACCGAAATATCTTGCACCATGGGTCAGCAGCTTCGTTCAGAGGAGATGACGTTGTGTCAGCTCTTCCTACAGTCCGAAGCGGCATACGCTTGTGTTGCCGAGCTGGGAGAACTGGGTCTGGTGCAGTTCCGTGACGTGAGTATCGACCACTGAGTTTCGGACAACTCCAACAGATGCCAGTCATATGCCGTGGTCTTTTCCACGAAATTCGAAGTCCAATCCCCCAGGTGTCGAGTTTGGGAGAGCAGCATATTGCTGAAAATAATCGTCCCTATGGTCGCCGCTCTCTGCTGCCTCACTCGAGAGAATCGAGACATTCGAACGCGTTCCGTAGCAGATCGTATCTATACTCTGCCACTGACTCCTCCTCAGAGAGCGGATCTCGCTGGAAAATGGGGGCTCCTCAAGTCCCTGCGCAGACATTCCTTCCACGACTGACAATTTTCGCTGTGAAAAAAACTCTACATACTATCCCCTCAGCGTGCGACTCGAGTTACCCCTTACCGACGGCATTTTTTTTTGTAATTCATCCTTGCGATCTGCTGACGACTTTCCTTTCATTTCCAGTTGAATTCAGCGACCAACGCTTTCCAAAGAAAATTCGTCAATGAAGTACGGCGATGCGACGAAATGGAGCGGAAACTACGTGAGTGTTCGAAGGGATTCCAAATATGGGACTTTGGGCTTTTTGGGGCTCCAGAGCCAGGGGGCTCGCCCGGAAGTCCTTGAAGCGTTGCTGATTGTATCCCCTCTTGCTAGGTTTCTTGGAACGTGAAGTTCGCAAGGACAATCTACCAATCGTGTCTTTTGGGGACAACCCCGAGGCACCACAGCCGCGGGAGATGATCGACCTGGAGGCGACTTTTGAGAAACTCGAGAATGAGCTTAACGAGGTGAGAGATACGCGATAGGGTCGTATCATTCATGATGGTCATCCCGTAGCAGAAAGTCTGAAGTATCGAAATGCGCGCTCCAGGTGAACACCAATGCAGAAGCTCTCAAAAAGACGTTCCTCGAGCTGACCGAATTGAAGCATATCCTGAAACAAACCCAACAGTTCTTCGACGAGGTGAGTCCGTGGAGAATCCGATGCCGCTCCTCGGTCACTCATCTCTAATATTGAGAAGAGGCGGGAGCTCATCGCGGTCGAGACTCTATGAAAAGTCATGGATAACGCCCACTTGATATCGCTCATCGTCACCATCCATGAGGAGCTTGTTCCGAGCAGTTCTGCACTAACGTTCTCGCACCCCTTCAGTTTCTATTCCTAATTTTTTTCATATTCAGCGTTCATAACGCTTCCACTTCTCGCTCATTTCTTCCTCAAGAATATTTATTTATCGCTGCTCGGGGTACCTTCCTAGTTTTTTCCCGTTCTGTCGAGAAGCTTCCCGTGAAAATTTCATGGAAGACCTTTCTTATCTTATCCATCAGACAGCGGTATGTACATCACGGTTCCTCTTCCCTTCTCCCCGAAGGGAAAAATCCTTTTCTGTACTAGGGCCTGCTCTGTTTAGTTTTGAACTGTACCCCTGATTCGCGAATGGGAGGCGCGCCGTATTCCGCTAATCATTTCTCGACAGCTCTATTCAGGGTACTCCAGCCGCGGCGAGCTGAACGCCAATCAGTCGCCGATTCCATGCTTAATTTTGTTCCGAGACTTTCGTTCAAATATGGTTTCCATGCATGCTTTCATAGCTGGCTGAATGGTTTTTTCACGCTAATGCACAGGTTGGTATGGGTCCGTGGAGCACAAGTAATCCAAGAGGGTCGAAAAAGTATCAGGTGGGGGCGATCCATTATCATTCGGGGTCTGAACGTGCCTGGGATGACGACGGAATACTGCAGATGGCGGACGGTGGCCCAACCCACGATGAGCATGCCACGCTACTCGGAGAAGACGCCAGAGGTCAACCCCAGAACGCAGCGGGTGCCGCAGCCTTGAAGCTCGGGTGAGTTCCGGAACTCCTGCCCGATAATAATCCATGGATCCTCCGGGAGGAAGAACTGTATGTGAGAAACTGTGCTCTCGGTATTTTCAGTTTCGTTGCCGGAGTGATCCTCCGAGAGAGGTTGCCGTCTTTCGAACGACTCCTCTGGCGTGTCTGTCATGGGAATGTGTTTTTGCGACAATGTGACATCGATGTCGCTCTTGAAGATCCGGTCTCCGGGGATCTGGTCTCGAAAAGTGTGTTCATAATCTTCTTCCAAGGAGATCAACTGAAAGCCAAGGTAAATTCTCTTCTCTGGAGCTTGGTTTTGAGAGTTGAATGATTGTGCTGATCTCAAATACGAGGGGCTGAATTATCGCCTTTCGACTAGCGTACGTGGGTTTTGACCCTCCTCGTACTTCACAGGTGAAAAAGATCTGCGAGAGCTTCCGTGCCACTCTCTATCCCTGTCCCGACACTCCGACAGAAAGGCGCGAGATGAGCGTTGGAGTTCTCACCCGAATCGAAGATCTTAACACTGTGCTCCGTCAGACCCAAGATCATCGCCATCGAGTTCTCGCTGCAGCGAATAAAAACATTCAGAACTGGTCAGTTAGCAGTGCCAATTAGGTTTGGCTGACGACACAGGACAATTGAGGCAATTGATGATCGTATCGACCCCTAACCTCTCCCCCTTCCTAGCCTATGAAGCTTCATATGATCGGGAGTTTTTGAGGCGCTCGTCTTTGTTTCCAGGGTAGTCAGAGTGCGTAAAATTAAAGCCATCTACCACACCTTGAATCTATTCAACTTGGATGTGACCCAAAAATGCCTCATCGCCGAGTGTTGGTGCGCCGTCAATGATATCGACCGCATACACTATGCCCTGCGGAGGGGAACCGAGAAATCGGGATCGAGCGTTCCTTGCATTCTCAACAGGATGGACACTAAAGTGAGCGTTGTCTGAAGCTCGAAGCCGGAGACTATAACGACAATGACATAATGAAACCGTTGAAGCTGCTGGTCCCGGAATATGTCTCGCATTCCGATCTAGTCAAGACTTTGTCTTTCCTTCCAGGAAACGCCCCCAACTTACAACAGGACAAACAAATTCACGGCAGCCTTCCAGACCATGGTTGACGCGTACGGAGTTGCGTCATATCGGGAAATCAATCCGACACCTTTCACTGTCATCACATTCCCGTTCCTGTTCGCTGTTATGTTTGGCGATTGTGGCCACGGCCTGATAATGTTCCTGTTCGCTCTGTGGATGGTTCTCAAAGAACAAGGCATCATGGCGCAGAAAAGCAAAGACGAAATCTGGAACACGTTTTTCGGGGGAAGATACATTATCCTGCTGATGGGAGGCTTCTCCATCTACACTGGTCTCATTTACAACGATTGTTTCTCAAAATCCCTGAATATATTCGGGAGCGCTTGGTCCATTAAGAAAAGCGACCTCTCTAACGACTCCTCTATGCTGCTGCCATCGAAAAACTTCGACGGTACTCCGTACGCTTTTGGGGTTGATCCCATATGGCAGCTGGCTACAAACAAGATCCCCTTCTCGAATAGTTATAAGATGAAAGTCTCAGTTATCTTGGGCGTCATGCAAATGACCTTCGGAGTCATGCTCTCTTTCTACAACCATCGGTTCTTCCAGGTAGGTCCGGCGAGCCCGGAAGCGATAAGCCCTTTTGGAGATGCCCATGCACATCATATTGCAAGCGCTCAAAAGGAAGCTTCATCCCCTCTTTTTTCTTCAGAACCGCTTGAACATCATCTGTGAATTCATCCCGCAAATGATCTTCTTGATGAGTATCTTCGGTTACCTAGTGCTGTGCATCCTCGGAAAATGGATGACATACTATGAGAATCCGTCGTGTGCACCGTCTCTGCTCCTCATGTTGATCAATATGGTCATGTTCAGTTATCCGGCCTCAGATGGCACCTGTATCACGGAGTCTTTCTATACGGGCCAGCAATTTTTCCAGGTAAATCCGACGATTCAAGCGTCGCGCGAGGAGAAATAATGTCGAGGACCCACCGTCGAAATTTCAGCGAACTTCCGCAGTAATCGCATTTGTCCTCTCCGTAGGTGATACTCGTCCTCATTGCAATGGCATGCATTCCCTGGATTTTATTGGCCAAGCCCTTAATTTTGAGAAAACTCTGGTTGGCTCAGAATGGTCAATACGGAACTCTCAACACCGTTCAGGTGAGCAAGCCGAAAAATTCGGAAATCAATCCCAAGCGCTATCACTCTGAGGTCCAGTCATCTATGGAGGGAGAGGCCTTGTCGTGCCGGGTGCCGGATGTTGAATAGCCTCCATGTTTCAGGTTCAGCAGAAGGACGAGACACAAATTATTTATAACGAAGACGGAACTATTGCGCAGCAACCTGCGATGCAGGAAACCGTCGTCAACAATGCCGGACATGATTTCGGTCATGGCATCACCCTCGACAACTTTGACTTTGGAGAAATTTTCATCAACCAAGCGATTCACACTATCGAGTACTGCCTGGGTTCCGTTTCACACACGGCGTCGTATCTACGTCTGTGGGCGCTCTCCCTCGCCCACGCGCAGCTATCTGAAGTTCTCTGGAACATGGTGAGTATGTCGGAGGAACATTCGAGCCCCACATCCTCAGAGTCTCAAGGCTCTTCGATATGAGGTTTACTTCGGATGTAATTCGAATTTCGTTTCCACCAGGTATTGAGGGTCGGACTCAACCAGGATGGCGCGATGGGAGGGATCGTACTCTTCCTCATGTTCGGTTTCTGGGCGGGTCTGACAGTGATGGTTTTGCTCCTCATGGAAGGCCTCAGTGCTTTCCTTCATGCTCTTCGTCTCCACTGGTCAGTGTTGAAGGCATCTTTTATTTTGAGCTTCTTACTCATGCTCTCGCTTATATTGGTTGTCTAACTTCCGTTCATCAACAGGGTGGAGTTCCAGAGCAAATTCTACCACGGGGAAGGATACCTCTTCGCACCGTTCTCGTTCGAGAGTATTCTCCACAACGCTGAATTGGAAGATTCAGCTTGAGAGCAATTTCTCGAAGACTGAGGATCACTGATAGAATAGAATGAGAAGACCCAATGCGAATAGAGAAGCTTAGCAATCCTAGCAAAAGACATAATCATCTGTCGTCATTCAGAAGAGAGCAGGTATGCTCATCATCAATTCATATACTCAGTGTGATGCATAACGTCTGTTGCTAATTTTAATTAAAAACACCGGATCTTACACTAAGAGCGTGCTCCGGCGTTCTCGTTTCTCATGTTTTAGTAATAATATCTCCCGGAGTTTATCTCGTGGACGTAGCATAAGCTGAGGACCGTATCATTAAGTTTGGCTTGAGCAAGGAAACCGAAATAAAATCGGCCAAGACAGAATCTCTCTCGTCATTACTGACTGCGTTTCCTTCCTTCCTGGCGTAGAGCCGCGGTGAAGTCAATCCTCCGTGTACAGAGGCGAGATCCGCTCGCTGCGAAAGATCGGCCTAGAGCCGGGGCCGACTTCACCGCGTGAGTGCATGCTTGGTAGATCGCTCTAGTGGAGCAACGTAGGCTCGCACGATCCAGGTGAGCCCACCATGAAGGAACTTCACCTCATCTGGGAGGTTTTTATCGTCGATATAGCTCAGGATCGTTCTTCAACCGAATGCTTGCTTGTGATTCGGGACGTATCTATATGATGCGAGTTGTACGTCGGCGTGGGGCTGGTACCATAAGAAACGCATCACCCCTGCGTTCCTGACGTGAGGGATGGAGAAAGTTTCAGGTCGATTTGCATGGACTGTATCGCGAGACCGCCATATTGTCTCTCATGCGCACAGCCCGTAGTTCTCGGCAAGTTCATCGATCGACTGATCAACTGATCACCTGCCACCGTGATACGGACGAATCGATCATTCTAACCTATAAGGCCCGACTAGAGCATCAGCCGCGGGATTCCGTCAACATCTCTGCCAACCAACCTTCGCCGACCTTTGGATTTCAGGAAAATCTGAGAGTTCGGTCACAGGGGCTGCGGCCATATAACAGCGGTCGGCTGACGAACGGAGAATTCAGCCGATCGAGAGCCGTTTCTCGAAGAAACATCTCCCGGCATCAACTCTCTGTGGGAACTCATCGAATCGGACGCCTTATCCTCGCCCGAAAGTTTCGTGGTCAATAGTCGAACAGGGATAGATCACGAATCGGTGAGACATGCAGCGCGCGAGTCGGGAGCGAGACGTCTTGAGACGGTCGAAGGCGCTCTTCTTCATGGAGACCTCCCCTCGATGAGAAACACCCTTTACCTCACCTGGGGCGCGGACCGATTCTCGGTGTCTCCGTACCGAAAGTCCCGAAGTCTCGGTGAGCTATAATAATTACCGAATCATTCCGACCGCGTGAAGATGACCCCTCATTCAATTTGATACACTCGAGTGGAGTGGTTTACGGAACGACGGGATTCTCGCTGCTAGCTACACAATTTGAGAAATGTTCTCCATCTTCGGTGTTATCGACGTTCTTGAGCTGATGCCATTGCTGCTTTTGTTGACGCCGTCAATGATGCCGTCGCTGCCACAGGCCCTACCGGAGTAGGCAGTGGCGGCGGCAGAGTGCGGCGATGATGATCGGCTCGACCTTGGAACACTCTTTGTTTGTGCGAAGGGAGCAAGGAACTTTCCACAGAAAGAAAGCGGAGCGGACAAGTCGAATGCGCAGAAAAATCTAAATCGTTTCGTAAAAGTCATACAGCATTCTGAGCGGGCGGATATTATCGGAGGGACATCCTCACCTATCACCTTCGACTGCGATTTCGCTGAAATAGGAAATGAACACTGAACTCAATCCGCTGAATTGCGGCTCGATTCGCACTCAAATCAGTGATGTCTGACTATTGCACTAACTCTCGACTCGAGAACTTCGAGCGAGGTTCCTGTTGGCGATCAGACGGGGGAACTGACACGAATGTATTGACTGAGACTGAGCATCACCTGTCAGGGAGACTCCGGAAAACTTCCGAGGGGTACAACGTCTCGTTAAGACCTAGTCTCTGAGAGTTCTGCTGATTGACTCCGCATCGCACAAAGACTCGGGAAGTATTCACTGCCAATTATGATTGGACTCTCGTGCAGATTGGATTTCTCGGGCGAGCCGAAACAGGGGAGACGCGTGCGGGGAGCGGACATACTCCACGAAATCTCCCGAGAGCTCATTTTTCCAAGGCAACTCGGAGTCCGGAACAACCGCAAGCTCACGGCCCTCAAGAGCGATATGAATCGAGGTCCCCTCCACGAACACGAGCGCCACAATCCTTGAAGCAGTATTTCTCGAAACGAGGCGGGTGGACCACCCTTGGGTCACGGAAGACTTTCGGGGGTTGACTGGACCCTGGTATTCCAGGGCTTTCGAAAATATCGGCGGGTTTCCAACACTCAATGCGAGTCTCATAGATCACCAATTTGCAGGTGTTGAGCATCAAGTCATTATTACGATTGCCGGGTGAGACATTGACAGCTTCCGGAGTAAGAGGAATGCCCCAGAGGGAGATGGAGAGAGGGATGAAGCGCAGAGGAATCGCAGATCGCAGCCATGCTGCCCCTCCTTAGGCTCCTGTCTGTACCCCGTCTAACATAAGTGTGGGCTTCTGGTAGATGCGCAGAAGATTCTCCGAGAAGGAAATCTGAACTAGTTTTCAATTGGAATCATACCGGCTCAGATCGTTAGATCGCTTCAGCTGAAAGCTAGGAAATGCGCGGCACCCGAGCTGAAAGTTCTACTATCATGAGCGAGTGGCAGCAGCTCCCCCCCTATTCGGCAGAGCACTGCCGCCCGGTAAGAGTGTCGCTACATTGATGGGATCCAGGAGACCCTTGGGGTCTGGTAACTCCGTGTCCAGGCTTCGAGCTCTTCACGAAGAGCTTCCGAGAGTCTCGATCCAAGCTCTTTGACAGACGTCCTCTGAAGGCGTGGGAATCGCTCATATTGAAACAGCATTTTTCGATGGTCTTGACGCCTGAGATGAAGCTGAATACCGGGAGCGAGAGCTCCTGGGGTCGAGGAATTTCGCGGGAATGCGAGGCCACCCTGGGCAAGACACGGGGTAGAATGACCTAGTCGAGAATCCCTGAAATGAAAACCGCTCCCTTCGAACCTTGCGGGGTTGTCAGGCGGCCTGTCCTCTTCGAATGTTCTGGATCGGAATCTGCTTCTCGCTCTCGAAGACCTCATGCAGCCGGCTCCATTTCCGCTTTGACTGCTGCAATGAGCAAACACCTGCCGTTTGCGGACGCCGATGGTCATTCAAACCGCCCATGCCTACTAATCCGGGGCTAATCGAACGCTGAATGAAAAGACTTGATGATCTATTTATTTCCGCTGTAGCGAATATATTTCGGTTGTAATATTGAACGATCAGCTAGACAGATCGAATGAGTCGACCGATCAATGAATCGCCCATTCAATTATCGCGATCGCATCGGTCATCATAATCATTCTTAGAATTATTACTATCATTTCTCATAATAATATTCATCATTCCAATAGTCGTCGCCAGTCAATTAATCAATCAATCATCAATATATCGATAGGATAGTTCGGATATCAAAATACAATTGTATCATTTCCTCGATTAAATACATAGGAATATGCTCTCAATTGAATTGCAGCCGCTGTTCTTGTCGCCATTGATTTTCCATCAAAAGAGACTAATTGAAAAATTATCGTTTTTGTCGTAGTTATCTTGATCACGTTGTGAATGGCTTCGTTTATTTCTTCTCTGAGTTTTCACAGGTCATCCTCCAGGGTTACCATTTCCGAAGTGGTGTGGACATTTGATTTTTTCTCACTCCCTCCTCCAGATATTTCCTCATAATTGCTCCGGAATTTCATGTCTCTCCGTGTCGTACGTGATCTGTCTTTGTCGTGGCTCGCAGGTGATTCTTATGATTTTTCCAGCATGGATTGAATGCCCCTCGTGAGTCGATGCCGCGAAGAACGCAGCAAAGTTTCGCTTGAGTTATGAATTTGTCTCCTCTTTGTCCGTTTCTATGGGTTCGTGGATGAGTTTCTAGTGATGTTGCTGTAGTGATGCTGACAAATAATAAATAGGAAACATAAAATCGGTAAAGAAAAACGCCATAGATTTTACAACTATGAAATCATCCGAACAAAGACAGACACAACGCATCATCGTCAGCGTATCTTCAGTCATCATGATCATCGTATCGAGATATTTGCGGATCCTTATAGTCATTCACATTACTTATCTGTTATCATCATAAACTCTCTCACAAGCATCACACCTGACGATGGAATCGTCCAACTCAAAAATAAAGAACCAACCTTCAATATTTTTTCCATAATCATAATAAGCAATATCCGTCCTCGTCGACGATTTTGTATTATGTAGTAGAAGAAACGATATCATTCGGAGAATCTTAAGAACTGTATTCAATAGCCATGATGATGATCGTTATCATAGACACCATCTTCACTTGGTTAATTCTGTTTGTCGATATCGTCCTCCTCACCCATAATATAGCAAACCCATCTTTGTTGCTACTTTAAGTAGTGCTGATCTAGAGAACCGATATTTCTTCCAACCTCTCTGCATTATAATTCTCTTATGAAAACCTGGCATTAAAAATCTAAAATGGTAACCATCGCTGACGCAATAAACATATTTGGACAATGACATATCATATATAAGCAATAAGAATCGGGAATAATAATTAATGGTCTCTGTTTCCTCGTCATGTCTTTTCTCCCATCAGTCGATGTTCTTCTCCCCCTCCGCTGGCATCAGATCGTTGTTTCGGTTTTTTTTCCTTCGTATATGAAAGTTCTTGTGTGGATTGATGGTGTTGTTCTTGGTGTCTTTGTCAGTGGAGGTACCCTGTGGTTACGACTCGGCTGCACGTTGATATCTCTCTTGCTCTTTATTGTTGTGTGACCATCACTGATTTTTTTTCATTTTTTTTTATAACGTTCTACCAAACACACCAACTTCAAAAGACAATCATCCACTCTCAGTCACTCAATCAATAAATTCTTTAATCGGCTCGTATGGGAAATATGAAATAAGCAACGAGCCCATGGAATATACCATGTAGCTCGCGCTGTCGCTCTCGCAATTCGTGTTTTCCATTTTTTCTAGCTGCTGCTCCTCCTCAAATCATAGTCCTGTCCATTGCGTTCTCGCTATCGCGGCAAACGGTCCTCTCACAATATAAAGATATAGTATGGTTTGTCACTTGGTTCCGACGACTGTCGGAATCTCGTTATTGCGTGCTGGTTATACTTGTTATAGAAGTGCTGCTGATGCATCATCAGGTATCACTACCCATGTTTTGCTATCCAAAGTACAAATAGGTAAGATAAATCAACTGATCGCTGCGGACTGTCGCCCGGGAAACCTTTTCGACTGGTCGGAGCTCACGGCTAGGGACACCGTCGGCGAGAAGCTAGCGGCTCCAACAGATCGATTGACGCCCACGACAGGCTTTGATACAGGTTCCTAGTCACTGAATTTTTTTTTCTCCTCTCTACGTATTATCCGCGTCTCAGGTAAAAATCTTCTCCTTCCCCCGTATCGGACACCTATTCCATCATTGATGAGGATGAAGACGACGTACATCGTGTCTGGCTGCTGCCATATGTTGAGCTATCAGCTCTGAATGCGGCAGACTTAAGCGTACAGCTTTGATTTGAGAATGCCCGCTATGCTCATCGACTCGATCGGTGGATGTTCAGAGAAGGCCACGTGCGATCGATCGGCTGACCGATCCTCTGACCGACTCCGAGACTATGCACTCAATCAGACAAGCAGTCGACCGCCAGACGATCTCCTGTCCCAAGCATCGTCCATCGGGGTACCGTAAGAAAAGGAGCAAGAGCCAAATAGCTCTTCGAACGTCCCTATCGTTTTTGGCAACGAGTTCCTCTTGCACTCTTTCGTGGTTCGCGTACTCCTCCCCTTTCTCGATTAAATATTTCTTTGCATGGGTAGGACTGAAGGAATATCCTTCAAACGACAGCGAGTATGTTATCAGTAATGATCAAAGTGCATCATCAGGTGCCATTTCCGCAAAATCTCAGTTGCGCCATTATCTCTCTTTTGTTGGTTTCTTGCTTCTTTGTAGAATATATCTATATAGTCAGAGTCAACATATTGAGATCGGTCCGGCATCATGGACTCAGAGTGGGCCCTAACCATAAATTGTAGGTGGGTATATTGCTGCGGAAGTGTCTTGAACGAACACATTGAGACATTAGCAGTTCGGTATGTGTACTGTATGATGCGATGATAATGATCGGTGACCCGCTCCGAGTCGTCGCACACCGTTAACAGAAACTCTTCGTTTTCCTCGCCCCACCACATCGATAATCACGGTTTTCAGAGGTTAACTCTCAAAGATAGCAAAGTCGTCGGGCGCTAGCCTCGACGCTCTCCCGGTTCGTCTTTTGCATCGGGTCAACTGGATCGATCGGTTCCGGCCGACCAGCCGACAACAATTGGCACTATGCCTCACAGGCAAACGAAGGCATTTAACTTCTACCGATTCCTCGACGCTCGGGTCCTGTTCGGGGAGTAGTCAAGGTCTGTAAGTCCCAGTTCTACTTGTTCTCGAGATACACAGCTATCTGCGTCACCATCGAAAGTCATTGTATTCAACGTCGTCTCCAACCTTGATACACCAATGTCTTGTGATTCCAGGACGCAATTTCCCTCAGGAAGTTGGAGAGTTTAGCGCATAATCTGGTAGGAAAATAACTCGGATTATGATGACGTCATTTCGGAAATCGCTCGGCTGGTTGGGGTATTCTTTAATATGCGATTCGGAAACGAGTCAACGGAGAAAGGGAGCGAAAACAAGTAGATACTTCCGAACTGGTCTCGACGAGAGTGAGACGCATCAGATTGTTGCTCTTGCTGCCAAGTGTGACCGTCCTTCTCGGGTTTGCATATCTCTCATTCACGGACTCGAGGTTCAGTCGTCTCCGTCGTCGACTTTTGCTACTTTTGATTGATGTGAAGGAGGACGAACCCCCACAAAGCGGAGGGCCAGACGTGACGAGGAGCCGCCGCTTCCTACGGCACAGCCGCTTTCGTCTGAGTGAGAAAGGCCGAAGCGAGAACGAGCAGTACTCTCGTGTTCAAGAGACGTCCCGACAGGCTATGATATCATGGCTCCCCATATCACCACATCAAAGGATGTATAGCGGCCCTCGCTAGTTGCGTTGAGATGATGATCATCAAAATTATTGTCATCGATCGTCAGCCTTCAATTGTAGCTACTTCTTCACGTAGACATATGTATATATATATATTTCAATAGATATATATATATTTTATAAACTTTCTTAGACGATATAGTAGTATGCAAGTCGATAGACTGATAGTAGGTAGATGGATCTATAGTGGAAAAGATAGAGGAAAAGTATCTCAATAGAAAGATTCATGGCGAAGAACGGTGGGATAGTAGACAAGTGAGAAATGAATGGATGAATGGAGAAACGGATGATTCGGCAGCTCAACTGGTGAGAAAGAGGATCAATGGGAATCGTTTCTTTGTGATCAACATCTTCTCCGTGTTTGTAGGCTCGAGCTGTGGCTCACAGAGCCCGGGAGCAAGGTAGTAGTACTTTGGGGGGTATTAATCATTCACTTGAATCGTATTCCCTATTCCTTCGGAGGAATCGTGGTCTGTAATGTATTCTTTGATAGATTCATGGTGTTCGGTAAAATTGCTATTATTACTAACTCATTAGTAATATATAGAATATGTATAATATATGTGTGTATATAGAAGGGTCTGTGTGTCTGTTAATGGTCGTAGCGGGCTGGCAAGCGATTCCGGCAACCGAACGAATGAGAAATCTGTCTACAGTCCCCCGTACATATCTTGCTATGGAAGTCCCCGGATATATGTATGTATGAACTTCTCTTCATTGCTAATTTTCAGTCCAATTTATCCCCTAAAACGCTAAGGAAGAGAAACTTGCAACTCGCAAGACGATACGGATGGAGGCTAAGATAAAAAGAAAGCGAGGCCGATGAGCGCGTTGCTCCCGAAGCGCACGTACGGAGAAGAGGAAATCAGTTTTTCATAGAATGAGTCGGTATCAAGCGCCTGTGCATAGAGTTCGACCACTGCGTTTCGATTCCTCCATCTTGTTGATAATATGCACTCTTCCGCTGTCTCACAGCTGAGGGCATAATTATTCAGTTTCGTGCATAGGACGCGCTGAGCAATCCATCATCGAGCAAGTGACGTAGAATCTCCCGAGATTCGCCTTGTGTGCTCGTGCTTCTTCTCCTCCGCTTTCTTTCCATCCTATTCAGTATGAACGATATTGTGTACACTCTCCACCACACATCGATTGTGGGTGATATCTGTATTTAGGGACTTCTTTGTCGCATCAACCACTCATCAATTAGTACAGTGATCAGGAAGACAGTTCCTTGGGGAACTCGCTTTGATTACGCTTCAGGTTCAGAGGAGGATCGGAATAAGAGGAGATATAAATCGAGGGATCCACGGAACGTACTCGAGGGAAGGAGGAGGATTACGGGGGGGCGGACTTGAAGGAGGAGATGAATAATGGCATTAAGATTCAAAAGATCTTCAAAAGTTGTCGTTATCACTTGAGAAATCACGGAGGCTAAAAATCGTAAGAAAAGACGATCGCATTGTTGGCATGTTTTTTTTTTGCGCTGGCGAAAGCGACCCCACCCTCAGCTCAGCAAAGTGCGATCCCGGAGGTGAGGATTCGATTTCGGTCACCAGGTCGCGTGAAACGTTTGTCGAACTCCCGACCGCGCCCGCTCTCGGGCTGATTATTGGTGCGGAATCTTCAGCGATTTCTCCGTGTTGCTAATCTGACCGGAACTTCCAGCCGCCCACTGCAGCTCGAGGAACCTCAGGAGTAGCGAATTCGATCGATTCGGTACGCTGCCAGATCATTCCGGGTCCATTCGCGTCGATGCACGTTGAATCGGGGCATCGGGTGCCGCAGCGGGGTCCTCAAACTGTTTTCATCACCATCATAATTACTATTATTAATCTCATGGCGTTTATCATCGCCATGAATATCGTCGTATTTGTATAACTACATACATATGCGTTCTCTAGTCATCATCATAAAATTTTCGTCCATAGCAAGGAATCTGTTCAACAATAATAGGGGGAACGAATCAACAAAATATGGGGAATCATCACGGTAGGATTAAGTTCGTTTTCAGGTGGGTGGCTGCGAAGGTAGGTAGGGAGTTGGGTAGGTAAGTTGGTTGGTTGCGTGCCTGCTTGCTAGCCGGCTTGGCTCAAAGCTTGCACTCTCGCTCGCTCACTCGCTTGGAATTTCTGCACGGAGAGCCTCGAATGACTCAAAGCCAACCGGTTCAAAAGAGCGAACGAAGTCACCGTGAAGAACCTTTAAGAGTTATTAGACAACACGTTTTCCTTCCTGTTCTCCTTCCAAATCGATGAAAGAGTGAAATCGAGTAGCTTTGAACGATTGGCTCCGCAGCTGCTGCCGTCACCCTTTGCAGCGTTCCGTCAATTATTGACATCAAACTCGTTCGACTAATAGATAAAGCTTCGAGAGAGGCAATAATATTTCCAGGAAAGCTGTCTCGCGATCTGTGTGTTTGAATGTTCGCCATCCAGTCTGTGGGCTTCCAATTGTTTGTGTTTTCGAGTAGTGGTGTAGCTGTCGGTTGGAATTCGGATCTGCTCAGAAAACATTTTTGGTTGGTAGATGGATTTTCTTACTTGTTAGGTTGCGCATACAATCAGCTTGTTCAATATGTCATCACGATCCTCTGATCTGAGCTTACTGGAAGAATGTCGACCCCGAGTACGCGGACTCCTCTCCCGCAGAGACGTCGGCGACGTAGAGATGCCGGACTCGGGGGTTCTGTTCTTGAAGTAGCTGCTTGGGCGTCTGTGGCGGCAGTTGGCTCCATTGGTCCGATCATCATTTTTCCACTCGGTGATACGGTGTCTCCACACTCCATGGGATACATTATTATAACAGAATAAATGAAAAACAGGAATACTAGTCGTTCTTCAAGGAGCGGGTGCCGTCTACTTTGTTTTACGAGAACCCGTTCCCTCGAGCCTTGTGGATTGAGGATGGTGGGTAGGCGGGCGGGTGGACCGACGGGGCTCGCTGAGGATACTCTTGCATGGATGGATAGGTGGAGGAGTGGATCGATGTTCCTCACGGAATGATGAGTGGAGATGCTGCTCTGCCCCTAGCTGTTTTCATGTTGGCGGGATCATGGTGAACACGAGAAGAAGCTGTTTGATAAATGAAGGTTGCAGAGATCACATACGTGTTTGTTGTACTCAGCACGTATCTTATTTCCCGGATGTTGTCACTTTTGCCCATGTTTTGAAGTATCTTGCGATAGAGAAGAAAGTTATGAACGGGGTTTTTCTTCTTGTGCAACATCTCTCGATGTTTTCGTCGTCATCCTCTCTTCGCCATTGATGCTGGTCTCGCACCAATGGATCGGTGGGTAGTGGTGGGCAGGAGGGATCGACGAAAGTGCTGAAGATGTCAATTAGTTCCTGATCCTGACGGCCTGTGTGCAGTGCTTTTCGCAAACAGGGCAGAGGGGCTTGGAAGAAGCGACAAGGCGGTTCGCGCACTCCAGACAGAAGAGGTTGTGGCCGCACGGGACGAGCGCGGCCACCACCTCCGACTCGAAACACACGACACACTCCCGCGTAACGGTGGAAGCAATCTTCGCTCCTGGTCCACGTCCCGCGGATCCTAGGGAGTCTGTTGGCGAAACCCGGTCGCCGACGGGACCGTAGCGAAAGCAGTCCAGAGATCCCTCTGTTGAAGACTGGCTACCGGAACTTGTGGTCAGCCGGCCGCCGGTCTGGCCGCCCGTGAAGTCCGGCCATACCGGTCCATGGGAATCTGTGAAGGGATTTTCTTCCTCCAGGAACGACATGTTCATGGCTGGATACAGCTTCGAATGGAACGGAAAAGCCGATCCGATGGCCGGTGCAGAATCCCGGCTCTGCTGCTGCTGCTGTTGTTGCTGCGAGACGAGAGCGGACCACGGTCCGAACACGGTATCTTGCATGCCCAGGCTATCCAGCGCTTTCAGAGAGTGAGCCCCGGTAGCAGGTCCGCCGAACGATAAATCATCGTCGGTTCCTGATCCGATAGAGCCGTGGTCGTGAAGACTACCCCCGGTCCTCATGGCAATGTGCGCTTCGATCTCCTTGCGCGCAGTCTCCACGTTGTCGGGCAGTCCCGTCACTTCGAACACCGGCTCTTTCTCCCGGGAGGGAGTCACAATGTAGGTGTTCGTCTGCTGTTGAATGCGTTTGATCGTTGCTCCCTTCGGGCCAACAACAAGACCGACCACGCGGTAGGGAACTCGGACGTGAATCGTAGTCTGACCTGGAAAGCGAATTTATAATTTGAGATCGACCGACGCTGTCGCCGCGCTCACCTCCGCCGCGTCCCATTCCTCCGGCGGACGATATCCCGTCGCTTCTGTGTGGGAGCTCTTCGGTTTTCGGCCCATGACGCGGGCGATGAACGAGAGCGAACGCTCCCTCCTGCTACCTCGACGACACCGGAACTTCGCCAATGGAGCCGCTCGATGAACAAGCCATCGGGTCACACTTACCAGGCATATTAGAATTGGGTCCTGGTGCCATGGAATTAAGCCCATTTGTTTTCCTCTGTGCGCGAATTGACGAGAAGTGTTCAGCGGCGGAAAGAATTTCTTTTTTCGCAGCGTTGACATCTTCTTTGCGTCCTGTGACCACGAAAACTGGCTCTTCTCCTCGAACAGGAGTTTTTATGTAGGTGTTGGTCTTGGCACGAAGTGCTTTGATCTTGCAACCTGTAAGAAAAAGGACCGAGCAATTAATTTCACTGAACGCCCTTCGCTCATGGCTCGCACTGCGGATGTGCAGTGTTCACGGGAGATTGCCAGTCCGGAATGCCTGATTGTGAAGCATTCGATCTCTGTTCCGACAGTCAGCAACTTCAGAATCCCCTCCGTATCATCATCGTCGTCTAATCCATGAATTTCTTCCCTTGACAGAGCGGAAGTGTGCGGCCAGGAACGCTATCCTTGGCAAACAATGTCTCGATGCCTGGCTGGAATCATGATACAGCATGATTCGCCAGCTTCCATACGTGGAGCTGAAAGAACGACTAGAAACCAAGCAGGTAGCCTGCGTTGAGGACTGACTGGCTGAGTAGCGTCGTCGGCATCGGAGGGACGGACCGACGGGCGGACGACCGGGTGGCCAGACTTACAGACAGAACGACCGACCGACCAACCGACAAGCAACTAAGCAAGCAGACAGGGCCAGCACAGCAGCGAACGGCGATAGAACAAGGTCGAATCAAGGACGTTCAACAAAATGTCGCCCGTCTGAACGTCGGTGCTGCAATGTGAACACTGACGCTTTTTATCTAGCCACTGTTCCATTAGCTATCCCGCCGCATATAGCCATGGTAAATCACTTGATTACACAATGAAATGCACGCGCTGTTGAATAGATGCGATTGCGCCTTCCCGGCATTGACCATTACCTACCTCCGTCGATACCGGGCGCAATCATTGTTACCACCTGCGTACTCGTTGTGAGCCAAAACTGTGTGGGGATCAAAAGACTGCTTTGACGATTCCCCGAGCTCTCTTCATATGCCCGTCCGTCTGGACTGCTCTTGCGAAGAGTCCCCAACAGCCGACTCCACAGACCGATAAGATCACTCAGTCAGTCAGTCAGTCGGTGCTAGTGGAACCTCGGAGCTAATTATTCTTCTAAACCCGCGTTTCTGATCATTCCAAAAGCGATATTCTCAGTCAGTGATATTCTGGGCATCGACGATGCCATCTGGCGATGATACAGAACGTTCATACGACATCCAATAATTTCTAGAGCCGAGCTCTGCCCCAACGGATCTTCTAGAACTGGAGATCGTATTCATCCATACGCTAATACGCGACGCATCTTAAGAAGCTCGTGCAGACCATAATCGTAAGGTAGCCGTCCGAATCGAGTCTCGACATTCAGCACTATCGGAGCCTCAAGAGCGTCCGAATTCGCGAAGATCGTTCGAATGGACCCGTTCAAGATCGTTCTTCGGGCCTTGATCCACGTTCTGGACGAAGCGGTGCGACCCGAGCCTGGGATTCGCTTTCTCCGTTGTAGTAGGAGCTGCCTCGTTGTATCACTTTCGTTGGCGGCTGGCGTCTCTACCACCGACGGCGGAGGCTTGAAGCAACACGACTACGTAGCTACAGGCGTCGCGCATCACACACGCGCGCACAAAGGCACACACACACACGAGCGCGGAGCAGACTTCGAATCCAGTGTTGTAGAGCGTCAAGGCCACGGTTCTAGCTGAGTGTTCGTTTATCAGCGTGGTCACCTATTTTATGCAGCGTTTTATGATTCGGTACTTCATTTGCTGGTTCGAATGTCTTCCGTTTGCCTGTCTGTGTGCCCGACTCGGCCTCAGTCTTCACTGCGGTTGTTAGTGATTTGTTCCGTCCTGGCTGCTTGTCGGACAACCGACATTCTCGGTTGCTTTCAGTTCGGTCACTCACTTCAACTGGCTGCTGGCGGGCGAGCGGGCGTGCGTTAAAACATGCAGCCTACTGATTGTGTGTCGTCGATTGAAATTATTGCTTTCAGTCGGCACTGAGCCGGCCATCGAACAGACCAGTCGGATAAGCGAACAACTGCAGCCACGTGCAAGCAAAATGACAAGCTGCAGCAAGAACGGCCGCAAGTTTCTGAAGGTTCTTTTGAGGGCCAATCAAACATGAAGCAATGGGGCTTCTTGGATCGAGTAGAAAAGGCGCCACTAAACCCACCGACCGACGTCGCTTTCGAAACCCCGATGCGAATAAGATCGGGAACAGATTTGACGGAGCCGATTCCTCTTATTCGCTCATTCGATCCCAAGCGTCGCGTCGATTGATTCGCCGTTAGGTCGTCTCATTTCATGACCGTGAAAACGGTCTAGCTTCTGAGAGCACCGGGAACGAAGGGTGAGCATCAACTAATGGAACTCGCCAAATGGTCGTGGATGAGAACCATTCTCGATTGGAAAAGCTCGGATTGTGATCGGTGGATCAGCAGATATCCGATGGACCGCGATGCACAACAGCAACAAATCGAGAGTTCTGTTGTGTCTCGTTGCGGCGAGAGCGCGGACCAGCACGGAGCCGAACCGGAGGAGAAACTCGCATTCTCGAAACTCGTCGTCCGTGGCGGAGATCATCGTCGTCGCCATGCGCTAGTGGAACCGGGTGGTCATAGCGATCGAGGAATCGCTCTTCACCGTTGGCTCGGCCAGTCGTGCGACGCGGATCATGGCTCTGCGTCGCGCGAGGATATATCCGGACTCTTGATTTCCAGGAAAATATCTCCTGTTCGTGAAGTCTATGAAAGCATTCTCCGGGACGGAGATCTCCTCCTGCTCCGCTGCGTGGACGGAGCACCTCGCTCTTCAGTCCGCGAGCCCTTCAATGCCTCCGTCAGTCTTCGTGGGAGTCAGTTGCAGGGGAATCTGCCGAGTCTCTGATTCCGCCCTGACCGGGTTTGGGGCCACTAGGCCGCCCTTCGTATCCGGCGGTTGGCTGACTGCCTCAGCGGCGAGAAGGCGAGATGGCAGGCAAGCTGGCTGGATGGTCTGTCGGTCTGTCTGTCTGCCCAAGGGTTTATCATCATCAATAGCATAGCTTCTATCTTTAGAGGGAAAACGAAGCAGCCTACCACCGACGAATGACCGAACGAGTGCATGGCCGGCAGCGGTCGACCGGCTGACCGGCGTTCGGTCGCGGCCGCAGCACCGTGAGCTCTAGCAGCAGCACCGGCAGCTGAGAGAGCCTTAGAGCGAATCGCTGCTGTTGTTGTTGTCCACCAAAAACGGTAGGCAGACCGGCCCATCAGGGTATGAACCAACCGAAAAGACCTCTGCCGAGGCTGCTCTAGAGGAGACTCCTTTCCGTTCATGGAAGGATATTCGCAGGCCGCGGCTCTTCGATGATCAGACGTATTTACCCGATCTCGAGAATCTTAATCGGTCGGACCGTCCTAGCTTTGCCGAGGAGTCCCACGGGTAGAGAACCTACTGATCGAAACATTCGGATCGGTCGCAAGCAGCTGCAAGGAGATGGTCCTCGATTCCGAGAGAGCTGATTCATTTTTTCCTCCCCCCACTTTTCCATTGCGTTTTCGGCCATCTAAACAGTCGAGCGAAGGCTAGGTGCGGATTTCAGGCGGGGGGGGGGCGCGACGGAGTGCCTCTGATTCGGAGCCCTGGTCCGGAGCAATATCAGGCAGCAGCAGCAACAACAGCAGCAGCCACAACAACGCGGGCTACTGCAGCTTTCACTGCGGTACAGCTCAAGAGAGAGCATCATTAAGCCTAACAGGCGCGAAAAAACTTCATCGCTCCAGGAGCAGGCCGGGAACAAAGTTTCCAGAATCGATGAAGCCTCCGTCGACCCCAGTGGAAACAATAATTCCCTCAATTTCCACCCTTTGGGCTGCGAGTTCTCGACGCGGAAAAGAACAATCCACAGCGCAGCTCTCAGCGCCTCTGCAAGGCTAGTGCGCGGGGTTGGTGGATGAGATCCGCGCGCCAAGATGGCGGCCATGCACCTGCTGTAGCGATTCCATCTCGTTGTTCGACTCCGAAGGAGACATCGGACGGAGAAGAGAGAATAATTTTCTCGTAGGAGAAAAGCATGCCGAGACGACCCTCGGAATCGAGCGTATCGAAGCACCGATACTCACCTTGACGACCGACGATTTCAGCAACATGTTCTGAGCTGGGCACGGGCACACATTCCGTTGTGTTCTGAGATTTCTTCTGAGTGCGACCGTCGACAACGACGAGATCTGTGGAACCACCACTACCACCACCGTTGCAGGGACTGATTTGGGTTTGTCCGAAACTGTGCAAATCGCCTAGTTGGCTTGACGGTGTGATCGCTGATGTGATCGAACTCGAGACGGAGTTGCTCGACGTCGTAGTCGTTGGCGACGTCGCGGTGGCGTCGGGAGAAGCGGGCTGGAGGCCGAGCCTCGACAGCTCAAATGCCAGCTGAAACACTTGGTCTTCAGGTGATCGGTCCATATCGACAAAGAGCGCGGCAGGCATTTCGACCGAGGCTCAGGCAACACTGAATTCAGCCCAAAAATCGAAGCTTCTCCTCGAACGATCGTCGTTCCGAACCCCACGAGTCCGGTTGCTTCTCTTGCACCGGAACGAGACGGAATCGTCGTGAACTGCTCGTGCAGGACGATGGTCGCTCCCTTTCGGTTGAGGATCTTCTGGCTGCAGAGGGTCTGAGCTGAGAATTTCAGAAATTCTCTCAGAGCGACGATGAGGATTTATCGTTCCCCACAAATAGTTCCGGTAGCAGCGACTGTAGAGATGATTGCCGCGATCGGATACTACAAACGGTCACCGAGCGGCTGCAGTTGATGGAGCGTGTATGTTGTCGTTGGAGACTCTGAACGACGAAAACACTGACTATGTCTGATATGCTCAGGCAGGGAAACAAGACCTCCGTTCAGCCTGCTCACAGTAGTCTCGGGCTCGGGGACAGCAGTAGTCCAAGTCGTTGTTGGGAACAAGAAGTAGTGGTAGTGGTGGACGTCGTCGAGTAAAAAACAATTCACTTTTGAACCTTATTCAGCTTCGATAGAACACACACACGTTCCGTCGCTTCTTCTCGCAGCACTCCTGGGAACGAGTCATATGCACACATACACTCTCAACAGGAAACGCACGCATAAGCACGCTCGCATGCACGCACGCACTTCACAAAGCTCGGGCACCTCTTGTCTTCACGCTCTCAATGGCGGGCAGGCGGGCGGTCGGTCGGTCAGTCGGCCGGGAGTACAGGCGGGCTGACGGGTGCGCTGGTTCGCGAGCGCTACACCCGGGAGTCTCCGATGAGAAGACTAATTGAGAATCGGAGATTAAGTAGAAAAATAGTGGCGGCACACTCGCAACCGATGTATCCAGGTTTCTTCTTTATCTTGAGCCTCCGACTCTCGGCCTTAGGATGGGCTTGCAGACACTCTTCCACTCACTCACTCACTCACTCATGCACTCGGTGCGGATGAGGAAGCGAGCCGGCAAACGAGTGAATGGCGGGGGCGAATTCGCTCCTGATGAACGAATGCACTGATCGGACAGGATGAAATATCCGAGGAATGAACGAAACTTTCCACTTGGATAAAATCCTTCGCTCGATCGGTCGGTCGCTCGGTCGCTCGCTCGCTCAGGGGATGGATGAGTCGGAGTGAACGCAGAAGTATCCGCAGCCGATTGAATAACGGACTCAGGGCGCGCTTGCTCGTTTGTTGCACAACGATAGACTGATTTCTAGCCTCCGCGAGCTTCCACACGAATTTCCGTCTGCTTTGTCGTTCTCGATGTATTCCTCCGTTCACTGTGACGGTACGCCTTCGTCTCCTGTTCGCCGCTCGCCGCTCTATGGCCCGCCACCGGAGCCAGCACCCGACTCATGGGGGCCCTTTCTCAAGCGGAAAGGGAAAAACCTCACTAGGGGCGGCAGAAGCGGCATACACCACCACCACCGCCAAAGCTAGCCGTGCATCACACCGGCTCGCCCCTCACCCGCCAGCCACCGGACACACATACAGTCACCCCATCTCCTGGTACAAAGTGAGAGAGCAGGAGAAACCGTCAGTCCGTGCGTCCGTCCGTCCCATCGACCGACCGTCCGACGTACAGACCGACCGACCCACTGACGGGAGATGCAGCCGCGGCCGAACGAGCGATAGTGAGAGACCAAAGAGGGAGGGCATACTACGACGACGACGACGGTTCCTGCCGCCGACCAAGAGAGCCAAACAGCGAGAGCGGGGTTCGTCTGAGCAGCAGGAAGGCAGAGGTCTGACGGTCCGTCGGTCGGTCGGTCGCGCGGGCGGACGGACAGACGGACGGCGGCGCAACCGGGGGACGAAGAATGAGAACAGAGCACCTCACTCACTTCCTCCCTCCCTCCCTTCCTCGTTGCTTACTCTAGGAGCCCTTTTCTGCTTGCCTCCGGTCCGTTGACGGACCGATCGGCCGCCGGCTCGGGGCGGAAGGGAGGCAACGCGCGGATTAACGGAAGAGTCCGGTTGAACTCCGAGTGAGCCGGCAAGCGAACGAGCGAGCGCGAGAGCGCCGCGGGGAACTGCTCTAGCGAGCAGGAAGGGAAGGCAGAACAAGTGGGGCAATGTAGCGAGCGACCAGGGAAGATAACGAGTGAGAATCGGAGATTCGACGTCGCTCTCGCGCTTCATGTCCGAGCGTGCGCACGCATCAGGCGGGCGCACTCCAGCAGTTGGGGCCGTATTCAGCTGGTGGTGGAACAGCAGCTGGCGAGAAAGGGACTCCTTAGGCTAGAGCCGTCTTGGGCAATGGAGAGCATCGGGAAATAAGCGACGATTCGTCGCCGCTGCCGAAGAGAACCTGCTGGAATCCATCGTGGTGCTCAAGGCCCGACGACAAGAGAGGATGGAAGATGAGGGGCTGGAGGGAAGACTTTCCCTCCCGGGGAGACTCCGGTCCGTCCATCCGACAGACAGACAGACAGGCCGACAGAGAGAGAGACAGGAAAAGCTCCAGAGATTCGGAGGGAGCTGCACGAAGGAAGAGGTCGTCGATGCGGGAGGGCATTTGGGGAAACTTGCGGCCGCAGCGGAAGAGGAGGAGGAAGGAGCTTTCGTTCACGAGAGCCGGCAAGCGACTCATGGGGAGAAATTCGGCCGGGAGGGGAAGGAGGGGGACGAGGGAATGGAGGAGGGAGGGGGCAAGCGCACGAACAGGCAGCCAAGCCAGTTAGTCACTCACTCAGGCTGTCGTCGAGGAAAGAGAAGCAAAAGGGGAAAGAAGAGGGGATCCGGATGAAAAATAAGAGGAAAACGGAGACAGTAGGTGAGCAAGCGATGAACACTGCGGAGCTGGGGGCTAGTCCAAGGATCGGCAGGGCGAAAGAGATAGAGTGGTGGGAGGGAAACGGGAAAAGTTGCGCTCCTCTTACCTTTCGGAAGGTTTGACTCCCGGCCGAGTGCTCGGCTGCCTGACTAGCTCACCTTCGTCTCCCACCGAAGCACTCGACCGAATTTCCCGCGAGACGTCCCTCATTTTAGTATGAGCATCGGGCCTCGATCTGGATGCAACGGGTCCGGATGCGAGCCGATAATCGCGCATTCCGGTGTCGAAAATCGATTCCAAGCTTTCGAGATTAAGTAACAAGTTTCATTGTGATTCTCGCCGTCACGCCGAATCTCATGAGGCGGACCGTCGTTCGTTTTAGGCCAAAAAAAACATGGTCGAACTTCGAGGTATCTGAGATAACTGATTAGTGATTAGCTATCACTTCCGAAGACGGATCCCGGAAGCAAATTTCCCCCAGAAGATCGAGGCTTCTTCGGATCGAGGGATTTTTCCCCCCTTTGTTGTATATTCCAGCAAAGCCCGTGAGGATATTCCGTGAGAGAATTCCGTGAGGAAATTCGGCCGGCAGTGCTGGTCGGACCCACGGAACCTCCCGCGCGAGCGGCACCTTTGCAGCTTTGCACGATTCCGCAGCCCCGGAAGGGAAATATTCGGTTTAGTGATTCCACCTGCCGGGAGCCCCCAAGGCTTGGAGATACGAGATGCGCGAACATTCCCTCTGCGTCGGTATGTACTACGGAGCGCAGGCAGTTTCGATTGACCCACATATGAATCCTTGTAGTCGCAGGAGTTTCTCTCGGCGACACCTAAGAGATTCTCTTCGGAGCTACGATTCTCTGCGAGAGCGCCGGTCGCTTCGGACCAGGAGTTGAGTTCCATTCACGGCTCAAGGAAGCGGTCCTGAACGAAATGCTCGACAACGACGACAGCCGCGAAAAAAAGAAAGGCATGCCCAAACTGGGTTACGGGGGCCAGAGGAGAAAGTCGAAGCTAGCTGTCTGGTGGGCCCCTCGTCTGTCTGCGGCTGTCTGTGTCGATTCGTCTGTCGGTATGTCGATCGTTCCGTTCGGCGGTCCTTGTGTTGCTCGATCCGTTCGTCCCTCCGTTCGCTCGCTCGCTCGCCTGCCCTGTTGGCCGCTCTCATGTTAGCCTTCATCGACGTCAGAAGCAGCAGCAGCAACGACGACGTAGACGTTGGTCGGTTACAGCAACCGTGGGCAGCAGCCGGCGCACCGCAGCCGTAGAATCACAACTCACGCACACAAGGGTAGCAAACCTCAAGTCTCCGTGGTTCCCTCGCTCCGGCTGAACCTTTCTTCCTGAACGAGCGTCCGCGCGAAAGACCGACCGAGCGTCCGACCAACCAACCGACCGACCGGCAGTCCACCCGCCGTCGGCTTACCCGGCTGCCTCAGCTGGGCTACAGACTTACGGCATCGGCGTCTGTAGCCAGATGCGTCTCTCGTCCACCTCCGTGCGCTTATGCCTCGACTCGTCAAGTTGTCGATGAGCTCGCCCATTTATCGGTTCAACACTTCGAGGAGCGGCTAACCGCAAATGAAGAAAGCTAGCTCCGAAACTAAAATGAAAAAGCTAGATCCGGAAACCGTGCTGCCGATTCCTCGAGCTCCGATCGCGCTCAGGAGACTGCGACGGGGAATATCTGTCAAACGAGAATGCGTACAAGACTATACGTGATTCGAAATCCTGTCGGACGGATATATAAACTCCCGTTGCGGGATCGGTTGGTCGAACAATAGCTACGAATCCGTCCGAAGCGTCCGCCGAAGGTTTCATGCAAATGCTATGATGTTCGACTCGCTGAAAACTGAATGGGCGGTTCGGTGAAACGCGCTCATCGAAGGCCGCGGGATAATGTCACATCCGACTCGTCTCTGGCTCGTTCGGACCTGCTCACATTTTTTCGATTTGTTTTTCGTAATGGGCCGGTGTACCGAGGAGATCACGGCTCACTCGGACGGATCCGGGACCGCTCGCTCGCTCGCTCGTTCATGATCGGTCCCTCTGACGCAAGCTCGATCGGGACGACTCATTTTAATTTCAACAGCTCCGGAGTTTGTTTACGAAGCGCCCCTCAGTCCGGTATTTATACGCAGCAAGTCGTTCGCGCTGATGATCCGATCTAGGTGACACTTGTTGGCTCATGCGGAGGGGCT